TAAGTAGAAACCCAGTTATAATAATAATAATAATAATCCTTGCATTTGATATAGCGCTTTTCACGTCGGGAGGCCGTCCCAAAGCGCTTCACAGAACACACTGTAAAGTGAATTGACTGTATATTTGTGGGCGAACGCGGCAGCCAATTGCGCACAGCAATGTCCCACAAACAGTCGTAGATTGAAAATGACCAATTTATTATTGTTTTTGGTTTTGGAGGGATTATTATTAGGCGTGTTGTTGGTCGATTGGCAGATCGCTTTTCTGGGTGGTAATGATTCCTTCAAAACAAAAATAAATTTAAGAAAACAATAATTTGGTCACTCAATCCACGACTGTTTGTGGGACGCCGCTGTGCGCAATTGGCCGCCGCTAATGAATTCCATGATGCCGTTTTACCCACAAAATATACAGTCAATTCACTTTGCAGTATATTCTGTGAATCGCTTCGAGATGTCTCGAAGACGTGATAAGGCGCTGTATCAAATGCCTAATAATAATCCCTCCAAAAAACAAAACAATAATAAATTGGTCATTTTCAATCTATGACTGTTTGTGGGACATTGCTGTGCGCAATTGGCTGCCGCGTTTGCCCACAAATATATAGTCAATTCACTTTACAGTGTGTTCTGTGAAGCGCTTTGGGACGTCCTCCCGACGTGAAAAGCGCTATATCAAATGCAAGGATTATTATTATTATTATTACCTCATTTGGTTTGCTTGGGAGACAAGTGAGTGTCAGTGGCAGGCTGTTCCAGTGCAGGAGACATCACAGCCAAACTCAATCTTGTCTTCATCCAGTATTCAAACAGAGTGTGTGCACTTTCCAGGGATGGTGACTGACTAGTAATGATCAACAGGAACGCTGGCTGGCTTCCCAACCCCTCTAGTCAGGCAGACTGAAGCCAAATGTACCTCTTCTGCTACCATGGCGGAGATCAGCCAACCTGACATTGGCGAGGAATTGAGGCTGGGACATCGTGTATAGCTCACTTACACACTGGGCAGGGCGCAAACCAACCGAGTCATCAGAGAAGCTCCAAAAGGGCCAACATTTCTCATTGCTTTGGCCTTAAGACTGTTTATTGCCTTAAAATGTGATACCATGTACAGCATTGGGTAAACATTCTTTAATTTATTTTTAACTTGAAGGCAGTATTTCTGCACAATATTTACATTTTAAGACAAAGATATACAGTCAATTCACTTTACAGTGTATCCTGCGAAGCGCTTTGAGACGCCTCGAAGACGTGATAAGGCGCAGTATCAAATACAAGTACGCTTACTGTTTATTATTGTTAGTAATCTTGAGCTTAATCATCTTAAATACCAGGAGGTGTTTCACTTCTGCTGGAGCCTAACCCTGCAAGAATATTCCTACATCAAAAGTCACAGCCTAGAGGTTTTCAAGTAGTTTCTGTTACACTGTGAGTCTCAGGCTATCTCAGTTATTAACATACTGTAGGAGCTTCCACAGGGAAAGAGGGTCGCTCGCTCGCTCGCTCGATTGTTCTTCCTTAACGGAGGCAAGCAATAAAAAAAACAATATTGCATTCTTCTTTATAAGTTGAAAGCCTTGATCAGACCTCACAGAGGCATCAATGCCCGTTGCTTACGCTGCTAGTTTTTGCAAGCTGCAACACTGTGCTATCGGCGCCCGAAGCTTGCAGTCAGAACAACTGCGCTCCTCCCTCGGGAAGCACAGATTAGTCGCTGCGAGGGTAGAGGAAGTGACAAATCTGGGGGAGTCAGGGGAAGGGCAGTCTGGGCTGGAACAGAAAACTCCAACACAGAATAGGCATTATTACTTCGTACAACGTTTCGGCCCACACAATCTACAGTCAATTCACTTTACGGTGTTTCCCGTGAAGCGCTTTGAGCCGTCTCGAAGTCGTGCTGAGGAGCAGTATCAACCGCACGGATCATTATCATCATTAACACTTCATACAACAGTTTCAAGGTTAATTTGTACTCCTTGTAGTGGAAAAACGCAGTGCGTGATGTGATGTGATAACAATCAAATCACACACGTACCACATTTTTCACCTTTTCTCCCCCAACACAAATAAATACTTAAAAGTAGCCCTGATACCAGAATACCGGTAACACTTATAAAGCTCGGTGCACGGTTTAAGGAATGATCACATTTCAATGTAGAATGGCTTGACAATGATTGAGTAACCCTGCTATTGTAGTCATTTTGGTATATCATAATCCTTGCATTTGATAGAACACCTTAACACGTCTTCGAGACGTCTCAAAGCGCTTCACACAACACACTGTAAAGTGAATTGACTGTGTATTTTGTGGGCGAAACGCGGCGGCCAATTGCGCACAGCGGCGCCCGTCCCACAAACAGTCGTGAGACTGAGTGAACAAATGATCGTGATTATTTATTTGAAGGCATTATAGCCCCCCGGAAAAGCGATCTGCCCATCAACCGGGTTCCTACTTACTACTGGGTAAAGAGAGGCGAGCGCGTGGCGTAAGGAAACTTGCCCAGCGTTTCGCCCCGCCCGGGAATCGAACCCAGGTCCTCTCGCTTTGTGCGAGGCGAGTGCTCTAACCGCTGAGCTACAGGTCTCCACAACGTGCATCATTTTACGCTTCCCTCATTGATAAGGGAATAGAGGACATCCGCTCCAGAACCCTCCCAGAGCTGCAGCACAGCTTTCCTATTACTCTCGAAAGGCACCATAACAAGGGAGGGGTTGTAGTATTGTTATAGGAACTGAGAATTCAACCGTTGGTCAAATATTTTGCACAATAGTATAGGAAACAGTGTCTTGTTCCTTTAGCTTTTTTCAGCTTTCTGATAGAGTCGAACCTGGCTATCGGCAAACAGTCAGTAACTGTGCTCATATTCCTTCTACAGTTAAACCTGTCCATGATAATAAAAATAATAATAATCCTTGCATTTGACGTAGCCCTTCGTCACGTCTTCGAGACGTCTCAAAGCGCTTCACGGCATACACTGTAAAGTGAATTGACCGGATGTTTTGTGGGATTTATGAGAGAAGCAAGAATTCTGCAAAATTCTGCCCGATATCGAACGAAAGACAATGTTCTCAGGGCTACAACCGAGATAAACGTCAGGTCAGGCCTTGGATACCGTCTCGATACAGAAACCCAAACATCCGGCGAGAGACCGTATTTGACTATTTCCTTGGCTTGACGAACAGACTGTTCGCGGACTGGTAAAAAGTTACCGGGAGTTACCCTCGGAAACCTGTCTATTGATGTGGGATAGGTGTGAGCATGTTAAGGTCAGCCGGACGTGGGAATACAATATACAGTATAAATCATTTGAGAGCTCGCTATATTTTATCCTATGTTTTTATTGAAAAACCACTCTTCCTTCCTTCCTTCCTTCCTTCCCTCTCTCTCTCTCTCTCTCACTGGTAGGTATGTATCCCCTCACAGCTGATCTGATGTGGAACCAAACAACTCACTCTGTGCCTTCCAATACCTCCAAGTGTGGTCGCGACTCTCCACAGATTCCGTGCTTAAATATTTCCGGAAAAGATCAGCTCCCCCTCGCTCTGGGAGGTAACCTCCAGATCCCGTCGCCTACACAATACCTTCCTGACAGGGAATTGATTTATTTATTGTTATTACCACGCGCGCCAAGCTGTCCTAGTGTGTTGGGTATATTCCCTCGTTCTTCCTTTTACGTTTGTAACACAAGACATATAAACAAATGGATGATCAAATCCTTCTGTTATTTGAGCGCTGATGACCTGGGGGTCTTATCGCTTTTCCGTGACATGACTGGTACAAATATTTCCGTGGTCGGAACTTCTATTTCCCGGGCTCGCCTGACCATAACGTATTGGGCAAACGTAAACACCGTGAGGGGTCAACTTTCTCCATTTTCCGTTTCGCCCACGTCACTCACACACAGTCACTCCGCTTTACGGTATATTTTGTGGGCGAAACCCGCAAATAGTCGCGGATTGAGCCGTCACGTTTTTTTTTTTTTTTTTTTTTTGGAAGGGGTTATTATTCCCGGAAAAGCGATCCGCCAATCAACTACCAACTGGGTTCCTACTTACTGCTGGAGTGCTCCAGCCGCTGAGGACTCCACAGTTTGCACGCGAGACAGAAAGCTTTGCAGTCAAAAGCAGGTTTAAAGTTTAAAGTCCCCCACCCACCCACCCACCCGCATACACACACGAGCCAGTTTACGTCGGGTAAACGCGAGCAACTAACGCGTCGCTCGTTCCTCAATCGCAAAAAAGAACATCTCGAACGTGCACCTGAAATAACTTCAGCTAAATTACACCTCACTCAGCGCTCTCCTCAACCAAACGAACCCGTAAGGCTCAACACGCGACGCCTGGAATTTGCCGCGGGTTCATCGCGGTCACTGACGAGACCGAGGCAGACGGCGTCCACAGAGAAATGCGGCATTTGCGGTTCATACGTGGGATTTGACGCTGCTACACACATGCCCCGGAATGGATCGATGACTTGCCACCGGCTTAGACCCCGAATCACGGACGTGACTTTCAATAAATACAGGATATATATTTTGAAAAATATCATTATTGCTAAGGCGGGACAGTAGCCATGTACCGTACGGCACGACCTAAGCTTATCTTATTTGCGCCCCACAAAACACACAGTCAATTCACTGTACGGTCTATGCTGTCAAAGCCCTTTGAGGCGCTGTGTCAAATGTAAGGATTATTATTATTATGATGATGATGATGCATTATTATTAACTGGATCCTTTCAGCTCATGAACCGTACATGTCCTGACTGAATAGGAAGGGAATCCGCTTTAACCTGTACTTTAGGATAGTTGGGGAGTTCTACGACAATTCGACCATAACTCTTCCCCAGGATCACAGTGGGGGGGTGGGGGGGGGGTGGGGGGGAACTTTATTTTGGTCCGTGACACTTGACCGCGTACCCATTACGATGGGGGAAACGGTGCAATAAATGTAACGGGTTAAAGGGACTAAAGCGCAAAGTGAACGTCCGGGTTACTCACCGCCGCTGGTTAATGATCGCCTCCACCACCCCGACCCCCGGCCCCAACCCGAGGGGGGCAACGGGTCCATCCCGGCACTCAGCCCCTCCCGAGGCGATCTGCTCCGGTCCTCGGTGATAGCCCCCGGGCCGGGGCCGAGGGAGCGGGAGGCAGAGGGGGAGCTGGAGGGGCTGAAGGGGGAGAGGGAGCTGGGCGAGGGGCTGCTGGAGTGGGAGGGGGAGATGAGGGAGGGGGAGATGCCCCCAGGGCTGGGGCTGCTGGGGTAGGAGGAGGGGGTGAAGGGGGAGTTGCCCCCTAAGCTGGGGGAAGGGGTGAGGGAGAGCCTGGGGCTGGAGATGGGGGAGAGGGAGATGGGGGAGGAGGGGGAGAAGGTGGGGAAGGAGGGGGGGATGGGGAGGAAGGGGAGAAGGTGGGGGAGGAGGGGAGGAGGAGGGGGAGGAGGGGGAGAAGGTGGGGGAGGAGGGGGAGAAGGTGGGGGAGGAGGGGGGATGGGGGAGGAAGGGGAGAAGGTGGGGGAGGAAGGGGAGAAGGTGGGGGAGGAGGGGGGGATGGGGGAGGAAGGGGAGAAGGTGGGGGAGAAGATGGGGGAGGAAGAGGAGAAGATGGGGGAGGTGGGGGAGGAGGGGGAGAAGATGGGGGAGGAAGGGAGAAGATGGGGGAGGAAGGGGAGAAGTTGGGGGAGGAGGGGGGGATGGGGGAGGAGGGGGAGAAGATGGGGGAGGAGGGGGGGATGGGGGGGGAGGGGGGATGGGGCTGGAGGGGGGGGTGGGGCTGGAGGGGGGTGGGGCTGGAGGGGGGGGTGGGGGAGGAGGGGGGGATGGGGGAGGAGGGGGGGATGGGGGGGGAGGGGGGATGGGGCTGGAGGGGGGGATGGGGGGGGAGGGGGGGTGGGGGAGCCCAATGCCCACAGGATGAGCATGAGGGTGAGGTGGGGGAGCAGAGAGCATGTTGTTGCCATGATCACAGTCACACACACACACAGTCACACACACACACACAGTCACACACACACACAGTCACACACACACACACACACAGTCACACACACACACAGTCACACACACACACACAGTCACACACACACACAGTCACACACACACACACACACAGTCACACACACACACAGTCACACACACACACACAGTCACACACACACACAGTCACACACACACACACACACAGTCACACACACACACAGTCACACACACACACACAGTCACACACACACACAGTCACACACACACACAGTCACACAGTCACACACACACACAGTCACACACACACACACCAGTCACACACACACACACACACACAGACACACACACAGTCACACACACACACACCACAGTCACACACACACACAGTCACACACACCACACAGTCACACACACACACACAGTCACACACACACAGTCACACACACACACAGTCACACACACACACACACACAGTCACACACACACACAGTCTCACACACACACAGTCACACACACACACACACACACAGTCACACACACACACACACACAGTCACACACACACACACAGTCACACACACACACACACACACACAGTCTCACACACACACAGTGAGACACAAACACTCACACACACAGTGAGACAGACTCACAAACACTCTCACACAGTGAGACACAGACACACAGACAGACACAGACCCCCCCACCCCCCCCCACCCGGACAGCCCCGCCCCCTGATAGCCCCGCCCCCAGCAGCAGCCCCGCCCCCGGATAGCCCCCCCCCGGGCAGCCCCGCCCCCCCCGGGCTGTGAGCTCAGCTCTCACTGTGAGGCCGAGCACAGACACCGGGCAACAGCGCCACCAGCAGGCCACCCCCGGCATTACACACTCACACACTGCTCACACTCACACTGCTCACACTGCTCACACACACACACACTGCTCACACTCACACACTGCTCACACTCACACTCACTGCTCACACTCACACACACTGCTCTCACACACTGCTCACACTCACACACTGCTCACACACACACACACTGATCACACTCACACACTGCTCACACTCACACTCACTCACACTGCTCACACTCACACACTGCTCACACTCACACACACTGCTCTCACACACTGCTCATACTCACACTGCTCACACTGCTCACACTCACTGCTCACACTATCACTGCTCACACTGCTCTCACACACACACACTGCTCACACTCACACACTGCTCACACTCACACTCACTCACACTGCTCACACTCACACACACTGCTCTCACACACTGCTCACACTCACACTGCTCACACTGCTCACACACTGCTCACACTCACACTCACACTGCTCACACTCACACTGCTCACACTCACACTGCTCACACTCACACTCACTCACACTGCTCACACTCACACTGCTCACACTCACACACTGCTCACACTCACACTGCTCACACTCACACACTGCTCACACTCACACTGCTCACACACACTGCTCACACACACTGCTCACACTGCTCACACTATCACACTGCTCACACTGCTCACACTCACACTGCTCACACACACTGCTCACACTGCTCACACTATCACACTGTTCACACTATCACACTGCTCACACTTGTCACACTGCTCACACTATCACTGCTCACACTGCTCACACACACTGCTCACACTCACACTGCTCACACACACACACACACAGCACTGCTCACACACACACAGCACTGCTCACACACACACAGCACTGCTCACACACACTGCTCTCACACACACTGCTCACACTCACACACACTGCTCACACTCACTCACACTGCTCACACACACTGTTCACACACACTGCTCTCACACACACTGCTCTCACACACACTGCTCACACTCACACACACTGCTCACACACACTGCTCACACACACACACACTGCTCACACACACTGCTCTCACACACACTGCTCACACTCACACACACTGCTCACACTCACACACTGCTCTCACACACACACACACTGCTCTCACACACTGCTCACACACACTGCTCACACTCACACTGCTCTCACACTGCTCACACACACACACACTGCTCTCACTCACACTGCTCACACTCACTGCTTACACTCACTGCTCACTCACACTCACTGCTCTCACACTCACACACTGCTCTCACTCACTGCTCACACTCACTGCTCACACACACTGCTCACACCACACTCACTGCTCACACACAATTATACACACACTGCTCACACTGCTTGCACTGCTCACACTCACTGCTCACACTTGGCACCGTTTGCCGGTTTCCCACACTCTTTGCTTTTTTTTAAAAATAAAAACACGACAGCGACATCATTATTAATAATAATACCCTTTGCATTTGGTGCAGATCCTCATCACGTCTCCGAGACGTCTCAAAGCGCTTCACGGGGTACACTGAAGCGATTTTTTTTTAAGGTATTATTACCCCGGAAATGCCATCCACCGATCGCCCAACAACTGGGTTCCTAGTTACCGCTGAGTAAACAGAGGCAAACGTACCCCGTAAAGTGAAACGAAACCTTAAGGACCTAATTAAACTATTGGGAAAGATTAAGGAGTTTTCTCCGGGGGTTCAGTTCAACAATCTTCATTCACTTCACCGACTGTAGGACGCGCGGCTCAGATGCCAGTGGGGGGGTTCAGTTTCCACTCGTGACGCCGTCTACAGTCACAGATGAAGGCGAGAACCACTGCAGGGAGACGGCACCACAAACCTTTGCGAACTGAACTGCCCGGATTCGAAGTTGTAAAGTCACGTCACGTTGCGCCCCAAAAGAAACGCACGACAGGGCCAAAGCTTCAGAACAAACCCAACGCTGCCTGACGTCAGCCAGGGGTCGATTCGCAGGAGTAAGTATTGCAGCAGCGTACGCTACGCTACGCTGAGCGACTCTACGGTTTTATTGTCAGCAGATCCAGTTTCATCCCCGTTTCATCGTGGAATACAATGTGCCGAACGTGACCCATATTGCGATCGGCGCTCAGTAACCCCCACCTGGTACGAAAATAAGCTCACACATGGGATAATGGCTGCCATGTACAGTGGTGGATTGAGTGACCAAATTATTATTATTTGTTTGAAGGGATTATTTAAGCAGCGCGAGGGCCCCTGTGCTTCATCAGATTATCAGGGTTATTCCACGGGCCGCTCGCTCTTTCTGCTTTTCAATTAGGGTTAGGGTGAGCTTGGGAACGAGAGAGTTTGCACTTTTTATTTTAGCAGCAAAGAGACTTTTGGAAAACCAGCTGTCTCCTTCATTTGGCTCAGCGTAAATCACGTCCGTTTTTTTTTTGCAGGAGGTGCCTCAGATGGTTGCAAATCATTCTCTTAGCCCTTGATCTTTCACTGATGGAATTAAACGTCTCTTCACCTCAACTGCGACTCAGTGTATTGCGTCTGCTTTCTCGGACATGCTGTGAAGCATCTGCCTGCACTGGGAGGATAACGGTTGACTTTTGCGGAACTATTAAACCCACCACCAGCAGCTTTTCAGTAGGACTCTGAATGGAGCAGCAATGGGAACTAGAAGGAGAAAGGCCCTTGGGGAGTAGGGAAGGGCAGTGGTGAGCAGATGTTCCCTACTGAAATAGAGTAGAATATGTGGCCAGATAGCTAGACAGCAAGCCTGAGGAATTCTCAGTCCTCCAGCTGCTAACGGACACCACGAGTGCGTGCGCAGAGAATAACTCTACGCTGGTGATAGAGAAAGGTGGTGGAAAGAATAAACCGGAATTATCCATCTCCCGACAACAGGATGCGGAATGATTCTAGAAGTTGTGTTTGGATAATAGTTGTTAGTAAAAAAGCACCGGTTACATTTCAGTCTGCTGAGTATTGACATAAGGAGATTCAATGGCACACCTTATATTAAAAAAAATTACATGCTTCAGGATGTATGATTTAACTGTCTGACATAAAAACCATTTGTGATATATCTGCAGGAACCATTGAAGAATAAATGGTATAAAAGATTGCTCTTATGGGTGGATTTGGTGTTGGACTGGGGAAAAAAAAACTAAGAAAGTTTAGAAACCTATTGTATAAATAGCTCTAGGACATACACAGCATTCCCAGTACTCAAAGAGATTAACAGTGTAATAATGCTTTAACTTTTATTTTCCAAAATAAAATTAGTGGTGATGATATTGCACTTAAAAGTGGTGCTCTAAAATGTTCATTTAACATAGACTCTCTCTGTGGGTGCAAAGGAAAAAGGAACTCTCTAACCACATTACATCCACAATAAACATTATTATTGCATCTCTGAAAGTTAATCCCGTTCAGTTGTGGAGGTAAATGGTGTTTATAGCACATCGTTTTTTTTTTTAATTAGTTCTTTTCCACCGTGTTCAAAGAAGCACTCTGGAATATTGCGCTGCCAATAGCCTTCGGACACTTTTCAACCAAGTGAACGATAAATCTTTCAACGTATAATAAAACAGAGAAGGGCGGGTTGTGGGATAAAGCTCACTCCCGATGGGAAACACTTCAGTCTCCGCCACAGCTATTTTCTAGTTCCAGTGGCGATGAGCACTTTGTGTCATGTATTTAAATGTTCCAACATGTGAAATAAGGGACGATATATCACGGGCCAGGCACAGAAATCCCCAGCCTAACATCCAGTGCAGTCTCCAGCAAGTAAGGCTCCCTACACCCTCGCATCCATGAAACCCTTCAGTGGGGACTTGCTGAACACAAAGCTCCGGCTGTGTCGAGAGGGAGATGTTCTGCAGAACGTTTTTCTTTTTAAAAAAAAAGGCGGGTATGGTGTTCAGGTTTTGTTTGGGGTTTTTTACCTCCAATCATTCACTGCGCCGGCTGTGCAAATATAATTTGTTGTTGTTTCTAACCCGGATCATCAAGAGTGCTCCACACTTACTGCCAACCCAATTACTACGCCTGCATGAGCAGCCTGGCATTTCAGCACACGTGGGCCCTCACAACAACAACAACAACACATTGCACTTACACAGCGCCCTTCACGTCAGGAGGACGTCCCAAGGCGCTGGACAAACAAGGATTTGGACCCGAGCTGGGGGTTGGGATCAGGAGGGGTGGAGGGCAAGGAGGGTAGGGGGTAGGAGTGTGACCCAAGGCGCGGTTGAAGAAGAGGGTCTTGAGTCGTGCCTTGAAGGAGGCCAGGGAGGGAGCGAGGAGAAGGGACTGTGGGATGGAGTTCCAAGGGGTGCAGCAAATGGCATTGAAAAATCAGGCAGTGCATTCAGGGCACTTTAAGAACAGCCTCAATTAAAATCACAAAGGAATACGTTTGTTTCCAGTGAAAATACCCATTGCAAAAAATAGTGCATAAAATACCCGGGCATTCAACATAATAATAATATAATAATAATAACATTCACAGCGGTTGCAGATTCACACACGACACCTTTGCCACTCAATCAGTTGGGCTGCGTTACCTATCCTAAGAATAAAACTGTCCCGTTTTTAAAGTGAGAGCCGAGGTTTTAAAGCAAACACCACCCGCTTCATAAGCGCTCGGCTCTCGTACAGTCAGATGCAAAAAGGTGGCTGGAAACAGCATCAGGCGCTATGTGTGAGCTGAGGGCTGAAATTCAGTTCAATTGGCGACTGAGGTCTTCTCTGCTGATAACTGAGGAACAGTGGTAGCGGTCGCGCGAGGCAAAGTCAGCGTTCTCTTCTGTCAGTTGTGTGGTCGCCATTCCGACAGTTGTAAATGGGGGGGGCATTACAATCTGTTTTTCGTAGGCTGGTCTTTTCCTGAAACCACAAGAGAAGCCACGATAATTGTTTCAGCGTTGAACCCACTTGGGCAAGTGGGTGGAGGAATTAGCAGGATAGCACTAAAGTCCAGGCCCGAGTCAGGTCAATTGCTGCAAAGCCAAACTCTCCAGTCACTGGAAGCCTCCACCTCCCAACCCCTGATAGTAAGAGAGGAAATAATAATACTTGCACTTGATACAGCGCCGTATCACATCTTCGAGACGTCTCAAAGCGCTTCACAGAATACACTGTAAAGTGAACTGACTGCATATTTTGTGGTTGAAACGAGGCAGCCAAATGCATACAGCAGCGACCCCACAAACAGTCGTGGATAGAGTGACCATTTTTTTAAAAAAAGAGAATTACTACCTCCGGAAAAGTGATCCGCTGATCGACTAACAACCGGGTTCCTATTTACTGCTGGGTAAACAGAGGTGTGTGGAGTGAGGAACCTTGCCCGATGTTTCACCCTTGCGGGGGAATCAAACCCGGGTCCTCTCGCTTGCGAAGCGAGTGCTCTAACCACTGAGCTCCAGGACTCCACTTGACATGTTTAAGACAAGCACAAGAAGATTGTTATCGCTGAATTGATGTTCTCTTTGATCACCACGTGCAAATAGAGCACAGTAAACTTTACCAGATGAAAAGTAGTTGGTGGAAGGGTCAAGAGAATGGTTTTCAACCTGAGCTATAGCTGAACTTATATTTTATTTATATATATATATATATGAAGTATGTTCCGACAAGGATCAGTCTTTTTATTCTTCTCCTAGTTTTATTAAGACTCCAAAAAATATCACAAACCTTTGTAAATTTTTGAAGACTTCCTGAATCCATCGGAAGAAATTGAAGTCGTTGGCTAAACCTGTAGGCAAACAGCAGAGTTTAGTTAATAATAATAATCCTTGCATTTGATATAGCGCCCTATCACGTCTTTGAGACCTCTTGAAGCGCTTCACAGAATGTACTGCCACTAGATCTTAATGTGCTGGAAGTCAGAAAACCCATATTTATTGCTTCATTTCCGTATAAACAGACTCAAGTGCAACAACAACAACTTGCACTTATATAACGCCCTCCACGCCAGGTGGCATCTCCGAGCGCTCAAGTGCAATGCGAGGGACAGTGCAAAGTCCACCCAACGTCTCACAATGTCATGTTGCAGGGACACAGTTCAGGTGATCATTAGGCAAGTGGAGCGATTAGGACATGTGATTGGGACTCTAATGCGATTTGAAGAGATTATGAAGTTATATTGGACACACAATTCATTTATTCCATTGGAATGGAACAGATGCAGATTAGGTTAATGGGTTTAGCGGAAATTATACACAGCACGTTTAGATTTCGATCCCTCATTTTACTGGAATTGAACAGTTTTCCTCAGTTTCTAAAGTGAAACAATGCGAATTAATCATTGTGCTGAGTGTACGGGAAAGCATGGCAATTTCGTTAAAGCTCGATATAGATCAAGGTACACCTTCAACTGAATTCAATTGTGCTGTATACAATTAAGATATTCATGATTTTTACATAAAGGCCTATTGATTCTATTTTGAGGAAAATGCTTTGAACTAATTAGTGCACAAGTCCATAGATCACTTCCCCCCGGAGAGCGATCCGCCAATCGACCAACAATCGGGTTCCTACTTACTGCTCGGTAAACAGCGATGTGTGGAGTAAGGAAACTTGCCTAACGTTTCGCCCTGCCCGGGAATCGAACCCAGATCCTCTTGCTTGCTAGCGTGCTAACCACTGTACCACAGGACTCCACAACATGGTTCATATCTTGTTGGTCCACCATACACTGATAAGAACACATCGGCATTAAAAGCTACATCACAGAACAGTGTAAGTTGTGGTAAACATACTCACCAAGCGGCAGTCCAGGGCTCATCTGGCCAATGTAGAAGTAGGTGAACAATGCCATCGCTATGTTCATTAAGGCATAAATCCAGTGAATCACAAACATGATTACGATTGATATTATTGCCTATAAATGAAGAAAGAAATTCTTCAGTTTGTTGAAAAGTAACTTAACAGGGATTTGCTACCCCGGTTTCCTTTACATTGCATCATTTGCGACATAGCAACTGGATTCCTACTTACTGCAAGGTGAACAGAGGCGCGTGGAGTAAGGAAACTTGCCCAACATTTCACCCTGTCCGGGAATCGAACCCGGGTCCTCTTGCTTGCGAGGCGAGTGCTCTAACCACTGAGCTACAGGACTCTGTGAGTTTATAGTCGGTGTACAAGTGGACAAAGATTTTTTTAAAAGACTTGAAACTTTTTTTTGGAAGCGCCTTATATCATTGTTACTGTCCCACAAGATTTGTTGCCATCGATTACTCACACCAATGAATGAAAGCCAGTGGTTGCAAAGCTTAGAATAAAATGATGTTGGCATTGCGTAAATTTCTGTTTCCTGAGACTTCTGCCTTTCAGTGGAACCTGTTGACGGGGAAACAAAGATAGTATTTCACCAGAAATTAGACAGTGTGCAGAATGTGCACTTAATCCCTAATATTAATCAGCTACTTTAAGTGAAAGTATAAAGTATAAATTCCACCCCTACCCCCCATTGTAGAAATTTGATGAACAAACAAAGGTAAATGTATAGACTCGTAAGAACGTGTTTGAGGGGTAAACCAAGATTTAGGAGTTATGGGCTGCATCTGAAAGCAACGCAGATCAGCTTCTAATAGACAATCCTTGCAATTATTGTAGTGTCTTATCATGTCTTCAAGACGTTTCAAAGCGCTTCACAGAATATACTTGAAAGTGAATTGACTGTATATTTTGTGGCTGAAATATGACAGCCAATTACACACAGCAGTGCCCCACAAACAGTCGTGGATTCAGTCATCAAATTATTATTATTATTGTTATTATTTTTTGCTCTGACATCCAATTCTATTTTGCGTTGACTATTTCACTCCTAAAGGCAAAACTTCATTGAAATCTGATCAATCTGTCTCTATCCAGAACTCTGCTTTGGGAAATAACTAAATGAATAAATCAGTCATTCAAGAATGTAATTATTAAGTCTGCTTGAAGCCTGTTGGAACCAACCGATATGTGAAACCATTCAGCTGATACCCTGGAGAATATACTGGAGCTGAACGTTCAAACTATTCTAACAACAATTACCATAACGTCTCGGTTCCAACGAGTCTTCCACATCTGTGAAATACTGTTCCGTAGATGCAGTTACATAGTTGTTCCCATTTTGATTGGCTTCTAGAGTCTGAGGGCCAACAGAAGTTGAAAGATCCTGGAGTTCCTGGTCCTCTGGCCCCTGGTTTGCTAAGTCACCAACAGCCTTCCCCTCTGACACCAGATCATTGTCTTCTTTCACAGTAGTATTTGAGTTATCGAAATCTAGCATAAAACTGTCCTGCAATGTCTCCTTCGCAGGTTTCCGGACTTTTTTCAATCGGACAGAGCGATTTAAAGTCTTCTCTTTCCTCCTATTCTTCTTCATCTTTTCTTGTTTGTCCTGCGACACCATAGGGTGGAAGATTTGGCTCATATCCTTGTTGAACTCCAGCAATGACCCGTTTGTACTGCCTCTAATTGGCCCGTCAGTCCCGTAGTTCTGCGGCCTATCTAAAATCAGAGGCTGTGAAGTCCGAGGAGATCTGGAAATGTCTTTATGCTGTGCCTTTGCATTCTGCTGGATGTCATAACTCATGCACACTGAGAAATAGGCATAATCCACCGCGCTGTAAGTCAACATAAAGTTTATGGTGACAATCGGGGCAAGAACATTGACTTGGCCAATGAGGATAAAAGCCATTGTCACAAGTCCAACCAGACATATCGCAGCGATCGGAGTTTTGTTCGGCCCTTTCTGAGAAGAAAACACATTTGATATTCACAGAATTCATTTTGTAACATAACAAAACTCTACATAACACGCAAAAAGATAAGGCTCTGTTGATTCATTCCTTTCAAAAGTGCTTGACAAATATCAAAATCCCTAGGGACGGAAGAATTTATGAATTGGCATTTCGTGCCGAAACATCTAAAAACACATCAACAAGTTATTGTCAAATTTAACAACTCTTTTGTGGGCAAACGGGGCAGCCATTTGCAACAGAAAATAATAATAACTCGGTCACGTTTCGCCCACAAAAAACATAATCAATTCACTTTATAGTACATCCTGCGAAGCTCTTTGAGACGTTTCGAAGATGTGATAAGGCGCTGCAAGGATTGTTATTATTATTAGAATATTGTGAATACCTAACACTCATAATCTGCGACATTACCATAACATACTCACCCCTTGGCCCAGAAACCCAAGGACAGGGATCACTCGTTCTTGTGCGATACATTGAAGGATTCGAGGTGCTCCATAAAGGCTCCCCATACAGGAGGCTAAAGAGGAAATGTAGAGTCCGAGCAGCCAAAGCAGACCCACTAAAGCAACCTGCAAAACAACATGACAAATGGTAAAATAAGAAGTGCACCTTAATTGCACTATTTCTTTTTACGCATCTTTGCAACGTATTGTAGCCACAATATCTGCTTGCAGTTCATACTGGCTTGACTACGCTTGCACATATTGGCGTAAAAATATAGAATAAGGTTTGAACACCCACTGTAAACTGAAAGGACTGAAAATAATTATTTGCAAGCCTTTCAGGATAATATTTCACAAGCGAATGTTACAGCACCACAAGGCTTTTTAATCTATTCTTTGAATCAGATTCATGAATTTGTGATTTTCACTTTCTTTTATACGATATATTGCGTAAAAAAGAATAAAAATCCTTGCATTTGATATAGCACCTTATCACGTCTTCGAGATGTCTCAAAGCGCTTCACAGAATATACTGTAAAGTGTAGTGACTGTGTATTTTGTGGGCATTTAGTACAATATGTGGTGATGGTCTGAATCTGGTCATTTAATCCACCAGAACACTGACAATTTAACCGAAATGTGAACACATGGAAGGAATCCAAGCACTTTATTTATATAACCCCATTATTTGCACACAAGTCATCCAAAAACAGACAGTAAAAGCTAGAGAGAATGAGGAATTGTCTTATAAATGTACTTTTAATTTATCCGCGGCCGTGGAAACTCTGATAGCTAGTAGCGGATTTCATAGGAAGGATTCCAAAACAGGAAGCTCGAGGACCGAGTTTAACAATAATGTTTGTTTTTACCTTTTCGGCTATCATGAAATCAAATCGGAGTGCCTCCCTTGTACAAATGGCTCCCAGTAAAAAAACAAACACTAAATACAGGAACCATCTGAAATGAAGAAAATATAATGAACCGGTTACTTTTATTTTTTCCTTTCAGCCTTTCCATTAGATTGTGTTTATTTATAAAGACAACATCACACCTAGGTTGGCTTCCGTACCATATTTAATCGACTACTGTATTAAACCGTTATGAATTTGCTTAATGGATTTCAAGCACATTTTTACGCATATCATTTAAATCAAAGTCATTAGTGTCAAATGTGATTTAGTTTTGTTCTTTTCTCTCATTTTAACTCCATAGTTTCGCCCACAAAATACGTTGTATTCTGTGAAGCGCATGGAGACATCTTGAAGACGTGATAAGGAGGTATATGAATTGCAAGGATCATTATTATTATTATTATTATCATCATATTCAACTCTGGAAGAAAGCAGCAAATTATATTCACAAAATGTTATGTTTGGGAATTATTGTCCAGGTCACTCCCCAATGCTCTACTACCGTATGGAGAGAATAATGAAATTCAATAAAGCCATCCCAAATGCATAATGAACGCCCATTTCCTAAAGCATTGATTGGCATCCATTAGTCAAGTCCAAACAGTGACAATATTGAGTTGCAGTGGTCCAGCCCAAAAAAATGCAATGATTATTATATTACTGATCTTCAACGACAGGAGTATAGCAGTTTGGAGAATATCTTTGCTTTGCAGGAACACACTGATTGATTGTAATGTCCTGTTTGTACTGGCCGGCCTTCTCTGGTGGGAATCAGTACTGAATGTATTCTGGCACCAATTTCTTTGGCTACACCCTGTCGAACCCCATCCTCCAATCTGACAGTGGCATGAATTTACTCCGCCTGCACCAGATAAGGTTTAATGTCAGTAGAGGTTCAGATGTGGTGCAGCATAAATAGTGCAGCTCCTTCAATTTGGCACGTCTCCATCATTAACATTTGTTTAATATCCTGATTCTTCACAAACATCAGGCATTTTTTTTTTTGGTCAATGAGCTGAATGTTTGAAATTAAGGGCAAACCTGCTAATGTTATATTCTTGAGGTGGGCAGGCATTAACAAGGTCAATGTTTCTCAACATTTATTAATATGATCTTTCACCAAGTACTAGGAGAGACACTGCTGGATTTAAAACACTTCTTCCACTTCCATTTCCAATGGGATTAAAGTCTCTTCTTTGGCTGAAGGGATCAAAATGAAATGAGTTTCACAATCTCAGTGCTATTCCCAATGGGTGTAGTCCACAGATTGTCAACAATTTAGCACAAATGCTGCCAATTTAACTGATTCAGAGCGAGGCCTCGGAAATCACTGCTGAATACAGTTTTTATTAAATATGTATTTTTTATTTCCTGTTCAGGAATGATGCGAGTTCAAATATTCTTGCTCAGGTTGCTTCCTCCACTCATAAAGCATGCAGAACAAAATGGATTTTGCCATAACACGCTCGTTCTGATCAGTTGAAAACTAATCAAATCCCAACTTTAAAGGTTTTATGCATTGCCATTGTTGCCACGAAAAGATTTTGAATATAAATTTAACTCAGAAATGTCAAAATCCCACTGCGCGCTTTGATCCCTTGAATGAGGATTTTTAATGTGAATACACAGCCATGTTAGGATGCTTTAGGGAGGCAAGCTTTCAATTCAATGTTCACTTCACTAAACTATTGAAAATTATAACCAACTAATCCACATTCATTTCAATTTTTGTGCAGCTTACTGCAGTCGTGTGATCATAACGACCAAATCTACTTTGACTGTAATAACCAAATGTAATTGGACTGGTTTGAAAAGAATCCAAACATTAATTTTCCACATGATTAGATTAGAATTTAAAATGGATTATTCGACATTGAAGATCCCATTTTAAATGGCCTCAGCCAGCATTCTCTCTCTGGTGTGTGAATTAGGACTGTGTACTTACGAGATGCCCAGAGCTGCCAACGACCCAATGGGGATGTTGGAAGCAGGTTTTTGTAGGTCTCCACTCATGTTGAATCCAGCCATTACCCCTGAATATAATATAAAGAGGATTTATCCAGGTTAGCACACCAGACAGTGAAATTGAGGGCATGGCTTTTCTACAACAACAACGTGCATTTACACTTCGCCCCGCACACAGGGTAGCGTCCCAGAGCGCTTGACAGTGGTGGAGCACAAGGCCGAGCCTGGGAGGAGAGGTGACTGTAATCACGGTCGAAGAGGAAGGTCTTCAGGCGCGACCTGAAGATGGGGAAGGAGGGGACAAGGTGGAGGGAGGGATAGAGGAAGAGTGTTACAGGAGTTTCGGCTGTAGTGGCTGGAAGAGTGGCCAGTGATGGTGGATCGGAAGGCACAAGGGACATGCAGGAGGCCAGAGCCAGTTGAGCGGAGGCAGTGGGTTGGGGTGTAAATAGGTCGGAGACGTGGGGGGTGCCAGGACATGAAGGGATTTGAAATCGAGAGTGAGGATCTTGAAGTTTCTGCTACACATGTTGTGAATAAACTGTATGATGACCTGGATCTTCTTCTTCAAAAAAAGTGCTGAAAATATTTGCTTAGATTATTTGAGTAAGAAATTGTACGAAGTTGTGCAAAAGCGTACAAAAGTGTTGTTCGGTTTCATCACATCTTTAAGCCTCGCACTGCAAGGTCAAGATGGAGCCGTTACTCAGTAGAACTTCCAGACACATACACATTTGACATCTTTCTTGTGTGTTGCTCCCTTCCTAATTACAGAGAGCATGTCTTGGAATATCTTCTTCCACGAATGCTAAACAAATATACAAAAGATTGCAGGGAAGATACAAATGATTGTAAATAGCCATAGAATGAAACCAGAGCCCTCTGAAATCTGGATGACATATGACATTAGCAACTTTGACTACAATCTGATCGTCACGGTAAGTAGACATGTGAGTATTGATCAACACATCACAAGATAAATATGTAGAAATTATGAATTTTCCGTGGCGCTGTGTCGACAAGATATTAGATGCAACTAGACATTTTCTAGATAACGTATTGCATATTGCTGATCAATATCCAGCATCCCATGTGGCAAAGTCAAAAGGATCAGTTTACGATACTGCTTTAATGGTTAACTATTGGGTTACAACAAGTGCCGAGAATGTGGAACTCACTGCCAGAAGCTGTGTTGAAGCAAATAGCTTCAATGTATTTAAGAGAAAACATGATGTATATGTGAGGGAGAAGGGATTGGAGGATTATAGAATTATTCTTACCCGTTGCAGTTGGAAAGAAAACACCAAACACAGTGAAGAAACTTTCTTCTGGGCTATAGTCTGGTAATGTGTTGTTCCGAAGTAACTCCTCACTGTATCCCACAAACCCATAATCTAAAGGAGTCAAAAGTGATGTTCAATTATTTTACATTTCAGTCTCAAATAGGAATCAAAATATCCTCAGGAGAGAGGAAAAAAAAAGAAGAAAAATTGCGGGGACAAAAATATTTATATATTCCTTCTCATAAAAAGTTTATAGTAATAATAATAATAGTCATTGCATTTGATAAAGTGTCTTACCACATCTTTGAGACGTCTCAAAGAGCTTCACAGAATATACTGTAAAGTGAATCAACTGTATAGTTTGTGGGTGAAACGCAGCAGCCAACTGCGCACAGCAGCGTCCCACCAACAGATGTGGATTGAGTGACCAATTTTTTTTTTTTGCCCAATTGGACCACGGGAAGATAATGCACGTCAAGGTAATCATTCCTTGTTATAGCACCGGTTAGGAACTTTTACACCCCCAACTACTACATTTTAACAGGGCTCTACTTTATTTCCTTGCTGGTGAAAAACAATAATTGGGAAGGTCAATAGAATTATTACATAACCACATATTACAATGCAATCTTCGGCCTTGCGAAGCCAAGATATTTTTAGGCCTCCAATGAATATGCACCTGTTCTCGTGTTCTCTGTAAGCCAAGGCTACAGCTGTGTGCTCACAAACAGCTGGGTAGCTTACCACCTTATAAACCCTAATAAATTATACTGCACATTCTTTAGACAATCCAACCTTACCTCTCCCACCTATTTACATAAAGGATGACCGTTGAGAATTCATTGCATTTGGTACTTTAAGGCAGGCTTGTGCACACATGCAATAAACTGGAAACATGTTATACGCCCACTATTGTAGAGGGACAGTATTTGAGAGCAAAACATTATTTTGTGTATTATTATTATTATTTGCCTTGTATCTCAGAATAGCACGCAGTTCTCGTATGATAAAATGTGACAAATGTATAATACTGGTAAACCACCTGTAGTGTGTAAATAAGTAGTAAGTAAATGTTTCCAGTCCAGCTCGATAGGACTTGACTGCTGCAAAATGTCTGAGCATGTGTCTCTCATGCCAACAACAGCAACTTGCATTTATAAAGCAGGGTAGCATCCCAGAGCACGTGTGCCAGTCATCAACCTGTTTATATTCCACAGAGATTTTTTTCCCCCCTGAATTCAAAGAGCTTTTATAATAGCGAAAATATGAGTTTTCCTGATATGACTCCAGCATTAATACATTTACCAGTGATACTGGATGTAAAATAGCTGCAAAGGTTGACACTAAATTAATTTCCTTGCTCTTTCAATGCTGTAAAGGTATTAAAGTGGTGTTCATTATACCAGACACTCTATTGTTAACAGGGCCTGATAACACAGATGGACTTATAGTCAGAATGGATCAACATATCCCATTTGTGTCTAATCTCACAGGGCATCAAGCCCAATCCAGAATGACACTGAACTAAATATGGTGGCATCTCTGATCCATATTCACCAACCAACTCAGAGTATGCAATAGGTATTCTGTATTAAATTACCCTTCTAGATTTCAAATGTAATTTCCTTAAACATTGATTCAAGGGTTAGTGGATTCGCCATCGAGAGACGATTGGGTAGGGGGTGAGGGGGAGAGGGAAAACATAATCTCTTGTGTCTTGTAAAAAAAATGGTCCTCTGAAAAGTAGTCCAAATGTAATTCTGTGCTCAGGACAAAAAGAGGTCAGTCATTATGTAAGTGTACTGGAAGGATACAAACTCTTGCCAAGAGGCGTGCAAACAACAGCTTATTACAAATTATTTGGGGTTGGCCAAATTCAATAATCCTGTTCACAAGCTTAAGCAAATGCTGGCATAGCAACACAATTCTAACAGTGTTGTTTACGACTTTATTGCTCTCAAAGGCAGCACCCGATCACTAAGGAAGCTTATTACATGAGATCTAGATACACTCGCTCCATTTTTTTTAAATATACGGCCTCAAAATGAGGCTAAACAAAGCAATTCCCACTGCCTATCGCTCTTTGGAAAAGAATGTACTCTCTCAGAGTAATGACGTGTTTACCCGAAAGGAAGTTACCTCCCTTCTCAAACACAGTCTGTTTGTTCCTTAGCTTCTCCTAACTTCAGATCCTGACTAGTCTCAGAGGCTTTCTGTTGAAAGCCGTCACCCAGTCTGGCTTCCTGCCTCTTGTAGACTGTTTATTTCTCGAGGTGCAACGCCTTATAAAGAAGTCCACTCAATCACATCAATCTGGATTTTTCTTGTAGTATCCTGGTAATCATCGAGTCTTAAGTTAAAGCCTGGCAATTCAGTGCTGCTTGAATGTGTGATGAGCCAACATTTGATAAGTAAAATCAGCCTCGTCTACTCGGTGGGCCAATTTGCATAACTGGCTCAGATAAAAGTGTTTGCGTTCAGGAAATGGACATTTTGTTAATGTTAAGACAAAATACTGCTGATGCTGCAATCTGAAATAAAAACAGAAGTGTCTGGGAACACTCAGCAGGTCAGGCAGCATCTATAGAGAAAGGAAAGCGAGTCAAAGTTTCGGGTCCACGACCCTTCGTCAGAACTCAAAGGGATAAGTAAAGGGATAAGACCAGGTTTATTGCTTCAACAAGAAACTGGATATAGCACATCACCATATAGAGCAACACACACGCATATGTACACACACACACACACACACACAGTGAAATTATATCATATTTTTCTTAATTTTATTTTAAATGGTTTGATTAGTAGCAAAAAAACCCTTGCATTCAATAAAGCGCCTTATCATGTCTTTGAGACGTCTCAAAGTGCTTCACAGAATATACTGTAAAGTGAATTGACTGTATTTCGTGGGCGAAATGCGTCATATTATACTACATTATATTATAACAGAATATGACAATTTGAGGTGTTTGAAAGTGGTTAACAAATACTAACAATACAATCTTGAATTTGCCTATTCTCTCAGGGAAAGATTAGTGTGCTGATGAGTGTGAGTTAATAAATGACTCAGATATCCCCCTGAAGTGCTCCATTGACAGAGGGCCAGGAACAGTTCATCTATTTACCCTCTCTCCAGATTGGGGAGGGGCAGGAATAGATGTTGTCAGGGGAGCGGTCGAAGAGAGACAAAGGTAAAAATAACTTGAAAAATTAACATTTCAATAATGTTTCCATAGAACTGAATAAAATGCAACATTTCCCCTAAAACAGGATGCTGCTTCCGTTTCCAATTGGTAATGAATGAATTCCATGGTCACTTTTGTAGTCATCAGTTGCCAAACTCTTACTACACACACGTATACACACACACATACACTGACTGCATACACTTTCCTGAGTCGCCAACACATTCAGGATGTACTTCCAGGAAGTCTAACCAGCCCATTCTCCACCCTCGACCTCCCTTTTGATCCACATCATCTTAAGCGTACCTTTTATTCTGCAATTAGAGAAAAAACCCCACAGGCACAAGCCACACTTCAAACACTGCAAACTCTGCTTGATAACAAGACTTCAGGATTTTCCAAAGAATTACTACATGTATTTAATTAGTATTCGACAGGAAATGATTTCCAGTCCATAGTTAATATTCCTTCCTCCAATAAAGCTTGCACGATTTACATTCCAATGAACATAGAAGATACTTTTCTTGTATTAAGCACTATATTATCAAGAAGATCATTCTGGTTTTCGGATTTCAGTTAATCAGTGTCATCTTGCAGGAACTGCTAACAGGAAATCAGATGATGTGCAATTTTATAACAGAATACATTGCATTTACACCATCTCTTCTCAGGGGGCTTATAACTGTTCTTTACAACCCTGATTTCCTGCTGCATCAGTTGCCAACCACAAAGCTCTTATGTTTTCACACTACCATGTATGTGAGTTCTTACAACTTTTCCGAGTACTCTCAACAGTCCTTCATATACAACCACAAGTAAAATACAGCATCATCACTCTGCACATTCTACCTCCAGTTCTGCAAACAACAAACAACAAGATTATATTTCACGTTGGGAGGACGTCCCAAGGTGCTGGACAGAGTATAGCATTTCAGACCCAAGCTGGGGTTGTGGGTGTAAGGGAGGGGAGGGACTACTATAATAATAATAATAATGCTTGCATTTGATATAGCGCTTATCACGTCTTCAAGACTATTTGGAAGATCCAGTCCCTTGTTTTAAACCATCCAAGATATGATAAGACAGAGGGTAAAAGCAGCTTAATGCAGGAACGCTCAGTTCCAAACAGTGGCTGCACATTGAAAATATGGGAATCCTTATATCAGGGTAATGTGGATAGTGCAACGTGGATAAGGAAAGGGAGAAATCAAACCTCTCTAGATACATACGCTGCTGCCAAAAGGACATCGCAGTCATGATGCAGAACCACTAACTGGCGCAGAACTGTTTAAGTGTACAGGAAGGTGTGGCTGCCAAGTAATTGTTTAGTCTGGAGAGTGTAACAAGCTTTACAGTGGAATTGAATTGTTTTATTCAATAAGGTAAAATGAAGGCAAGGAAGATGTCAGCCTAAGGCATGACTGCCAGATCCAAAGGAACTGTATTGTTTTTTGTATCAAAACATTATATACATAACAGTATCTACATAACAAACACAGTATATACATAACATTATATACATAACAAAACATGACAGTGGAGTCCTGTAGCTCAGCGGTTAGAGACTCGCCTCGCAAGCAAGAGGACCTGGGTTTGATTCCCGGCAGGGCAAAACCTTGGGCAAGTTTCCTTACTCCACACACCTGATAATAATCCCTCAGTGAAAAAAAAACAATAATTTGGTCACTTCAATCCATGACTGTTTGTGGGACACTGCTGTGCGCAATTGGCTGCTGCATTTCGCCCACAAATATACAGTCAATTCACTTTCCAATATACTCTGTGAAGCGCTTTGAGATGCCTAACCGGTGCACAGAGACAACCCTAATGAATAGCTCCCTTTGGCATGAAGCATTTTACACAGAAGTGGGTGGGAAAGATCATAGGAAGAAGGTTGGAGTCAGAGCTGTATAGGGACAGGCTGGTTTCTCATTATCCTGAAATCTGGGTGAAGCAAGGTTACACCCACGTTAGTACAAAAAACAGCTCATTTCAGCTCTGAGGCGTTGATCTGCTCTCTGATTACTGCATCCAAATGTCAAAGATAAACCTGGCCCATGGGGACATCTTACTGTATCTGGCAATGTGAAGCCGCCTTGAGCCTTCCTGTGGAGACGACATTCAGTCTCACTTTACAGGCTACAAGGGACGCGTATTGATGTCTCAACACCCTTTTATATAAAATGTTTCAACGTGAGACAAGCTGGCTGCGCTAAAGCCGTGTGCCACAGTCATTACAAACTCCACTTTACAGTATATTCCGTGAAGCGCTTTGAGATGTCTCGGAGACGGGATGAGGCGCTGTATCAAATGCAAGGATTATCATTATTAATAAATGAGGATGTGTACTTTGTGGGCGAAACGCGGCAGCCAATTGCTCATAGCAGTGTCCCTCAAACGTCATGGATTGAGTGACCAAATTGAGTTTGGTATTGAGATACCAGCAAACAAACGGACAGGTGTTTAACAGGATGGCGTTTTGTGGAAGGAATACTGTGTGAGTGTGAAGGGAGGGGGGAACAATGGGCATTTGGGATTGGGAGAAGACCCCCTCTCTCTCTCCAGTTGTAAGAGGCAGACAAAAACGTCACTGTGTGAAAACCAAACGAAAACAGGGTGAGGAATGGCTGAGGGAAAAATAAACAAGTTCCACCATTTCTTTTACAAAGAGGAACAGACAGCTACAGACAACAGCACAGCGGGTTCACCGTTACTATTTCCTGTAACCCGAGTTTACCAGTAACATAACTAAACACAGGAAACGAGGCACACTTGAAACTTTTAATTCTTCACTCAGTAACTTCTGCCGCCCTAATCTTTTAGCTTCTGGGAGACATTTTAAACCGTTGGAACTCTCATTTCGTTCACGCTGGATCGAAGTAGCGTTGTATTTGAAAAGCAAGTGATGTAATTTCCTTTGGGGCTCGGTGGGTTAGATAGGCCTGTTCCTGATGTTGTGGCGTCTCCAGATGTATTGTAAAAACTGAAAAGCAGTAAATTAGGAGAGGGACAACCTGTAGCACAGCGACCTCGGCTGGCTCCTGAAGGTACTACTCTGCAAGCTGTAAAATAATAATAATAATCCTTGCATTCGATATGGCTTCCTATCGGGTCTTCGAGACGTCTCAAATCGCTTCACAGGATATGCTGTGAAGTGAATTGACTGCATAGGCTGTGGGCGAAACGCGCACAGCAATGGGTCCGCATTTCTCCAGGGTGTGGCTGATGACAGCGCAGCCCAGTCTGGCTCATCAGCAGGACACGGAGGGACAGAGCAGTCACTGGGGGCAGGGAATCCTCCCCCTCAGCTCCTGTTAATAACCCGGCAAGACAAAGCTCTAACAAGTAGGGTGGGCCCAGCTGGACAAGCAGTGGGAAAGCGTGCCAGCCAGTGCTCTCAAAGGCAAGCTTTGCGGTTTCAGCTGGTTAGACTCCAGCAGTTAGCCCCCAACACAGACTCTGGGGTCTCCCGAGCCTTGGCTCTTGCCAACCTGCATCTAAGATGTTCCAGAATTAGGTAAGCAGAATGCGTCCCTCCAGGGGGTGGGGAGAGAGAAAGAGAGCATTCCATGGAACAGCTGCTCTCCGAGCTAAACACAGTAATGTAGGTAATTACCGTACTGTAGAGCTATTGGATTCCAGGCACAAAAGCGTTTATAGAATGTAATTGCACAGGGACCTTTTTTGCTCCAGACTCGCGGCTAAACTGGGGTTTACACAATCAGCAGTCCAAGAGAAATGAAGCAACCAAAGAAATGGAGCAGGCCGAAAGAATCAGAAAGGAAACTAGGAACGCAATGACAAGAAACTCATGTGCCTTTCAACATAATCTGGAGTCCTATAGTTTAGTGGTTAGAGCGCTCGCCTTGCAAGCGAGAGGACCTGGATTAGTTTCCCGGCAGGACGAAATATTGGGCAAGTTTCTTACTCCACATGCCTCTGTTTACCGAGCTGTAAGTAAGAACACGGTCGTTAGTCGATTAGTGGATCACTTTTCCGGGGGTAATAATCCCATAAAAAAATTGGGTCACTCAATCCATGACTGTTTGTGGAACACCGCTGTGTGCAATTGGCTGCTACTTTGAGACGTCTGGAAGACGTGATAAGGCGCTGTATCGAGTGCAAAGGTTATTATTATTATATATCTCAAATTAAATAATGTTTAACAAATAAAATGACAGACTTATCCAGGTCTTAATGCTCATCATCAGACAAAAAAGACAGAATGCCAATAAATGCAAAGAACCATTCTTAGTGTATTAATATCTATGGCTGATTGGTATTGTTGTGTGAGCAGTCGCAGCCCCTCCAAGGACATGGTAAATTTGGATTTGTAGAAACTAACTGAACAAACTGACAATTGCATTTTCTTACCTGGGTCTAAGTGTGAGAAAGTCCCAATAACAAAATCCATGGTAGCGATAGCCAGCATCGCAAGTAAGAGCAGCTGAAGTCGGATGATCCATTTGACGCCTGCGAGATTAATTCCCAGTAATCCCATCAGCACAGCAATGGAAATCCCTCGCACTGCCCAGATGTTACTGAGATCCAACAAGTCAGCAATGGATTCTGCAAAGCCTGTGATGTACATAGCACCTGTAACACACTGTAAGAAAGCATCATTAATCTCTTATAAACATATGATTCCTGCTGAAGTCCTGTAGCGTAGTGGTTAGAGCACTCGCCTGGCAAGCGAGTGGACCCGGGTTTGATTCCTCGGCCTATTATGCCTATTACACAATATAAGGGATTGTCTAAAGAAGTGGAAGCTGTGTGAAAATGTGTTTACCGTTAATAAGGTGAAGTTTAGACAATTTTTAAATGGCAAAATATGTTCACAGTCCCACTCTTATAAAGCATGTGGAGAAACGTTTCCCTTTACCTGTCCAAACACGTAGAGAAGTCCAAAGGTTCCCCCTACACGACCTCCCAAAACTGTAGAGAGCATCGAATACACTCCACCACTCCCGAGACTGCACCGTTCCCACACCCCAATTCCAGATAGAACCGTCACCAGAGCAACCGAGACAACCAGGGTCACCATGAACATTCCCAGCAGGACGCCAGTATTTCCCTGCGATGAAATGGAACAAAACAAGACGGTAATCAGAGTTTTTGAGACCAATCATCAGCCCCGCCGCCGCCCCCCACCCCCCCTCACCCCCTCACACACACACACACGATAAACTCAAAGGGAAAATGTAACCTGACCCCCCACATTGGCTACTTGCCAGCCTCTATCAAACTGAATTGACAACTCCAGGGGAACCACGAGAAACCTGTGCTACTGTGCACCGTATCTAGTGGCGGGAGCACTGATGGGAAGGTAGCAGACAATGGACAACTTACAGACAGGTGTCCGCTTTTGCCGGTCGCCGGCCGGCTAACCCTGGACGTCGGGCAAATAAAACGAAAGGTCCGGCAACCGAATCATTTGTATTGAGTTCGGACGATAGGTACGTTACCAACCAGAACACGTTCAACGTCAATACCAAATTTCCCAAGTAAGCGTCATTCGCTTATACATTATTTTTACGTAGAAGGTCTTAAATAAATAATGATGGTAAACAAATTAAAGAAAGACGACACTCACCACAAGCCACCCGGTCCGCAGGAACAGAACAACACCAAAGATGTTGATCATACAGGAAGTAAAGACTCCGTCCCATGTTCCAAACAGCACAGGTTCCCAGACAAAAATCTGGACCTTCCACCAGGGCTTCACTTGGGACTGCGAAACCTATTCAACCAAGCAAATAAATAATATTAGCCGGAAGTTCTCTGAACTTCCTAAGCATAAGGTCCTACAGACTTTGTGAATGTAAGTTGTTCAGCATTCTGCCTCAAACTGAGAGGATAAATAATGTTCTGACAACAGATGCTACCCACTTTATCTCTGAGCTCTCGTCATTAAATTAGCTACCTTGCTGCTTCGCGCTGAAAAGCAGATGATTTAAAAAATAAACTTGTATAAAAATAATAATAATCCTTGCATTTGATACAGAGCTTTTCACGTCTTCTCGACGTCCCAAAGCGCTTCGCAGAATAGGCTGTAAAGTGAATTGACTGTGTATTTGTGGGTGAACGCGGCAGCCAATTGCGCACAGCAATGTCCCACAAACAGTCGTGGATTGAAAATGACCAATTTATTATTGTTTTGTTTTGGAGGATTATTATTAGGCTCTGTGTGGAGTAAAGAAACTTGCTCGAGGTTTCACCCTCTGCCGGGAATTGAACCCAGGTGTCTCGCTTGCAAGGCGATTGCTCTAACCACTGAGCTACAGGACTCCACATTTTTGCAAGCTTCACAAAAGTATTTGCATTTAGTCTAAAGTCCAATTTGTTTCGTGGAATAATAGCATGAAATAATTTGCCCATTTTTCAGCTGTGATTTAGCTACACCTACAGTGTATCAATAATCCGTGCATTCGATATAGCCCCTTGTCACGTCTTCGAGACCTCTCAAAGCGCTTCACAGAATGCACTGTAAAGCGAATGGACTGCATATTTTGTGGGCGAAATGTTATTTCACAGAGGCGAGTCTACAGATAGCATTTTAGGCTGATTTAAAGTGGAGCTATAAACAGTTTTGTGCTGTGGACACAGTATAAAATAAACTGAAGCAGTTACACAACCACTTTATTCTCTCAGTTTGAGGTAGATCGCAGAATGTCCTACTCACGAAAAATAAAATTCAAGTTATTATCGCCTCTCTCACCTGTGCGTCTTCGTGGAAAAGCTCTTGTACATGCCGAACATTTTGAGATCCACTTGAACCATTTTGAAACAAGATTGGTTTATCCTCCACCTTTGAATTGGACACGAAATTCCAATCCATCAACACCTCTTCCATGATGGCACTCGCCAAAGGTTCCAGCCAATCTACATCAACTCCTAGACTCGATCAAACCACGTCTTACCTTGAGAGGAGACCACGTCATCTTTTACCTTAAAACACAGGTCAAGTCTTAGATAAACCATTATTAGATGGATTACTGCACATTCCCTGATAAGAAATCAACTGCAGAAGATTATAATGCGTGAGGCTATAAATTCTGCGATGGCTCAAAGCTCGGGACGCAAATTAGGTTTGTGATATTAATATCAATCTATTAATCTTGCATCTGGGTTTCCTATGGCACTGTCTGAAACTCTGATTGCATTGAACAAATATGTCAAAATAAGAACACATTTCGTATTCTACTTTGTTAACACTTTAAAAGATGAAATAATACTTTTGATCCAAAAATGCTTGCCTTTTTTAAAAAAAAAGCTAAGATGATTAAGAACTTGATGCTTTTTTTCCTTCCCCCGTCGACACTTGCTTGTAAAATTAAACATTACAGAAAACAATTGACTTTGTCACAAAAATAAATCATGCACAGTCACTACCTCATACCTCATCTGCCCTCAGGCCGAGACCTATAATCCGGGACTATTGCACACCTATTGTTTGTCAAAGTGACCGATTAACAGCTCTACAAACAGAAGCCACGAACCATAACAACTGTTGCCCCATTTGCTCTCCCAGAACTGCCTTGCCCTTAATCTTTACTGTTTTAATCCTTCTGCCATTTCTTCGCATAATCTTTTCATGACTAAACTAGTTTTAAATGTTTGCATGCACCAATAATAATAAATAATGATCCTTGCATTTGACACAGTGCCTTATCTCGTCTTCGAGACGTTTCAAAGCGCTTCAGAGAACACACTGTAAAGTGAATTGACTGTGTATTTTGTGGGCGAAACGCGGCAGCCAATTGCGCACAGCAGCGTCCCCACAAACAGCTGTGGATTGAGTGACCAAGTTTTTATCTTCAATACTTGCCTTTTGTTGCTGAGAAGACACATTACATTTTAATTGTCAGATGGAAAGTAAAATGTACCTCATCTATGCCTCAGGTGACCACTGCTCTGTTGCAGTGTGAAAGAAAGAAAGAATGGCCACTCTGTGACATCCTGATTGAGCAGTGCTTCCACAATCCATTGGCCCCAATGATCATGTCCTGGTAACATCAAGAAACACCCAATGTCCTAAGAGGGAGAAGTTCTACACCAAATGTTTGCTTCCAGCCAGCAATTCCAAAGTAGGGGCCCCCTTCTGGTGAGGGAGAATTGAGATAATAATAATAATAATAATTCTTGCATTTGATACAGCGGCTTATCACGTCTTCAAGACGTCTCAAAGCGCTTCACAGAATATACTGTAAAGTGAATTTGACTGTATATTTGTGGCAAAACGGAGCAGCCAATTGTGCACAGCAGCGTCCCACAAGCAGCCGTGGATTGAGTGACTAAATTATTATTATTATTATTAATGTCCGACCCAAATAAGTTTCCTAAACTTTGCCATGAAGGAAAATGCTTCTTAAAGATTCAGTTCAGCACTAGTTCAGACTGTTTTCTATTCATCAATCAATGGAATGCTGCAGCGCAGCATTGTTGGAGCTGCACTTTGTTCCTACCATCATTTATCAGTTATCATTCCTCATTTATGCAAAGAACTTTTTGTATCCGGCTCCGGGAAACACCTTCTTTATTATCTTGACAAATACAACTAACTACCTTTCCTTACTTACTCAAGAAAAAAAACAATAATAAATTGGTCCTTTCAATCCACGGCTGTTTGTGGGGACGCTGCTGTGTGCAATTGGCTGCCGCGTTTTGCCCACAAATGTACAGTCAATTCACTCGGAATCTATTCCGTGAAGCGCTTTGAGAAGTCTAGAAGATGTGAAAAGCGCTATATCAAATACAAGGATTATTAATATTAGTATTTCCCCACCTCACCAGCTAACCTTGGCATTGACAGTAGTGAATACAAACTACGTCTTTCATGTTCAGTGCAACTAATTGCCAACTGCATTCGGTTTAACTAAACTTTAAACTTTACCTGTTCTGTTCCGTCCCAGCGAAAACCATCAACTTTCTCCTGCCAAAGAATTCTGCCCTGAAACCCGAAGCAGGTTGTGAAGAAACCGATTGAAACGATCTGCGTTAAAAGCTGTCCAACGAGTCGCTGAATCCCAAGACGAACTTCGGCAGCCGTTTAAAACAAACAAGTGTAACAGTTCAGCTGCCAGCAGAGCAAAGCAGAGGCAGGTAGCCACAGAAAAACACTCCCATCTCCCACACCAATGACAAGGGTCTGTAGGAACATGTGAAGCTCTGTGACTCACTTACATCCACCCACCTTCCCTTACCTTCAATTCCTGGAGCTGGTTTTTTGAAGCGCACACATTCCATTAGGGCTGAACACGCACACACGGCGTGAGTGAGTCACTTCGAGTCACTCTCCAGTATGCCACGTATTCACCTAGAAATTGGTGACAGTGAACCAGCTTCAAGTGATAAATGGATGTAAATAAACCTAAAAAAAGAGTGCAAACAATGTCACATCTCAAATCTTCGTTAGTTAATACAGTATTTCCAAAGCTTCTATTGCTTGTTGAATGTGCTTTTGACTGAGCCTCACTCGCATAATATATAATTATGCATATATTAAGCATATGTTGAAACTACGGTTTATGAATAATAATCCATGCATTTAATATAGCCCCTTATCACGTCTTCGAGATGTCTCAAAACGCTTCACACTGTGTGGGGGCGAAACGCAGCCGCCAATTGTGCACAGCAGTGTCCCACAAACAGTCATAGATTGAGCAACTAAATTATTATTATTATTTTAAATTTATTTTTGCTTTGAAGGGATTATTAACCCCGGTAAAGCGATCACGTGTGTGAGTATCCAATTCCCTACATTATACCTTGAAGGCATAGACGGTAACAGGAGTGGTAGTAATAATAATCCTTGAATTTGATATAGTGCTTTTCACGTCTTCTCGACGTCTCAAAGCGCTTCACAGACTATATTGTAAAGTGAATTCATTGTATATTTTGTGGGCGAAACACGGCAGCCAAATGCACTAAGCAGTGTCCCACAAACAGTCGTGGATTGAGTGACCAAATTATTATTATTTTTTTCTTGAGGTATTATCAGGCGTGTGGAGTAAGGAAATGTGCCCAAGGTTTCGCCCTGCCGGGAATCAAACCCAGGCTGCTGTACATTGTATCAGGCAAGTAGAGAAAAAAATAAGATCGGATAAGGGGAAAAAGTGAAATTAAGTTTAAATATAATAAAAGTAGCAGTGGCTAAAGCGGAAAGATCAGTGGAGAGAAGGGAATAAAGGACAAAGAAAATGGTTCAGATTTCAAAAGGCACATTTTGTTCGAGGTTTACTACAATATAAAGTTATTTTCAGGTAATATTGGCTTTACCATTGCTGTGAATGAGCTGAACCATCGTCAGGTTAATGATTAATAAAATAGCACTTGCAGTCTCTGTTAATAAGTAGCCCTGTGTCCCATTGGTCGACTTTGATCACTTTTTCTGTTCAACGTTAGTCCCTCACTTGTTCTTCCACCATCAGCAATGGCCATTCCGTCTCTCTGCCCCCTCCCTTTGGGACTCCATCCCAGTCCATTCACCCTCCCTGACCTCCTTCAACACTCTTCTCAAGACCCTCCTCTTCGACTGCACTTTTGGCTCACCCTCCCACCCCTACCCTCCCTGCCCTCCACCCTTTCCTGATCCCAACCCCACCCCCTGCACCAGCGCCTTGGGACGTCCTCCCCACGTGAAAGGCGCCGTGTAAACGTTGTTTGCTGTTGCTGTTGTTGTGCTGTATCCATTCACAATACATTACAGTTCTATACTTTAATAAATAAAAACGTGGTGCCTTGTTAAGTTTGTTTGTAGTTTTATTTTTGTAACTAAAACAATGATTAGGCAGAAAGGTATTCACTGCGGTAAAGATGTCACTGATATGAAGACAAAGTGAACATTACAGTAGCAGGTTTCACACAATTGTCACACACACACACACACACCATACACTCACACAAATTGTCCGATCAAAATCCTTTAAGACATGGTAGTATTACCACCTTGCAAATGTTTGTTCAGCATCATGGTTTAAGAATAAGGACCAACAGATGTCTAACAAGGATTTCATACCATTTATTTATATCTATGCATTAAAAAGACGCCTTTAAAAGATGAAAACCTGATGCTTCCAAATATTCTAATACAGTTTATAAAGTACTGTATACAGTTTGATAATTGATTAAAGCATTATGTGGGATTTGCTTATTATATATCTACATATTTGACCAGACTGCAATTTATCAAACTTGCTCGATCAGTCACTGATGAATTCCATTCCCTCAAACATTTGCGCATCAGTGTTTAAAACCTGAATGTAAAAGATATAACTAAGTTAAAGAGAACAAGTTTTATCATGCAGTGAACAAAAGGATAGACTCGGTGACTCTTATAAACACACAATTCCCTCGCCCAGGTTGATTATGTATGTATTGTACACACAAATTTAAATTTTAAACAAATAAAAGTAAACTTTGCTTTTTACATTGGCTGTGCCCAAGAGTTTGTAACAAATTTAAACTTTTACAATATACTACAAAATTGTTGCTTCTATTTAACACGTCTTCATTCATCGAAAAGCAAGCTTACATATAAAATTGACCAGTGTACTAAAGAGGCCAGAAAAGTATCACTTGGCAACTTCATCCATTTATAAAGGGCTAGCAAACAACATATAAAATTTATATGCAACTGCAATTATAAATTGGATGCTGTTTCACTTTCTATACGTTAACGTTTCATTCATTTCGCTGCTCTGTATAGATAATGCAGTGTCAAACCCTCTCCAGCAATATTCTCCTATAAGGTGAAAAGTTAACTAGTCTGACTGCTCTTGTTTGAACGTTAATTTATTATATACACAAAAATATGAATTATAAGCTATTGAGTTCCCATTGCAATAGAATACAAGTCAAGGCTTTTTTTTTGTTTAAAAAAATGTTCATAATTTAATATTGTAAGCTTTGAAAGTTTTTTTTCCCCATAGTAAAGATTCTTCTGTGTTTATATGACTTCCAACGCTAAACATGAATATGTATAGGTTTCACACAGATCTTAAGTTAGTGACTTTGTTCCCCCTCCACCCCCTCCCCATGGAAGATTATTTCCAAAATTCAACACCTCCCTCCACCTCATACAAAGATATTGGATGTTATTCAGAGACAAGATGACCTATTGATATAAAAATAGCTCCATAAAAATTTCCATTTATCAACATCAAGAGCCAAAAATGAAGCCTGCGTAATGTAAAGCCATATTCGTAATAATTGCTTAAATAAGGTGTGATGGAATAATTTGACTAAAGAATCTGAAGTTGCTTCAACAGAACCACGAGTACAAATCGCAGTGCTTAACAAAAATTCACTCACTGTTCACACGCTGGATAAAATGCAATGCATCAACTGCTCTAACCAAAAGCTAATCAAACGACTGCAATTGCACAGCAACTGCACCAAGACAACACTCTCACCTGCTGCTATAAAGCCCAAACTGGTTTGGGATTGGGATTAAAGTTCAGATCGTTTTTTATTGATATATATATATATATATATTATATACTTTCTGATGAAAACATTTTAAATGTGCATCATTATAACTCAAGATGAATAAAAGATAAAAACGACAGGTATAATTTGAAGCAACCGAGTGTGCAGTAAAATGGAAAGCTGAATGTTTCTGAGTACAGAATTCCAGCATTTAAGAATTAAAACTGTTAATTAAAAAGGGAGTCAATGTGATGTTAAGAGTGTATTTAAAGTTGCAGTTATCTAACCTACTCAGAGTCCCCACTTGTTTCCATATCTTCATAGCTGAATGATTTTTTATCCCCCATACACGTTTTTTTCACGTTAATCTTTTCAAACTGAACAAACTAAGGACAATTTCTAATGGACTCTACAAAGAACCCAGAAACACTATAATTGACAGACCTTCATCAGATTTGGTCCAGTGTTTCCAAGTTCATAGCGAAAGATATTTTTGTGCAGAAAATAATCAATAAGATTGGACTTAACATTGACAAGTACTTGAGAAGTGTTGAGATGAATGTGGAAGAGTTGAAAACAATGGATCTTTTCTGAAATGTGTTGCATTTACACAAAAGATATTTCTTTATAATTACTAGTGCATAACAGGTTCACCAGAGGGCAGGCAACAAATATTAAAGGGACAAAAACATATTCTAAGAATTCCTTCGTACATAATTTTCCATTTACTATCTCTCTCCCAGTAAATACCCCAGAATGTTTCAAACATTATGAAGACAGTACAAATATAAATATAAAATCTACATCTTTGGTGGAAACATTCTTAAAATAAGCTTTTTTTTACAGCAGGTTGAAGAATTCAAGTATTGCTTTGATTAATAGCAAACCCAAATCTTCCACATTCTGGGGAGAGAAGAAAGATTTCCCTAATTGCCGCCTCTGAATTTGAACACTCTCTGCCCCCAAAAGCAGACATCTGGGTTTTTAATACACTATTTTGAAGAGCATCATTAGTTTACGTAGAAAATAGAATTTAATCATCCCATTCAGTTTCCTGCCCAAACACTTATTAAGCAGTGTCTAATTTACTTGAACTCAAAGAAAGTGACTTCTGGCTGGAAATTAATAGTCTAATATATTCTGTAATCAACCATTGAAGAAATCATTACCACATGATTTTAATTGTGGAAAATGCAAGTTTTGTAAGTTGACCACAAGAAAGTCTTTAACGTGCAGTTACGCGGGACTCTGGAGTAGAATTTCAAAAATTGGTAAATTTATCGATTGTTGGTTGAAATACAACCATTCCACATGGCGCAAAAACATTTTTAAAAATTCTAATGAAGCTGCAAATATAGCAGTTTTGTGGCATGTTTTGTGCAGAAGCTGCATTTTAAACTGCGAGTCTTGAAAATACGGTGGATACGTTAGACAAGATCGTCTTATCTACACAGTTAGTGAAGTAATGCTAACTTTCTATGGCAGGACTTAGAAATATTGAACAATTCAATATTGTGAATGGACAAAAGTAGGTGGTACAGATGATTTAATAAGGCAGTCAAACACCTTGGGGGGGGGGGGCTGGGTGTCATCTGCACCACATGATTGGGGCGATATTAATCAGGATTGTGTGAATATTAAACACAACTGAGGAAATATTAAAGCACTCTTTGCGCTCGGATAGTTCCCACTCGAATTGCAACATAGGCAATCCTAAAATAAATAATTAATAAAAAATTGATGGTATCAGCAGAATACTCAATCGGTACCTATAAGAAACCATTTTACCCACTTATGAGTTATGTGGATTTTGTCACAAGCTGAATAAGAATGATACGTTAGTTACCCATTAAGTATCTTCAATATATTTAGACAGATAAAACTGTTAGTTTTGTTTACAATCTTTAGTAAATCAGGAAAGTGCTTAAATTTAAAGATTGAATCCAATAAACATTTAACCGGCAATGGTCACACCTTACAAATACCAGTGACATTTGTATTTTTTCTTTTTGGAAAGTGCCAAAATATGGGGGGCAAGTTACAAGTTTGGGCGCGTAGCAGCAGTGTCAGTGTTAGACAAGTTAAACTCTGCCACAACACAATAACCTTGGGCAAACTGTGTCTGGCCGAGATACACAACAAAATAAAATCGGTGTTCAATTGATGATGCGCTGCAGCATCAAGGTGTTTTGGTTAATCGGAGAGGCCTACATTACCAGACTTCCCTGGAAATGTGTTAAACCAATGGAGAAAAATGTATTAACTACAGACCGTAGAAGCACTCCATTCTATACAGAGCAGCGCTTAACACGGGAATTGTCGCTGTGAAATGCTAATGCTATATTACAAATATTACAACAGCAGATTAACCGAAGGCCTGGCTCGCTGTAGCATCTGGTGAAGAAGTCATTTGCGCTCTGCCCTCGGGCACACTCACTAAGGGAAATTCTGAAAATTCTGCGTTAGACCCACGGGCTCGGTTTACTTGTCCGTTTCCAGCGCTGTACTGGGGAGGCATGGCAGACCTTGTGTTCTGGTACTGAGATCTGAATGTCTGTTCAAATCTGCCCATTTGGTAGGCCTGATGGACCGGCTGGGACTCGACCTTCTTCTGAGACGACACCTGATCCAGAAACTCTGGCGACGGGACCGAGCTGGGATTCGTCTCGTCTCCCGCAAAAGAGAACGTGTGCTGGGAGTCACCGACCAACAAACCGTAATGGGATTTCTCGGTAGACGATCGGAGAGGGGAATCCATGGCTGGCCGAAAGCCACTCTGCATTGCCATTGAGGCCATGGAAGAAAACATTGGTTGACTAGAAAGAGCCTGAGCATCGTTTCCATAAGTGAGATTAGGACTGGGTAAATACGCATCATTCTGGCTAGTTCTATCCAGAGCTTGCTGCAGGAATTTTGAATATTCCTGAAGCATATTGACTTTCTCGGTGGGTGCTGAGTGGGAACTGGCCCCCGGTCTCTCGGCCTGGGCCACCTCGGTTACATCTGAATTGTTTATGGACATGGATGAGGCCACTTCTGTATCGACCACGCCGAAAGGCAGCTCGTGTTGCCCATTAGCCTTGTGAGAATAATGGTCCAGCAAAGTTTGCAGCACCTCGTCAGGAATCCCACTCTTGTCGTGGCTGCTCTTGATGTCAACGCTGAGCGATTGAGAGTCCATCATAGCGGTGGCTGCAGTCTCATCAATAACACTGGCCACGGCTGCCTGAGTCACTGATGGTTGAGATGCGATCTGACCTACATTCAGGGCATACTCTCGGTTGTTATTACTCGCTGCTTGCAAGTACCGTTTTTTCTTCATGAACTGCACTGCGTCGTCATAATTGTTACTGCTCTGCACAGGCTTACTGGGACCTTCCTGTAAGGAATCAGCCGGGTCGATGTCATGATTACCCTCGGAATCCAGCAAGGTCGGTTTATCGACAAGTTCGTAAGGGTATTTAGACACTTTACTCTCTTCGTACGTAGATAACGCAGGTATGGTTTGGCTTGGTTCCAGCTGTGGTTTCTGCTGTCGTTTACTATTAACTTTCTTGATGACCAATTTGGGTGGATGGATTTCTCCAGAAGTGCTCTCAACACTGCCATCGGCGGTTGATGAATGGGGCATTTCCACAGAGTACTCTGCCACCATATATTCATCTTTCACTTTTGAGCCAACAGTATAGAGTGCTGAGAAATTGCCGTCATTGGCAGGGCCATTTTTGTGATCGACTTTATCCACTGTCCTGTCTTTCTCACAGATTGCCATTGAAGTCTTGGACTTCTCCCCTGTTTTTTGCTTCTTTTTTCGAGGCAACGGGTTTGCTTTCTGTGTCGAGGGCAGATTCGGGTCTTCACTGTCTCCCAGATCACCCAACTTCAACGCACACTTCAGCTTTCTGTCTCGGTTTTCGTGGCACATGCGTTTATGCTTTAATACCCGATCAGTTCTAGAAAAGTACTGAAATAGTCACAACATTAGCATCAATAGAATTCCATTTAATCAGTATATTTAATTATTTTTTAAAAAAGCACAGAAAGAATGCAGAATTTAAACATCAACTTGAGAAGCAAAGTTGACAATTTCTGCAACAATACAACAGATCCTAAAATAAAACTTTCCCCGTGGTGTAACAGATAGTTGCACACAGCAGTGTCCCACAAACAGTCATGGATTGAGTGACCAAATTATTATTATTTTTTTAAAATTCAGTTTTGTTTTGAAGGGATTATTATCCCCGGAAGAGATCCGCCAATTGACTAACAACGGGATTCCTACTTACAGCTAGGTAAACAGAGGAGTGTGGAGAAGGAAACTTGACCAAGATTTCATCCCCTGCCCAGGAATCGAACCCAGGTCTCTTGCTTGTGAGGCGAGCACTCTAACCACCGAGCTACAGGGTTCCACATTAGGGTTCAGGGTGCTTTTCAGCAATTGCAATAATCCATTGCTGAATGTAGCTATAATCGTCGTCACAACTAGATTTCTGAAACTCACAATTATTTTTTACTACAAACATTTAATTTGTGCAAAGTCTCCAGTTTCTTACCTGGTGGCAGTATTCGCACTGATATGGTTTCTCCCCACTGTGAGTTCGCTTATGTCTCTCCATATGATATTTCTGTATGAACCTCATGTCGCATTCATCGCAGCAAAACGGTTTCTCACCTGCAATTCCATTTTCCAAACGTTAACACACAATAATATTGCTAAATACTCAATTCCTGGATTTAATTTGCTCATACCTCCCTCTACTGGTTACACTTTTTTTTGAAAAAAACAGAAGCTGAGGCACATAGTGCAAAATGTAATAGAAAATATGATATTTTCCAGTTTCTTTTTTCTGAACTTTTGGCTTCTTCCAAAGATTCTCCTACACTGAGAATAACTGGGAGGTGAGTCCCAGGAGAGCTGTGGTCCATCCTAACTGCAGACACGATCATAGAATCGCAGAATCCTACAGCACAGAAGGAGGCCATTTGGCCGATCATGTCTGTGCTGGCTTTTTGAAAGTGTTATCCATGTAGTCCCACTCCCTGCTCCTTCCCCGCAGTCTTGTAAATGTTTTCTTTTCAAGTAAATATCCAAAGCACAGTAAAGGTCCTTAACAGCATCTCGATTCTTATCCTCTTCACTTGTCAAACGCTCCCACTGCACATGCTGGAACAGTTTAGAATTGGATCTCTTTGGAACGAGGGAAAATGTTCAGAAAAAGAACGAACACTGCTGTCAAATTAGCAACTTAAAAAAACAAAAAAGTTTGACCCTTTCTCACCCATTTGTGGCTTCAGAGTATTTGCACATAACAGAATAAATGGTGTGTACCTGTGTGAATTTTCTCATGCCTTTGCAGCAAGTACTTCTGAATAAACCGCATGTTGCACTGGCTGCACTGATATGGCTTTTCACCTGTAAATACATTTTACAACATTACTATACCTTGTGTAGAAGATAAAAGTATAAAAGTATTCATTTGTGAAGGAAAAAAACATGACATCTAGGTCTCTGCACTTGCAGATACAAACACAAATCAACAAAGCACTGTGCAACGAAACCACAATGCTCCCCTGTAGTTAGATCTGTGGTTTTTTCTGACCAGTTTCCAATAAGAAAACTACAGTGAAAAAGACAAACGATAACTTAGTCCAGCACCGAAAAATTGATATTCCTGAAAATCGTTCCTGCCACCAGTCGGTCGGACTGTCCCATTATCACTTCAGATAATCTGTGATTATATTCAGGGTTTAGCTGAACGGTTGCTCATTTCTATATGGATTTGTTTCTGCCAGGAAACAAGATCTCACATGATTTTTGAGAACATGATCGAACAGCTTGACACAAGTTTGAACTCCTGCTAACCTGTGTGAATGAAGACGTGTCTTTGTAGATGGTAGTTGGTACGAAAGGCAGCACTGCAATGTTCACAGATGTGTGATTTCAGGCATTTTAGCCCAAATGAGCCATCTTCATTTATTGTTAGAACCTGAAGGGAAACAAAAGTTGACAATATCTTTTCCATGTTATGTAAACCTACTGCTGCTACCTCAATTTACAGAACAAACCACAGCTCCACTTACTACGTCAAATTGCTGCACCATTACTGTTGCACTCCTTTCAAAGATTAGTTTAACAATGAGTTTATTTATGTAAACAGTTACACTGCAAATTAAGGAGTGTTGAGTAAAAATCTTGAATAAAAAGCTCATTAAAAAAAATGTTTGTAAGCTATCTGCAGCCAAATATGCAAGAATGACTCAGGAAAATTTAAGTTGTAGCAATGTCTGACATACTTAATTCAATGCTAGTGAGAGACATACTATATTAAAGAACAAAATTGCAATTTTTCCAAGTAGCATTAACAGGATTTTTTAAGTACCTTCAAAAGATATGTTACCTTGAGTGAAATTAGCTGGGTAGACTAAATGGGTAGATGATCAATGATCTGTTCCTGCCTGAACTTGTCACTAGAGCTTTAAATGTGTTTACTAATCATTTTTATGTGGCAAGATTATATATAATCTTACCACATAAAAATGACTAATAAACTACGTTTCGCCCACAAACTATATACTGTAAAGTCAATTCACTTTACAGTGTACTCTGTAAAGCTCTTTGAGACGTGATAAGGAGCTACATCAAATGCAAGGATTATTATTATTACATGTAATTCTTACGCACTTACCTTTGATGGGGAACGCTGTTTTCTTTTCTTTTTCTTCTGTAAATCTATTCCATCTTTTGGTTGTCTCTTATTTCTCTTTAGCTGTCCAGCTTCTTCAGCATACTGTATTTCTTGTTTTACATTTACCTTTAAAACATAACAAGTTATGCATTAAACCAACATAGCAGCTAGCAAACCATCCTCATTCACATTACAATAAACATGCAAATTTGAGAATTTCCATATTATCTTTTTCTGAAACATTTCCTGAAAATGAATTATAATCATTATACTATTTTGGGTAAAATAAACAAACTAAGATATGGCACCTTATTAAACAGAATTACTGATTACATCATATACTTTCTATCAATTGTAACTCTTTTTAAAAAAAACTAGAAGTACCAAACATCTTGAAACAGGAAAAAATTTATGCATTTTATCGGCAGTAAAATAAAGTGAAATATTACCATAAATTAATAAAGTAAAAGTGTTTTCACATATTCCCTTTCTATCCTGTGCAAGGCACCCTTTTCAGAGTGAGAAGACCACTTAGGCACATAAGCGGTCCAAGTCAACTAAGTATTGGTTTTATCTAGGAAACTTTTCCAGACAATAAACATGCGCTTATTAGTCATTTTTATGTGGTAAGATTAGATAGTCAATTCACTTAACAGTATATTCTTTGAAGCGCTTTGAGACGCCTTGAAGACGTGAAAAGCGTTGGATCAAATGCAAGGATTATTATTACTATTATTATTGAGGAGATGGTGAAAATATTTATGACTGGATTCAACTACACCAAGATTAAACAACCTAAACTCACATTCAGTTCATAGGTTAATTCCTGAGGCAGCCTTTCATGTCCATCATTTTCATCCTCGTCGTTTTTAACCGTCTCTTCGTGAATCATTAGTTCGTCGTGTGAAATGAGTTCCTCCTGGGTCAGTGTAGCTCCCTGCAAAACGGCTTCTTCTTGGAGAAGTTCATCGTGAGAAACCTCCCCCTCTTCCAATATAGTTTCCTGTGCTCCCACAAGCACAGATGATTGATCAGAGACTCTGCCCACCACAACCATGGGCCTGAAGACTGCATCTCACCTATACTGCTGCATTTAAGAAAAATTTGGTGCAACTTGTCTTCGATATTCATTCTTCAGTAATATCTAGTACCTGAAGCAAAATTAAGAAAAAAACAGCGTTATGAGGAACTTGTCGAAACTAATTTATCCTAAAAGACAAGGATACAAATTGCACCAAGCAGAAATTCCATTTCTTTTAATTTATTCCAACATTGACAGCACCCATTGAGATAGCAGTTACTGCCAATGATTACTGATGCTGTGACACTTCAATAACATAACAAATGGGTCCAAGTTCGACTGCTGACACTTGAAGGGGAGCAGAGATTAAAATAATTACAATAATAGTACTTAACAGAAATTTCCAGAAAATATAAAGAACATTACATTCATTTAACTGTTGTAGTTAAACATCTTGCTTAGCACATTTAACAAGTCTAACGGGGTGCAGCTNAAAAACACAATGTGCCATACCTTTGACCTGGAAAAGACTGTGAAAATGTGCATTGTACTGGCACATTACATTGGAAAGCTTACTAAACTTCACCAGAATTTTAATGCATTAAATGTGACAAGCAGTTGTTACTACAGCAGTGCTTTTTCACCTTTTAAAATGAGACTTGCGTAATGTGTTTGCATCAATAATGCACGTTCATAGTTGCTCAATTCAAAAGCAGGCAACCTCATCGTAGATTGTGAGGTGAAACAATAAATACACAGGATATTCAGAACATAAAACTTGATACAAAATGGAACAAGGAATAAACCCAGAGTGTACTTTTCTCCTTCTTACATTCCAATTAAACTGTGTATTTCTAGCACTTTTTCGTTTTTAATGTGAGACACGGACTAAATCCCAAGTTTATTTTTCTGCTGTCCCAATGTGGAATATTGGTACTGAGAAACAGAAGGCTATTCCACTCCCAGAAATATGTACATCCAGCATCAAAGTAATGTACAAACAGATGAATTACAGCACAGCCAGAACAAAATTTCCCTGCCCTACTTCACTAAATATCAGGTAAATATCATTCCCTGTCAACCGCCCCCACCTCCGACACCAAAATGAAGCTCTCTATTTCATATACCAGTCAGTATTCCCAAAGTGAGAAGTCAATACAACGTCAATTTATGCCAAAACTATGTTGTGGACACATGCCCAGGAGCGGAGTTGAGACTCACTGAACTCACTTTCACACAGACTGGGTCATCCAGCAAACTCCCAGTGTATGGGCTGGATTTCGTCCAATATTTCTGAGGGGAAAGTGCAGTGTGGTTATGCACGTCACCACCCAGTTGTCACCCTCCAATTATATTCGCTGCCCTTTACGTTACCTCCTCATTACATAGGCTCATTGCAAAAAGATCAGCATCATAGCATTCTTTACTTTTTTTTAAGAAAACTGATTATAATACAATATATTATTATTATAATACATTACATTATAGACGCTGACCTTCACAGAACACTGGATTCTCTTAAACTAGCCATGGGAGAACATTCTTTGCGTATAAAATATAGCAGCACTAAAGTATCTGTAAAGCATAAGAAGATACCCTGTGCACACATAATAGGCAACAGCTACAACCACTGAGAAAAATACCTTCTGAATTACAAAACATGTCTTTCATTCGCATAAGTGCTTCCACGGCCTACTTAAAAACAAGTAATTTTACAGTTGTAACAAACGTACAGCCAAGCTGTGCTTGTTCAATAGTACATATTTTATGGTAAACGCATTGCAGTGCGTGGGTTAATAATTATCACACATGTGGTGAGGTGGAAGGTGGAGCAATGTATTGGGAAAACCCACACACACAGGATGCAAAGGCACTGGTTCATGTCTATAATCTGACACCACAGATATGCAACTGAGGGCAGAGCCCAAGAATGTTAATTCTTTCCATGTTCTTTCTTTCCAAATTAATGCAAAAAAAAGTGTATATTGGCAATGATCATGTGTAGTATACTATTATTATTATCATTAGGATGTCCAATTCATCCAGCACAGCAATTTGATGTAATAACTGTCTATCTAACTTACCCTTTTGAAGCAGTGTGAAAACTCCATTACACCTGGAATGCTGCAGTCAGTGTATTGCTTCAGTGACCCCTGTTGGTGTAGCACAGAAATCACAAGTTAATTTATTGTACATATTCGTGAGAACAATTTCCAAATTGTAAAACGTTGAGGAGAGTAGCAAAATCTAAATATAACTATTGGTTAGAAATGAAAAGTCTTAACTTGGGTGGGGTGGGTGGGTAAAAATAAGCTATTTCAAAAGTACAAGTCAGATAAGGGTGTACTTTTCACACCAATAGTCAAGGATAAATCTAGTGTGCCTAGCATTCATGTACCATAAATATAGATAATCATTAAATGTTTTCTGAGATATTGTCACTTCCACTGTACATTTGTTTCTCTTAGCCATCCAAGCAACATATTTAGAGGCTAGACTTCTGATCAAATGATTTTGCCAATCATTTTTTAAAAATTAGGCCCACTACTGAAATGGACAGGGAGGAGGAAGAAAGGTGTTAACTAAAGGGTAATGTTTAAAACTTTCCAGAAGAAGGTAAGCAGAATGTGTCCCTCCAGGGAGAGTGAGCCCATTCCATTCCAACAATCTATCTCTGGGGATTCCCACGTGTAAGTGGCTTGTATGGAATTCTCAGCTTGGTGATGGGTTTCCGCATGTGTTAGACAACCGGCTGACCTGTAAAATACCATGTCCTGTGAAGCATTTGGTTTTTCAAAGCCGACATCCGTAAACCTGTGGGTTCAAAAAACTTCCCCATTTACACAGTTAGTATCGGACAAGCAAGTAAAGTATGCCTTCCTCTTTCACTCCCTCAGTCACCACAATCATGACGCAAACGATAATCTCATCAAAAGGTGAAAAATTTAATAAAATAATTTGGTCACTCAATCCACGACTGTTTGTGGGACGCTGCTGTGCGCAGTTGGCTGCCGCGTTTCACCCACAAAATTTATAGTGGATTCACTTTACAGTATATTCTGTGAAGCACTTTGAAACATCTCGAAGACGTGATAAGATGTGTCGCTGCTAAGCCAAACACAAGGATTATTATTATTCCTTAGCAAGGTTTCAATTACCTTTGTTAGGAGCAACAACAAAGGCAATTGAAACCCCAATGAGGAACTCCGCTGCGTCCCTCCCCCCCACCTCTGCAACTTTTCGGTCATCTTTTCCCCTCCCCATCCCACTTCCCTCGGCTCCCACCCCTAGCTTGGGTGCCCAGCTGGCGGTGTCGAGTTCTTTAAGAAATCTTTCCTACGTGGAAAAGGCGCTATGTAAATGTTGTTATGTTTCTGGAAGGGAAACACAAAAATATTGCTTATGCTGCTTGTGGCCATTCCCACAAATAGGGCATTCAGCCCGCTACAGCCAAAAGGTTAGCCCCCCGCACTATGCTATTAGGATTGCCCTGTCCTCTTTTTGAAAACTTATTTGTACAGTAAGTAAGCAATTAAATTGTGCATCGTGATAGAATTGGCAATGATTAAACCACTGCCTATTTGACTATATAATCTGCACCTCTGGTTCATGCTATAACAGACTTCAGAAAGACTTGTAGGGATACATACACTCCTAATCAAACAGCTATTCTCTGGGTTAATACCCACCTGTGCAGTCAGAGCTCAGATGCACAACAACAACTTGCATTTATATAGTGCCCTTCACACAGTAGAAATATCACAGAAATGTAAGCGAATGGGCAGGGAAAGACAGCATAACTTAGTGAAGCCAAATGCTCATTTGGTAGCACAGTATAACAACATGCACTTAAAAGTGCCTTTTGCGTGGATAAACATCTCTAAGTACTTAAGAATAACATCGAGCATCACTGAGGAGGAGGAAATGAGGGAACTGGTTTGGAAGACAAACTGATGAGTCTTGGCTGACTTAATAATAATATTCCTTGCATTTGATACAGTGCCTAATCGCATCTTCGAGACGTCTCAAAGCGCTTCACAGAATATACTGTAAAGTGAATTGACTGTAGATTTTGTGGGCGAAACGCGGCAGCCAATTGCGCACAGCAGCGTCTGTCCCACAAACAGAAACAAGTGTTCCATTGTCTGCTCTCACTGGTTAGAGTCTGTCACCCACCAGGAAGCTGTGGACTGTGTGTGTGTGTCTTAAGGTGAACAGCACCGACCGCTTCACACCACTTTTATTCCACCAACCATAAAGTACTAAACCAAACTCTGGATTACCGTAGGAGGGAAGGGGAGAGAGAAGAGGGAGGGCGGGAGATGGAGGGAGGGAAGGGGAGAGAGAAGAGGGAGGGAGGGGAGAGAGAGCCACACAGAACAAGCTGTCATCTCCTATGGTGAGAAATTATGACAAGTACAGATTGCAACCTGGAAACCCCAGTGAGCGTCACCTGACAAACAGACACACACACAGTGACACGCAAACACACACACTGATACACAGAGACAGACAGTGACACGCAAACACACACACTGATACACAGTGACAGACAGTGACACACAAACAGACACACACACAGACACACACACACAGTGACACACAAACACACACACACTGACACACAGAGACAGACAGTGACACACAGAGACAGACAGTGACACACAGAGACAGACAGTGACACACAGACACACACACAGACACACACACAGTGACACGCAAACACACACACACTGACACACAGAGACAGACAGTGACACACAAACAGACACCTACACAGACACAGTGACACACACAGACACAGTGACACACAGACAGTGACACACAGAGACAGACAATGACGCACAGACACACACACAGACACAGTGACACACAGAGACAGACAGTGACACAGAGAGACAGACAGTGACACACAGACACAGACTCAGTGACACACAGACAGAGAGACACACAGAGACAGACAGAGAGACACACAGAGACATAGACACACACACAGACAGTGACACACAGAGACAGACAGTGACACAGACACAGTGACACACAGTGATACACACACACACAGAGACATAGACAGTGGCACACACAGACCCAGGGGAGGCTGAGGTAGGCGCCCCCCACCCCGGGATCACGCTCCGTCACTGTGTTGTGCTGTGGGGGTGTCGCTGCCCCGTGTAAATACGAGTTGTCTCCCCAGTCAGTGCCCGCCCCGCCCTCAACAACAACAACAACAGCTCTTTGTGGAGCCGCGGCCTGTGCTCAGCGCCTCATCCCCTCACACCCCCTCCCACTCTCTCCCCACACCCCCTCCCATACCCCCTCCCACTCTCTCCCCACACCCTCCCACACTCTCTCCCCACATCCCCTCCCACACTCTCTCCCCACCCTCCCACTCTCACCCACTCCCACCCACACTCTCTCTCCACACCCCCTTCTCCCCACACCCCTCCCACCCACACTCTCCCCACCCTCCCACACTTTCCCCACACCCCCTCCCACACTCTACCCACCACTCTCCCCACACCCCCTCCCCACACCCCCTCCCACACCCTCTCCCCACACCCCCTCCCACACCCCCTCCCACACTCTCCCCACACCCCCTCCCACACTCTCTCCCCACTCCCTCTCCCCACACCCCCTCCCACATTCTCCCCACACCCTCTCTCCACACCCCCTCCCACACCCCCTCCCACACTCTCCACACCCCCTCCCACACCCTCTCTCCCCACTCTCCCCACACCCTCTCCCCACTCTCCCCACACCCCCTCCCACACCCTCTCTCCCCACACCCTCTCCCACACTCTCTCCCCACTCTCCCCACACCCTCTCCCCACACCCCCTCCCACCCTCTCCCCACACCCCTCCCACACTCTCCCCACACCCCCTCCCACACTCTCCCCACACCCCCTCCCACACTCTCCCCACACCCCCTCCCACACCCTCTCCCCACACCCCCCCCCTCCCCACACCCCTCCCACACTCTCCCCACCCCCCCTCCCACACTCTCCCCACACCCCCTCCCACACTCTCCCCACACCCCCTCCCACACTCTCCCCACACCCCCTCCCACACTCTCCCCACACCCCCTCCCACACTCTCCCCACACCCCCTCCCACACTCTCCCCACACCCCCTCCCACACTCTCCCCACACCCCCTCCCACACTCTCCCCACACCCCCTCCCACACTCTCCCCACACCCCCTCCCACACCCCCTCCCCACACCCCCTCCCGCACTCTCCTCACTCCTCCCCTCACCCTCTCCCCACCCCTCCCACACCCCGTCCTCACTCACTCACTCACTCGCACACACACACACACACACTCACCGCTGTTCTCGGCCGTGTAATAAACCTCCCCCGTGGAGGGGGCGGTCGCGCTCTCTCTCTCTCTCTCTGTGTGTGTGTCGCTGCTGAGGTCCCGGGGCCTGAGGTTGTCTCCCCCTCCCCCCCTCGGCCACTGTCTGTCTGTCTGTCTCTCTCTCGGGTTCACTCACTCACTCACTCAAAGATGGCCGCTTTTACCCACACTGCACCGCGCGCGTGTGGGCCGCCAAAGACGACGACGATCTCTGCGCATGCGCCCCCCGCCGCCGCCCAGGGAATAGAGGGCTTTCACCCCGCGCTCTGCATTGTGGGCAAACAGCGCCGCCATTACAAGCGTCTGGTCTGCAGCGCACCAGCAGCATTGGCCATTAACACACACACACACACATACAACAACAACAACATCGCATTTATAGAGCGCCTTTCACGTCGGGAGGACGTCCCAAAGCGCTGTACAGTTGGGTGGGGACCCGAGCATTGGGGGAAATGGTCAGGGTGAGGGGAGGGAAGGGAGGGGGCGAGGAGGGGGGAAATGGTCAGGGTGAGGGGAGGGAAGGGAGGGGCGAGGAGGGGGTAGAGAGTCGAGAGCGGAGCTGAAGGTACGGTCAAAGAGAAAGGTCTTGAGACCGACCTTGAAGGAGGAAAGAGAGGAGGCGGCACTGGGGATGTAGTTCCAGAGGCTGAAGACCACCGATGGTCGGGCGGTTGGGGCGGGGGATGTGGAGCAGACCGGAGCCAGAGGGACGGAGGGTACGGGCGGGTAGGGAGGGGGACAGTAGGTCAGAGAGGGAGGAGGGAGCGAGGCCGGGAATGGCCGTGTAGGTGAGGATCTTGAATTGGATCCTCTGGGGGATGGGGAGCAGTGGGGGGGAGCGAGGGCGAGGGTGGGAGTGAGGGTGGGGGTGAGGGCGAGGGCGAGGGTGAGGGCGAGGGGGGGAGTGAGGGCGAGGGCGGGAGTGAGGGTGAGGGTGGGAGTGATGTGGGCGCGGTGTCTGGTGCGGGACAGTACACGAGCTGCAGAGTTCTGAATGACCTGTATATACACATACAGACAGACACACACACGTAGACAGACATCGACACACAGACACATATACGCACAGACACACACCGACGTTATGTTGTCTTTGTTCAAAATAACATACACTGAGAACAACACCGAGAGGTACTCGTCCGAAGGAGTGGGGGTCAGGGCGGGAGAGGGAGCTGGGGAGATGGGGTCAGGGCGGGGGGTGGTGGGGAGATGGGGGTCAGGGCGGGGGGGTGGGGAGATGGGGGTCAGGGCGGGGGGGGTGGGAGATGGGGGTCAGGGCGGGGGGGGTGGGGAGATGGGGGTCAGGGCGGGGGGGGTGGGAGATGGGGGTCAGGGCGGGGGGGGTGGGGAGATGGGGGTCAGGGCGGGGGGGGGTGGGGAGATGGGGGTCAGGGCGGGGGGGTGGGGAGATGGGGGTCAGGGCGGGGGGGTGGGGAGATGGGGGTCAGGGCGGGGGGGGTGGGGAGATGGGGGTCAGGGCGGGGGGGGTGGGGAGATGGGGGTCAGGGCGGGGGGGGGGGGGGGGGTGGGGTGGGGAGATGGGGGTCAGGGCGGGGGGGGGGGGGTGGAGAGATGGGGGTCAGGGTGGGTGGGGGGTGGGAGAGACAGATCACTACAGGTGAGCGTCTTCCCGAGTCCAGCCGAAGCCCTGACTGACGGGCAGTGCGGTGTGGTGAGCGCTGGGGGGTGTGCAGGGGGAGAGCTCTCGCCAGACGGCAATGGTGTTTTTACAATCTGTCGGCTGTTCGAAAAGAGAAGGCGATGTCTCCCCCCCTCTTGGTGTCATGGCCGACAGTCCCCCACCCATCCCCCCAAAATAATAATAAAATCACTCCCTCACTCCACTACTGTTTGCGGGGAGGGGGGCGTCACTGTGCGCAAAGCTGGCCGCCGAGTTTCACCCGCAAAACGCAGTCACTACCCTTTGCAGCGTGTCCTGTGGAGTGCGGCGAGAGCGGTTTCAAACACGAGCGAGTTCGACGTCCGAGGTGAACCCAAGTTCCCTCCCGTTGACGTTGGACGGGAACGGGACCGACCGGGGGGAGGGGGGGCAGCTCCCAGCAGATCGTCAGCCGGGACCTGCTCGTGAACGGCCGGAGTCTGCCGTCAATCTGCTGCGATTCACCTCCTCCCGTCTCCCGCCGTGGCGAGCGAGGGGACACTGCAGTGACCGGCGACGCATTCTATAATAATAATAATAATTCTGTCCAAGTTATAACCCGCTCTGCGCTTTCTTTTAAATATAAACACATAAAAAAAGGTTTTAAGAATATAAATGAATTGGGCTGTTTTGTCCGATTGGCCCGGATACAGGACCTGTTCCCACCCACCGGAGGGAGAGGATTTGTGCAAATGTAAAGTACGAGGGTTTATCTGATGGCATTTTCACTCGCTGGCCACAGAGGAGCAGTAACGCTCCACGCAAACAGCGCATTTCCAATGCACTTCATTTAAATCCCTTTAAAAATAACAATAATAAATTGGGTCATTTCAATCCCACGACTGTTTGTGGTGACGCTGCTGTGCGCAATTGCCTGCCGCGTTTCAGCCAGAAAATATTACAGTCGATTCACTTGACAGTATATTCTGTGAAGCCCTTCGAGATGTTTTCAAACAACACCGTGGGATCTTTAGTGTTTCATTTTAGACCGTAGAATAGATTTCTTATTTCTTTCAATAAAAAAAATTAGTTATAAATTACTCGATGATGGAGAATAGCTCAGATTCGTCTTCACAGTTTCAGGAGAGAGGGTGAGAAACCCCCCCCACAAATGTCATAATAAAATGACACATCTTAAGTGCAAAATTCACTTTATTGCTACGGTTGAAGAAAATAATTCCACAAGCAATTGCTCATTAGCACACTCAAGGCAGCTAAGTGCTCCTTTGGTCCCTTCTAACGCTCTAGCAAATTCAACTAAATGAAGTAAATGTCATGCCTCTAAAGCTTCACATATAAGGTTGTTTTTTTTTAAAAAAAAGGAGGACCCAATTCAAATATAGAGCCATTTTCTGTTCGAGGGAAAAGTGACTTGGGGGTGTAACACATAATTGCCCTTCGCATTGAAAGTAATCCGATTGATTTTTTTAAAAAAAAACACACGTCAATTCAAGCTGAGAATATTTAGCTGCACTTTAAGAGTCAGCCTATTCTAGAACAAAAATCAAGTTACTTTTCCGACTATGCAACATTAAGAACTCCAAACGCTCTGACAGCAACAAGCATTCACAAACGTGAATCCTCGTGACTCAACACCATTTTCACCTGTTGATTTATTTCTCTCCCCACCCACCCGAGAATGATGCATCTAAAAAGCAGAAACTAAACTATGTGCCACACTCACAAACGCCTTATATCAAGGGTTTTCTGCACCCCCCCCCCCCCCCACCCACCCACCCACCCACCATTACACCAATTTCTCTTCTGTGTATGAGATTTATCGCCGTTCATCACTTGTTAGTCAACGCATCTCATTCATTGTTTCCGTGGCTGGTGAATGACATGCAATTGTCTCGGTGGTGGCAGCTTTTCAACAGCAGGTTGGAGCTTTTGATGTGCATCTGAAACTGGGACGTTTCGGTTCAGCTACAAGTATTTAAAGTAAAAAAAAAAGGTAATAAGCAACGGTTAAACGAGAGGTGAATAAAACCGAATCAATATCCTTCAGCAAACCATCCAAAAGGTAATTATTTCAAGATATTTATGCACTTTGCCGCACAGGAAGTCAACTCTTGTTTGTTGTGGGAACGTTGAAATCATTAGATTCCTCGGGAGTTTCGTTTCATTTTTTCTTCAGAATAATTTTAAATGGTGTCGGAATTCCACAATTCACCAGATTGCATATGCGTAGAGAAAAATATACGGTCAATTCACTTAACACTATATTCTGTGAAGCGCTTTGAGACGTCTCGAAGACGTGATAAGGCGCTGTATCAAATGCAAGGATTATTATTATTATTATTAGTTCTTGATTTAATTCAATCCAATCCAAAAGGCTGAAAAGTTGAAAATTTCATAGAAGGCATATATAGACTGACAGGTTTTGGCGAAAAAAAGGACATTCAGAGACGAGCAGTGAAGCTCGTTATCAGATCCACGTACTCACCTTATCAATAGTTCTGGCTAAGATGAAGCTCATTTTTGAGGAGTTGACAGCCGAACTGAAAATGAGATGCAACAAATTGAATAATTCAGAGTTTCATCCCAGTCACCGCTCCGCATTGTAGCTTTCTACCCAGAAAAAGCAATTGTTTTTAAAAAAACCACACAAAGGCACTAACTTCAAACTAAAACCATTTCACTTCTATAACAGACTGCCATCTAGTGCATGTTTTTTTAAAAAAACACATTTAGTGCAGTTTTTAATTCAATACTTCAACCTTAATTATATAAAATCTAATGTACTACAAGTAAAATTGAATTTAAATTCTGATTTTTAATTCAGTTTTTGTCATGTCAGACACCAATAGCTGAACGTATATGAAGTAAACTGACACGAACCACAACTACATAGATTTTTCTTTTCCTCTTACTCTTCTTTTAGTGAAGGATACAACTCATTTACAGTGGTCACAAGGAGGACGTTCCGGAGGTTAGAAGCGCAACATCAGAAACACCAATGTGTGGCCCACCAGCAAATGAGAGTCGGCCAAGTTGAGGGTGAGCAGAGGAGTTGAGGGGATAGGAGAGCAGAGAGCGAGCGACATGATAGAGTGTGAAGGGATTTGTGCTTCATAATCATTCAGCCAGTTACAATGATTAATAGGCCCTTGAAAAATTAAGCTGCTGAGAAAACATAGGAACATAGGAATTAGGAGCAGGAGTAGGCCATTCAGCCCCTCGAGCCTGTCCCGCCATTCAATAAGATCATGGCTGATCTTCTAATCTAACTCCATCTGCCCGCCTTATCTCCATATCCCTTAATCCCTCTATCCTTTAGAAATCTATCAATCTCAGTCTTGGAAATCCAAGAGCCAGCGGAGCTTGGACGAGCACTGGATGTGATGGACAGGTGGATTCTGGAGCCAGGAAGGATGCGTTTTGGTTACGTTGAAGGACGGTGGAGCTGGGGAGACCAGCGGACAGTACGTCAGAAGAGTCCAACGGGGGACAAAGATACGGATAAGGGTTGCAGCGATATCCGGGGCGAGTGAGGCAAAGCTGGGGGCAAGCTGTGCGGTAGAGGTAAAGAAACACAGTCTTGGTCAGAGCAACAGACGTGAAGGAGAAGGGAGCCTTGAGGAATTAAATGGCAAGGTTGCACACTGGTTGCTCAGGTGAGGAGAGAATTGGAAAACTGATACTTATTTAAAAAAAGATTAAACATAATACCGTGTTTGTGTTAAAAGATTAACAATGTCGTGGCACAAGTGACCCATTTTCAAAAGGACGGTGTACCCAACGTTTTTTTTTTAAAAAAAATACGAAACAACTTTCCATTACACTTACCGCCCGAAAGCAATGAGAGGATGTATTTTGGTGTCCATTACCACACGACAATTGGATAAGAAAATAAAAGGGAAAAACAATGCGAAAATTTATGAAATACATTCCAGAAAACAAGAACGTTTACGGAATACCGCACCAGCCAGGTTCAAAGATATTTACTAACCTTGAGCTTTCAACAGGACGCTTCTTGATTTCTTTGTCGCCGCTCGCATTTTCCTCATTCCCCTGTTTCTTGGTGATCCTCATACCACCAGCTTTCACTGTAGAACATGAGCAGGATTTCATGGTACATCTGCAGTTAACACCCACTCAAATTTGGTCACTCATTCCCACGACTGTTTGTGGGGACGCTGCTGTGAGCAACTGGCTGCCGCGTGTCACCCACAAAACGTACAGTCAGTTCACTTTGTTGTATAGTCCATTAAGCGCTTTGAGACGTCTCAATGACACGCTAAGGCGCCATATCAAATGCAAAGTTTATTAGTTATCATCTTCTTATCATAGCCCAAACAGCTCACAAGATGTCAAAATATTTCTCGTAAACACTGCAGTACAGTGCCAATTATACTGACTCATTGCAATAATCATTCAAATATTTTGCACAAGATCCCCGAGAGCACAAATGCGTGCAACAAATGGTTTCAATTACAAATGTTGATACATATCCAGCCTGCACCAAAAACACAGATGGACAGAAATAAACAAGTAGGATTTCACCAAGGCAACGTCCTAAAATTATTTGTAATAAGGATAGGAGAATAGCTTTGATGTTCAATTATTTTCTTCTGAGAGTACCGTAGCAATAAAAAATAAATAATAATTATAATAATCCTTGCATTTCATGTCAGGAGGATAACTCAAAACGCTTCTCATGATGTGCTAGAAAGTGCAGCATTTGTAGATGAACAAAGTATTGTATTCGCACACAGCAACGTCCTCAGACACAACAGCCGCGTAATGTCGCGAGTGAGTCATTTTATTGGGGGGAGATGGTCACCAGGAGAGAGAGACTCCCTCCTCTTTTTGGAATAGCGTCACAGAATCTTTTAACATCAACAACTGAACAGACGGATAGAAACTCAGCTGAACATCTCATCCGAAGGACAGCATCTCGAGACTCCGCAGTGCGCAGAGGTATATCAGTATATCATCGAACCATACAGCACAGAGAGAGGCCATTTATTATTATTATTATTATTATTATTATTATTATTATTATTATTTGGCCCATCGTATCTGCGTCAGCTCCAAAAAGAGCTTCCAACTGAATCCCACTGGCCCTGCTCTCTCTCCATAGCCCTGCAATCCTATCCTCTCCTCCCCAAATACCCATCTACTTCTCTCTTAAATACACTTCTACATTAAGTAAATATAAATATCTTAAATATAAATATCTTAAATATACGGTCAATTCACTTTGCCGTCTATTCTGTGAAGCGCTTTGAGGCGTGTGGAAGATGTGAAAAGCGCTACATCAAATGCAAGGATTATTATTATCGTTATTATTATTATTATTATTATTATTACAAGAGATTGTATAGACCGAGAGTTCAAAGTCGCTCCGTGGTGGGGAGGGGGAGGGGTTGAACCCACGACCATCCAATTTAGAGACGAGAGCGTTACCGGTTGACACCTGTTTGTGGTCGGGGCTGTTTTACGGGAAGAAATGGGATGGGGGAAAGAAGGTTGTGAATGAAAAAGGGAAAGGGGGGGGTGAGGGGGGGAGAGAAACATTGTGGCATCCAACTAAAAAGTAACCATTTTGTAACTTTTTTTTTTGCCCCCAAAAAGAAATCAGCTTTTAAAAGTGTTTTATAAACACGTTACACACACTCAAAACAACTGGTTGTGAAACATTGTCTCACCCCCCACCCACCCACCAGACCACCCCTCCTCAGCCCTGGGGGTGGGGGTGGGGGGGGGAGGGGTGAAGTGCACAAACTCTCTGTACAAAAAAAAAGCCAACAAAGTCCTGCAAGTCAGGGGTTGGTGTTGGGGGGGGGGGTTAGGTGTGGGGGGGGGGGGGGTTGGTGTGGGGGTTGGTGTGGGGGGGGTTGGTGTGGGGGGGTTAGGTGTGGGGGGGGTTAGGTGTGGGGGGGGTTAGGTGTGGGGGGGGGTTAGGTGTGGGGGGGGGGTTAGGTGTGGGGGGGTTGGTGTGGGGGTTGGTGTGGGGGTTGGTGTGGGGGGTTGGTGTGGGGGGGGTTGGTGTGGGGGGGTGTTGGTGTTGGGGGGGTGTTGGGTGGGGGGGGGGTGTTGGGTGGGGGGGGTGTTGGTGTGGGGGGGTGTTGGGTGTTGGGGGGGGTGTTGGGGGGGGGGTTGGGGGGGGGTGTTGGTGTTGGGGGGGGTTGGTGTTGGGGGGGTGTTGGTGTTGGGGGGGGGTTGGTGTTGGGGGGGGGGGTGTTGGGTGGGGGGGTGTTGGGGGGGGGGTGTTGGGGGGGGGGGGGTGTTGGGGGGGGGTGTTGGGGGGGGGGTGTTGGGGGGTGAGGCAGAATGGCTGAATGATAGACTACAAAAAGCAGATTAGTGCAGTCTGTGTGACAGTGCAGTGCAGGATATCCTGCAACAACACGACTGAGTTTGCAGAACATTTTAAAAACAACACACACACACAACAGCAAAGTTAATTCTCCCCTTTAATGAAAAAAAATGCCCCCCCCCCCTCCACCCCACCCCACCCTCCACCCCACCCACACACACAGACACACACACACATTTTTTTGATTATAAAAAGTATTAAATCAATTCTTTGTAACTTCCTTTTTCTTCCCCCCCCCTCCCCTCTTGCAGACATTAGGTAGTGAGTGGGGGGGGGGGAGAGCTGGACACCCCTCCCTTTGCTAACAGTCCAGGAGGCAGAGAGAGACAGAGAGAGAGAGAGAGAGAAAAAGAGGTAATAAAAGAGAAAGCAGAGAAATGGAAACTTTGCACCAGAGGAACTCCCCCCCTCCTCAATACCAAAAAAAAAGCAAAATCACCATCTCCCTACCTGCAGGAGGATGTCCAGCCTTGAGAGAAGAATTGCAAAGATTGGCTTCCACTGTTTGAACCATTTTTTTTTCTCTCTCTCTCTCTCTGCTTCACCAAACCATCAATTCCCACCCTTTACTCTGTGTGTCTCACACTCACTCACTCACTCTCTCTCTCTCTCTTGGACTGTTTACAGGACCAGCTCACAGCACACGTGACAGTACAGCCTCTTTGTTGGGGAGAAAGGGTTGGGTCTGAGATGTTGATCAGATTCCCCCTCTCCCCCCTCCCCCCCCCCCCAAAACCATGTGCAAAACAACATTCTTCCATCGGAGTGGACTTAATGCTAATGGAACGTGACAGTCGTATTGAAAGCCAAGTCCCGTGGCTTAGCGTCCTGTGGCGAGAGGACCCGGGCGGGTCGGGGGCGAAACCGTAGCCAACCTCCCTCCCTCCCTCACTCCGTAATTTCCCCCCGAGCAGTAAAGAGGAAACCCGGTTGTTAGTCGATCGGCGGATCGCTTTTCAGGGGGTGGTCGGGGGGGCGTGGGTGGGTGGTCGGGGGGCGTGGGTGGGTGGGGGTAACGATGCCTTCCAAACCCAAATTATTATTTTTTTTGTTCGTGGGACGCTGCTGTGCGCAAATTGACCGCCACATTTCGCCCGCAAATACACAGTCGGTTCACTTCACAGTGTATTCCGCGAAGCGCTTTGAGACGTCTCGAAGACCGTGATGGGGCGCTCTATCAAATGGAAGGATCATTAGTATAAATTCCGGAAACCATGTGCCGTGAGCCGCTGTCCAATAGGAATTTGGGAAACTTGTCTGGAGATGCAGAACTCTTGTGTCCCCGAAACAGGCCCAACCCAGTCGGAGCTGACTAACTAACAAACACCTGTAGTTACTCAGGTTTCAGTGCATTTCAATTAGGAAATCACCTGCCCCCGGGCAAAGCTCACGAGTTTTCAAATAAACAAGAATAAACAATCGCAAGAGTGGCTTCTATCCTGTTTCGGCGTCCTCCACACACGTAATAATAATAATAGTTCTCGGGAGAGTATTGTGGCCAAGCACTCTGAGACGCTGTCTTGCTATATAAACCCAAGTTGTTGTTGTGACGGTGCGCAGAACGGCGCAGAATGTCAGGCCTCGTACTTCTTGCCGGACAAGACATTCCCTGTAAGAACGATGACACAGAGACCCCAAAGAAGAAGATTAATAAGATTTTTTAAAATTCTAAATTTAAGATTGTTTTTAAAAGAGACTTTCTTTTGAAAAAAACGATGCAAGGTGGGATTGGGAAGTCTTTCTTTCTCGTGAGGGATGGATGTTTTGAATAAAAATACAAATTATTAGAAGTTACAGTGTCACGGGTTAAAGATAAATATTTACTTCAAACAATTTCCCTTTTTTGCAATTTGTTATTTTTTGTTGTTTATTTTGTTATTGACCACGAAATCCTCGCACTGTGTAGGAGTCGAAAACGCCCGTCTGATAGAGATGGCACAAAAGTTAGTAGTGTTTGGGTGGAGAGGAGTTTTGAAGCTTCCCAAAAGGATTAATCAAAAAATACAGGGGAATGGTGTAGTTATTAAACTTGCAGATTAAATCGTTCTCCATTTTCTCTTTATTCTACTGTTGGCCTGACTTCCCTACACTAACTCTGCAGCCCGTGTCCTTTTCTGCACCAGACTTCCTCAGCTCCACCGATTCCCCCGGATTAAGTTCAAGATCCTCATTCTCACTTTTAAATCCCTCCCTACCTTTGCAACCTCTTTAAATCCTACCCACTCAACCGCTCCCTTTGCTCAGCGACCACTGGGCTTCATGTCTTCTGCCTGTTTTCCCTATCGTCAGAGAACAGGCTTTCAGCCTTTCCTACCCTCATTCTCTGGAATTCCATTCTGACGTCTTCCCCCACTCCCTGTTCAAGACCTGCCATCGCCCCCTCCCCATCCCCCGCATCTCCCACTCCCAGCTCGGGTGCCTGGACAATATCCTTAAGCATTTGGGGACATCCTCCCCACGTGAAAGGTGCTATTTAAATGTAAATTTGTTTTGTATTTTAAAATGTTAGTTGGAAGATAAGCTAATGCTAATATCAAACAGTGCCTTTATTTTAGTACATGAGAAAACAGTCCAGCACTGTAAAGAAACTGTATTTTCTAACATAAATGGTTCCTACAGTGATATTTGACTCTGATATTTATTTACTTTTCTCCACAGAATTCATGTCTTTGGCTTTACAGAGAACAGACAAGGCATAGAGGGGCTCTTTGAGTGCACTTGAGTGCAAAACACTAGGCTCTGGGCTGTCAGTTAATGTAATCATTTTACATGTCTCAAAGATAAATATTTAAAATTAACATTTTTTTTAATAAACAGAACCCATTGAGATAATTTGTCGTTCTGCATTATTTTCACGTGTTAACGAACAGTTCCACGAAAATGACAAAACTCAACACATGAAGGCATTTTCTTTAGGAAGACAGTTATTCCAACAGTAACAATAAACAGTTTTTATGCTGAATATAAATACATATGTAACTTTGAAACTGAAACTAATGATCAAATATGCAAATCCATTAGTAATATGGTGGAGTGGGGAGTTGCTCTTGGGAGTACATTTCAAGGAACCCGAACAAGATTTTGAATAACGTTATAAAATAAATGGTTGATTGCTATAATTCTGGTTGATTCTGCTTTTTATATCACAAGCAATTCAAATTCAGTATGTGTGCGTGAAGATTGAAATGTTCAATTTCAGCTCTTATTTGGTATTCAAGGTCACAAGGGTCAGAAACCCTTCTCGCAGCTGTGCATCAAGCGTTCCACGGTATAACAGATCGAAGAGAGTAAAATTCACTTTACTGTGTTCTAGCAATGTTCCTTCATCCCAAACTCAAAACGCAATTAGTTCCATTATTGGACCGATGTGTATGTTTTTCACCATTTCCATTTTTTAAAAAAACAAGTGAAATTGGGAGTTCTTAGCTCGTCAAAACAAACAAGTTCCTAAAGAGGTTTTCTGATCAATAACAGCACTTAGCCTCGATGGTCGTTAGACCCACTGTTTGAGGTGAGACGCTGCTGTGCACAATTGGCTGCCACGTTTCGCCCACAAAATAGTCAATAGTAGATTCTGTGAAGCGCTTTGCGACGCCTCGTAAAACGTGATAAGGCGCTGTATCAAATGCAAGGATTATTATTACTATTTAAGACGTCACACAAACCTTCCATGTACACCGTGAAGGTCAGCTCGCATTCCTCCTCCCCGCAATGCCGAGCCTTGCACCATCTTCATGCTACCACAAGAGGAGGTGGGAGGTAATCATTTTGAAATGTAAACGACTGAAACGAACATCGCTGTATTTCGGTTGTTGAGTCACCGGATAGGTGTGTGTGTGTGTGTGTGTGTGTGTGTGAGAGTTTGCTCTGTTACGGTTGCTTCAGTTACCTTTCTGCTCAGAAACTTCCAATTGCAATCCTCTTTTTAAGCCTGCGCAGGTTTTCGCTGATATTTTGCTGATTCACTCCTCCCGATGTGAAAGGTGCGATACAAATGTAATTTGTTGTTGTGGTAATTGATTTGGATGACCAATTCACATGGCAAGTTTTAAACCAGTTGCAGAGGTGAGACGTCCTTGAACTCCATTGTTCACAAAAAAAAATTGGCGTTTGCAAATATGAGCAGAAAGAAATGTTTTTAAGCCAATGTATTTTAATATTGTGCAATACATGTTTTGTGCAATACCTTTTAATGGTTTCAAATTGGCCGCTCTCCTTGTTAGCAGAGGACTTCACCCAGTCATATATATTTGAAAACATTATCTCCAGATACAACTCCGATTTGAAAGGAGAAAATCTATCATTTTACTGCCATGTTTTTTTTAAATTTAAGTGAGCAGGCACAGTACAGAAGTTTTACAAAAATACATCCAAACCTGTACTTTTTTTTAATCAACCTTGAAAAGAATGAAGTGTAGGGTTGAGTGCTTGACCCTCGAACCTCTTATACCAGTAATTTAAAACAGATTTGCAAAAGGCCCAACATTGTCACATACAATAGGAACAGTTACAATTTGCATTACATTAAGACTTTTTGAAAACAAGCCACAAATACTATGCTGACACCAATTGCTTCCAGGCCAAGACAGTTTCTGGTGATCAAAATCAGCGTCCATGGACAAATTTAGCACCGAGATGAAAAATTGCTGAAAAATGGGTTAAATGTTTCTCATTCAACTCAATTGCTAAACATGAACTGAAAGAAACACTTAAATGATGGGAATATTTCATAACAAATCTCCAAAGTAAAAAGAAGTACCTTCAAAGTAGCACTGAATCAATGAGAGAGACCTGCACGTTCCTACTTTTGGTGGACCAGCACCGTATTACCAGAAATAGAAAAAAAAAATCAACGTGTGAAGAAGTTGTGTTGTGAAGGTCGATGGCCACAGAGAACATACAATACCAATGAGTGGTAACGCAGACATGGTGGGGAGATGGGGGCAAAAAAAAGTGATATCTAGTGTGTATGTTCTATATATTTTTGTTTGTTCAGCCGGGTGTCTGACACATGCGGAAACCCATCACCGTGCCTTATCCGAACCAAACTACCTACACATGGAAATCCCAGAGAGATTGTTGGAATGGAATGCGCTCTCTCTCTGGAGGGACACAACCTGATTACCTAATTCCAGAAAGTATGAGGCGCAGATGGCAAAGAGCCAAGGCCTGGGGGAGCCCAGAGTGTGCGTTGGGGTAACTGCTGTCTATATAGTATATATGATTAAAAGAAGGCATTTTTCAGGATAGTACATATGAATTTTCTAAATCTAATTCTGACTTTTGCGTGCGTTATAGCCAATACGAGTAATGATGGTAAATACAAAAATAAGCACAGAAAAGGTTTTGGTGAATGAAACAATCACATTTATTTATAAATGAATATAGGAAATGGCAGTGATACCAGCCACACAATGGGAATGGAAAAATAAGGGTCCAGTTGACTAGAAAACGTAATTTTATGCTTCGTGATTACAAAATTCTGCAAAACAAAATATGACGTTTCATTTAGAATGATTCATTCATCTGTTTTACAACACCTGCATCTTAAAAATGTACCTCAACACGGGTCACTGCTTTACATGACAGTAATTCTTGTTCATGTGGCATTTCCATATTTACATCAAATAAAGAACATTTACAAGGGCGATGGAATACACAGTTCGACGATTCATTATTTTGGTAAAACAAAAGGGGTATATCTTTTTAATGTGTCTGTACAAACCCACAGAATAAGACTTTATTCACATAAAAGTTTCACATTTCATACGGCCGACATTCTCCAATCTTTGTCCTCGTCTCAAACCTTTCTACACGTGGCCCACACCTTCACCAAACTATAAGAGCTACAGTTAAGAAACCTAACATCTAGAGTTAAAAGACTCTCCTCCCCATCAGTCATCCTTTGCAGTTTCTTTCAGAATTTCCTTGCGAAAAGGAAGCACTTCCTCATTTCTTTCCTTAAGGTCACATTCACATTTTCTCCACTAAGAACCCTTCACATTGATTTTCACATACATTCAGTGCCCTTGGAAAAAGTGGAAAGATAATTTTCTTCTGTTTTACCTCCTAACATTACACCCAGGAATCTGGAGACCCTGGGTATTGGTCTGCTCTGTAAGATGGACGCCTAGTCGAGTAAAAATCCACATAGTTGGTTGATGATTTTAGTCCATGTTGTGATGTGTAATCAGTGGCTGTTGGATATTGAAGATGATCATCAAAATATGGGTCTTCGTAGCCTTGTGGAGATGGCATATACATTCTATAGGTATCGTAATTCCTTCTGCTTGTATCTTCTTGTCCATAGTACATCTGTGGATGCTATAACGAAAAGGTAAAAAAATATTTATAATAGGATACATCATTTATCTTCTTATAAAATATCTTCCTTTTAAAAAATATCTCCACCCTTGTTCAAATTTATCTCACATAATGGTATTTTTTTCTCAATTCTTTTGAGCATCATTTTGGTTTTGCTTCTACCTATGCATGACTTCAAGCACAAACATTTTGCCCCCACCCTCTGGAACCCCACCCCATGATCCCTCTGCCTTGCCCCTACCTCTGTGACCTCCTAGCCCCCTATCAACTTGCCCGCTCCCTCCTCTCAGTGGGCTCCGGCGTGCTTCACGTCCCCCGTCTCGCTCGCCCCACCAATGGCAGGCAGGCCTTCTGCCATCTGCCCCCACCCTCTGGAACTCCACACCTCAGTCCCTCCACCTCACTCCCTCACTTGCCTCCTTCAGGACCCGTCTCAAGACCCTCCTCTTCGGTCACCCTCCTTCCTCCCCCCTGCCCTCCACGATCCTGACCCCTAGCTCGGGTCCAAACACGGATTGTCTAGGGCCTTGGGACGTCCTTCCGACGTAAAAGGCGCTATACACATGTAATTTTATTGTATTTCAGTACTAGGAGTAAAATATTCTTAGGACAATTAAAAAAACTTTGGAATTTAAAGCTAAAATTTTTAAGCACCGAAAAAAGTTTGCCCCATAGGACCAGAAACAATACAGTCCAGTTGATAGTGAGTTAGCTTTAAAATTATTATTTATATACATTAGCCAAATAAAAACTTGCAATACAAATTGTGCGAGGCAAAGAGCAGACTTGAGGTGCAAACCATGTGCCGATGATGTTACGTTAAGAGGATATGTATGGATGAAGATTGGTATGGATGAGCTGAGGTGGGAGGATTGTATAGACCAGCAAATAAATGGTTGATATTGTTAATTATTTTATGAGCTACATTACTAAAAAGAACACAAACTTACAATTATGGTTGAATATATGGAACTAAGGGATGGTTTTGAATGACAAGATGGAATGTTGCCTTATCCAGTTCCCACTTTTTTTTAAGATTAATGGAAGACTCAAAAGCATAAAATTCTTTGATATTAATCTTTTAATATTTAGAGAATATTGTGTTCAACACTCACATGAAGTCGTCTAGATTCCTCCCTTGCTGGTGAAGAATAGGAACCTATGTAAATTGGTGAAGGCTTACTGGAACCTATAAAACATTACATTGAAATTAATTAACATGGGAAAAGGATGCATTGACCTGGATTTAAAGTTACTGACAAAAAATATTGGAGGGCTGAGAAACACTATGGAGAAAACAAGGGAAGGAAGGCTACACAAAAATTGATTTAGATTCACATTCCAAATATGTGGCAAAATGTATAAACAAGTTGCTAACAATAAAAAAGAGTAGTGACTAAATATCATGAACACAGAAAAGATGGTGACCAAACTGAAATTAATCCGAATATCAAGTAGTATTTATGAAGCCAAAAAAAACCTAGGTAAAACGTACAATTGGATCTGGAAAAGCTGCAAATCTTTCCTACCCTATCTTTTTTTTAAAAAAATAAAAAAAATTATCCTCAAATCCACTTTTCCTCAAATAACTCTTACAAACAGTTGAATAGCTTTTATCATAGAAATCCCAAATAGGGTAACTTCAAATAGTTATCAAAAAGATTGATAAGTTACTAGTCAGTCAATAAAACAAACAAGTGATAAACCGATCAGAACAAATTGCAAGTCAAATGCACTGTGATTGGCTTCTTACATCAGTTACAGGCAAATGTTTATAAAATTAAGCCTAAAAATGTAAATCATATGTAATCAAACACAATGCGATTTACAGTCTACATTTTTGTAATCACTCAACACCTTACCTAATGTTAAATCCTTCTGTGTACTGTTATCCCCTTGATTGCTGTAATATTGCATAGAAATCTGTGTCTTCTCATAGTTAGACCGTGGTTCTTTAACACCTAAGAGTGCTGGTGAAGATGTAGTGCTACCCACTGTGAACGAGAGAATTTAAAATTCTTTCAATATAAATAATTAATGTTTGCATTTCACGAACCTTATTGTTTCATCGAAACATTTCAAAGTGCTTCAGGACTTTTACTGGAAAGTGTAGCAAGTAGTTTTTTTAGGCAGGTAAACACACCAGCCAATTTGCACACAGCCAAGTCCCACAAATGGCAAAGCAATGAATAACCAATTTAATCTGGGCTGAGGCACAAGCATAAAGGCTCTTTTTTTTTTTGAATAGCGCCATGGGATCCACCTCACCAGGCAGATGGAATCTCAATTTAACGTCTCATCCGAAGAATGGCACCTCTGACAACGCAGCACTTCCTCCAGCACTCTGAGCTCAAAGCCCTGAATTAGGGAAGCAAGTATTTTGGGCAGGTACTGCATTTAAAGGGATAGCCACAGGCATTAAACCTGATAAGTTTGAAGACTATTCTGTGGATCATTTAAAATAGACAGATTTTAAATCTTTAATGCAGTCCAAAGATTTGCTAAGAGTATGACTATGAGATAAAATAAGTATTGAATTTAACACCTGTCCATCTGACTTTCTCTTTTTCAATCTGTCTCACATTTTCTCCTTACGATTGTCCGTTCTCTCTCTCTCTTGCCCTCTTCCTCTCCTCTAACTATTTTTTGGTTTCCATCCTTACAAACAACTTTAAAGTAATTTTGCCTATTAATTTTACAATAACAGGGCATTACCACCTGGTGTTAAGGCACTGTTTATTCTGTTACCGTATTCTACTCACCTGATTGAAGAACAGGTGACATATTCAGATTGGTGGTTAAGGATGGGTGGGATGTAGAAAATTTATGCCTGTCACGCTCCAGAGTAGAAAATGGGGTAATGAAATGGTTCTGATTCCAACCATCCTGTAAAAGTAACAAGAATGTGTTACACAATAAAATACGATAATTTCAATCAAAAAAGTAACTCTGTACATTCAGAAGAATCACCTTTTTGTAAATCGTGCGAAGATCACGATATTGCCACAAAGTGTTTAATACTTGAGCTGCTGCCTTCACCACCTTCAGTGAATATCTGAATAAAGTGAAAACAGAAAGAGTATTAACATCACTAACTTAAAAACGATGAGAGGGATTCAGTATTGGTAATACAACTGACTTAATTCTCCAAATCTCTCTGCTGCGTTATACTGAATCAGTGCATGTGTAATCGGAACATAGGAAAACAGGACCAGGAGGGGGTCATTCAATCCATCAAACTTGTACCACCTAAAGTACGGAAGACAGCAGTTGGTTTTCCAGTTTTATACTTGCCTTTCTCCTTTCCCTCTTGTAATATTTACAAGTTTCTCCACCCCACCAACATCAGCTAATGCTTTGGCATTCTCCATGTTCTTGATTGTAACCTCGTGTAAAGCACAGCAAACAGAAGCCACAGTGTCATCAGATAGCATGATCAACGTTGGACCCCCTGGAAGACGGTGAACGAGATCCCTCATGGCATATTTGCCTAGAAGAAAATAATCATGAAGACTGTGACATTTATATTATCACTTTACAGTATATTCTGTGAAGCACTTTGAGACGCCTCGAAGACATGATAAGGCACTATATCAAATGCTCGGATTATTATTGTATATTTTAATTACTTATGGTGAACTTGTTACATATAGCTAATATATATTTATAATTACAATATAAAGCTATATACAGCTTGACTTAAAAAAAACCCTGCTTAAATTTATTTTCACGTACCGATGAGCTCTTTGTTCCGCACATCAAGTGCCATGTTCCTTAAGGCCGTAGCAACAGAACAAACTACCCGATCATTGTCCATTCTGAGTAGTTCCACAAGGATTGGAAGACCTTTCTCTTTTCTGACAGCAGCACGTATATAAGCTGCCCACTTGTACCAGGAAGGAAAAATAATAATAAGCGTGAGCCAGGACCTGAATCGTTTGAGACTAAAGTCATTAATTTCTCTACAACACATTAACAAGTTTAGATGCATTTCCAGAACTGAAAATAATTTTTCACTTAATAGGGTAGTTTTTTTTGCCACAATGAGACATTGAAATAACTCTGCTACTTTTCACTCAAACAAATACGTTTCTACAATATCACCATCAGCTGCAGGAAACCGAGTACTAGGTACTCACTAATGTTGTGCTTATCTGTAGTTGGAGTCAGTGACAAACAGAGTAGCCCACAGGTAGAGCATCAGGAATTGGAGTATTTGTACAGGAAGTATTGACTTCCCTTCTCTACTGAGGGAGAGTTTTAAAAGGGAGTTTTAAAGTAGCAGAGTTTGAAGAGGGGTGTGAGATATGGGGCACAATCAAATGAGGATTAAGTGATCCTCTACCTAAATAGTTTATACAAATGCAGAACACACCCGCCCGCCCCCGAATACATTTTGTGTTATAAACAGATATCGTGCAAAATGGTGAAAGTTTTAAAAGATTCCAATGCCCCTGTGTAGCTGTAATTTAAAAGGTTTGTTCACTCATAATCATATTTTTCAGCTTGGATTCACATTTGCCATCTTAAATTCAGTTGTGTAGTTGCATGAAAAAACACAAACTGGGAGTTAGGGGCAGTGGGCGGGAGGGGGGGAAAGAAACATACTAAAACATGAAACAGGAATGAGAGTCCCCATCGACAGCCAGCACTTGTAATCTTCCTAGTGCTGTTTTAGAACAACATTGGCAGAGAAATGGGGACAGGTGGCACTGTAACAGATGGCATGCATACCTTCTCCATCTTCGCCATTTTATGTTGCATTACCCACTGGGTGGCACTGTTCAGAAATAAAGTAGACTGTTGTTCTGATGTTCAGCAAAGCTTGCAATGCAACACAGCACAGTAGTACATAGCAGTACTGTATCCATTTTAAAATGGATATTCACATCATTCTCATACAGTGGCAAAACTCAAACAATGGTCATGTCCTAAGATTGCCAATGCGTGGAATTTATTTTATAAATGTGTAATTGGGGACGTACATGATGAGTTTATAATTTACAAATACCTGACCTCTAATGCTTGTACTATGTCCACAATGCAAGCCACATTTAACAGCAATACTCTTTAACCAGAAAATGAATATAATTTATAGATTCGGAAATAAATGTAGATATTTTCTGACAAACCTTCCAGTTGCCCGCAGATAAATTCTGTAGAGATCCAGCAGAACCTTCCAAAGTAGCCGGGTTTGAACTTTCAGCAAGAAGTGTAAGGTATGGTTTCACTACAGCTGGATGCCACAACATCTCCACACCTTTGGGAGATTTAGAAAATCCAGGGATTGGGCCGACTCCATCCCACTGGAAAGATTAAAATTTTTTAAGATTGCCACTATTTGTTGAACTCTGTAGCACCTTCTAAAATAGGTACAATATCCTCACTTTATTTTTTTAATAAATAGTGTTCTTTATTCTTTGGAATAAATTCAATAGTCACATCTAATGGGACTCTCCAATTATTAATCAGAAAATTACAGCTCCACAAGGGAAATTCATTTACTTGAGGATGAGTGAAGCCCATTTGGCCCAATAAGCTCTTTCTTTCACTATTCAATCCAATATATCATTTAGCTTTTCCCCCTATGCTGATTCCCTTTTCTATCTTCCAAAGGCATCTGACATATTTTCCTCCTGATAATGTCCATTATTCACATGTAAGCCTTGACAATAGGCATCAAAGCATATATGTACCAAGATGGAGTCTAACACTGCTGGTGATTTGTCTCTGGCCTGAGATACATAAATATTAGACAAAGTACTGTTTGGAAATGACAAACCTGTTCTTCCTGTGATTCTTTTTTCTTCTTTTTCTTCTTCTTACCCCAGCAACCAGTGTCACCATCTTTGCTTGGAGACTCATTGCCAAGCAACCCATCAAGTTCGTTCATCCCCATCAGGCGAGCTTGTGGAACTTCCAATTCTAAGCGATAGGAGAGGTTCCTCAGGATGCAAACACAGTTTTCTACAGTCTGAAACAATAAATATCATCAAATCTTCAATACATTTTTTCAACAAAAAAAATTGATTTAGCAGACTAGAAGAGTGAGCCATCTTGAACAATCAACTGAAAGGATCAGGAAAAAAACATCAGCAGTCTGCACATAAAATAAAAATCACAAACCTTGCTATCATAATCTGCAGTATTCACGCACATCTGGATTACGTAGAGTAAGGAATCCACCAACCCTTCACACGATCGCATATGCTTTCGGGCATCTTCACCTGCAGAACTAAGATTCCTGAAAGATAATAAACTTGTTAAATGTTGACAAACCATATATATATATATACATACACACACATAAATCAAAATCCAAGGATTATTATATATATATTTCACATCATTAAAAAAGAGTAATGTAGCAAAACCCCCCAAACTGGACATTTATTTATAATGCTTTGTTAAACGCTTCAAGCCATGTATGTTAATCCCTTTAGTCAGCCTTTTTACCATATTCCTTCATACCCCTGCATCTTAAAAAATATCTGCCTCCCTTTTAAACATGTCACCTCAAATATTCCTCATCTATGCCCTTTTGGGGCAGTGCATCCACATTCCCACAATCTTTTATGCAAATTATTTTCTGGATTCATTTCTGCAAAGCTACAAACAGTTGCAGTATTAGTAAAATGCAATTTCCCTATAGCACCCATTACATGCCTTAGACATCCAGTAGTATTTCGCAGCACTAGTGAAGTGTGGAATTTCACTTTTCTGTCTTCATCAAAAGAAGAACTGCTCCATCCCGAATGAGGTATTATCACAACGTTCGTTAGGGTTGTTAGAGCATCCCGAATAATTGGCATCTTGACTGCATCACATGAAGACAAGTTCCACAAGACTCCTAAATAACACAGAAAGCATTTCATCATTTAAAGTTTCTTTGATTGCAATCCACTTGATTATTTAACAAGTGATATAAATTATTGAAGACTATAAGTGAATATTATTCAGTCAGTTACCAATTACTCTGAGGCATGATTAAGTACACAGAGCAACAAAAAAAAATCCAATCCAAGTCAGCAAACAAATATAATTAACGTATTCCTTTTCTCAGACAAATTTTCTCGAGTCCAGGCTATGGACATCTCCAGAACAGGTATCTATAAATCAGACAGAACAGCAATTTAAATTCTCCCAAAGCTTAAAAATTACTAAGCAGCCCTTTCAAATTGCTTTCATTAATAAATCTCAAGAGCTCCCCCTGATGGCTCAACTGTTAAATAAATGCACTGCATAATGTGACTTGCTTATCAGCAAAGTAACGTATTCAACCTGTAGTCTGGGATAAATTAGCCACTCAATGGCAAATCACAATGAAAACATGATACGCTATTACTGATTTAGTTTGCTGATGTGATGAAACTTGATGAAAAAGAAATGTACCTGTAATGAGTTCTCTCAATTCGGCATCCACAGTTTTTCGTAACAAACGTAATAAAGCTGGGATACCACCAGCATTCTTCATCGCTATCTTGTTCTCATCGGTGGCTTTGCCGTAAACCAGATTCCGCAGGGCACCACAGCCATTCTTCTGTACTTCTAGGATTTTATGATCCAAAAGTTCCACCAAGTATTTAATTCCTCCCAATCGGCACACCTTTTCACAACAGAAGTAAGAACATAATAAGAACATTTGCTTGGCAAAAGAAGACCAAGGCCCACCCAGTTCACCTTCCATCATTGTGGCAGTCGTGTCCACATGTCATGTCCCAAACTATAAGTTGTATCCCCAGATATTATTTCCCAACGGAAATCTATCTAGTTTGTACTTGAAAGAATCAACACTTTCTGCCCATAAGATGATCTTCACAAAATACAAATATATTCTGTAAAAGCAAACAAATTCATAGAATACCCACCTCAATCACTAAATAACTGTGAAGGAACATTATTTTATTTAAGGCCTTGTGCAAAATGAATTAATGCAATAAGAAAAATAGTTTTAGCCAAACTGCAAAACAAAAAATATATATCAGTTTGAATTGCTTCTTGTCCATTCAACCCACTGGCTATAAACTAACAATTATAAAATCCATATATAATTAAAACATGGCAGTATGATAGTCCAAGAGCAAGTTAGGGTTCTTTAAATGATCACATACAGCAGAAGGCAACTGAAGTCACAGCTGTCACAATATAACTCATCTATAACACAATAATTTATGGAAACTTTAGCAATTCACCAGTACTATACAAGTGTTACAATATGAACATTAAACCCTGCACTCTAAGCCCGATGAAAGGCTTTCAATATCATAATTTGTAGGACTAACATACTAATGGAGTCTAAAATTATATAAGATTCTAAAATATTTTCAATGGAGCTGTTCATCCATTTGTAAACGCTGGTTGAATGGTTGTCTTTATACTATACAAGTTGATAGGTTCATGCTCAACAAGCTGACATTTAAAATGGTTTTGTGATAGTTTTTTTTAAAAAGAATGGTTCACTCATGGTACACTTGCAAGTAAACAACTTAATTTTGTGTTGTTCGTGACTCTGCGCTCCCATAATCCTGCCATAATCTGTCCCCAATGACACAACAACTTAATGATCCAATTCAACTAGAAATGAAAGGAAGGCAATTCAGTATTTTATCTTTCCTGGATCATCCTGGATACAACGCTACTTCAAATAAAAATAATCATTTGCTGCCGTAATGCCTAAGACAATTCACCATAATTTGCTATGTTAAGCAAAAAAAACCTTACAGAACAGGAATTGGGAGGTGTCAAAAGATTTTCACAAAGAAAGGTTGAGGTTAAATTCTAAATCAGTCATTTAACTCTGAAATTTATAAGAAAAGGTGGAACTTGTGCTAAGAAGCTCCTATAAATACATTTTTACAAGGCAACTGGGAATGAATAGAGACATGCCAGGATCCTTAAGGAAACTCAGGGAAATAGGCAAGGCCCCGATCGTTTTGAAATTCAGGATGAAATATGCCTCACAGATTGAATAGAATTATTGGACAAGGTAACTAAATATTAGGTCAAGGGCTATCCAGTGAAAGGGTCATTTACTTGAATTTTTGGGACAAATTTAATAATATTTCACAAAAGGCTTAAAAATGGTGAAGTCTCGTGGAATTAATGATAAATTAGTGATCGGGATTTAAAATGGTCTCAGCAAAAAGGAAGAAGTTAATGGAAAATGGAAAGGACTGTGCGTCTTGCCTGTAAGTAATTGGGTTCTGCAGAGGTCTGTTCTGAGTGCCCTGCTGTTCACACCATTCATAAGCAAGTTGGTGACAATTTCCTGTATTACAGTAGAAACTCAATCATCCTCTTTGCTGCTCACCTCCGACTTCAAACACATAAACTGAGCTCTTTGATGACTCTGCCAAGCATGTGCTTCCAGAAAGCTGAGATAGTGGCTACTTTAATTGTAATTGGCCCAGACATTTGCCACTAATTGAAGGTTAGAGTTTTTGCTTTGCAATTTATTTTTTCACTTCCCATAAGAATTTTTTTTATTAACTTTAAAATGAGAACGTTTGAGTTTAATAGGAAGAAAATCAACTTGATGCTCAATGCTTCAAATTATAATGCTTAATGTCGATGGTAATTTGGATTGTAATTTAATGCTAGTTTGGAGAAACTATCTGAAATATTCAATTCATTGCTGCAGAAATTACATACTTTATATATTTGATAAGTAAAATTTGTTCAGGTTGTTATTGATACTTAATAAAATGAAACAGATGTCTAAAGGGAATTCAAAGAAATGCAAATTTATTTCACAAATTCTCATTAAATCTTCGGACTACAAGGTAAAATCTGTAGGTAATGTAATCACTGATATACACTTTTATTCTTTCAGTGTTTTGACAAACAATTTATAATCAAACATTACAGTAGGCCACCTTGTGATTAAACCAGCAGCTACTACTCCAGTTGAGGACTAGGGTGTTGAGAACACTTGATTTGGCCCCATTCTGGTGGTGAAACTCATCTTAAACTGTGGAAATGGCAGGAAGAACCCTTCAATCTTAGCTCTCTCTGACTTGAAACTAAATTTAATGTTAACGTTTTGACATACTCGTACGTCTAAATGGTACTTGTAACCAGATGTAACTGCATCAAATTTAAATCATGGAAATACAAGCACTGTAGAGTGAACTGTAATTGATATAGAGGGAATCAAATACCTCTGGGAGCTACACTTACAGCCGTTGCCCAATAATGATGTGACAGTGTAGATTTACTGTACAAAAATTCAACTTTGTGCCTGCTACCTAGTCTTTAGTGTACAATTTATACTATATACAGATGAACAGCTTCAATTTCTACCTCAGCAGAACAAAACAGTTATATTATCCAAATGTATGTGCACATTTAAATTCTGATTATTGCAGTGACTCAAACCATTTTATGCTCAGGAACAGTATGTAGTATCAGCCAAAGCTGGAACAGAAATCAACTCCTGCTTATGCATGGGTATTTTTTCTTATATCAGAGCACAGTATGTACCAATTAACGCTTTGTAAAGGTGCGAAAGGACATAGACTTGTGTATTCTAGAAGGAACTTTAATTTGAAGTGGATGTTTAACTGAAAGTTTAGGCATTGATTATAATGAAATATTGTATTTATGATTTGAAAGTCAATTGCTATTACGTAATGGGATGAGTGTACAAGTAAGCAACAGACAGTTTGTTATTGAGTAACGCTATTTTTCTGAAACCGGGACACCTGCAGCTGAATCCTTAGTGCATTCTGAGAGGCATTATTCATCCAAATTCTTAGAAATAAGAAAAAAATAAAACTGTGTATACAATCACCATACCTCAGCTTTCAACTTGTTATCTCCAAAGCAGAGGTGTTGCAAGTAAGCTGCTGCATTTGCCTGAACTGATGGGAACTGGTGCTGCAGCATATGAATGACTTCTGGCAGTTCTGGATCACGCCATGCAAACTCCCTGATTAAAAAAAAGTGAAAAATATGCCAGTGTTAAGTTTATTATATTGGTATTATTTTAATCCTTGCATTTGATACTAAAATCTTCTGTCAATTGCAGAGTGCAAGAAATGAGAATCTAACTCAAAATGCTGAGATTCAATATGTGGTGTTTAAACATCGGAATATTTCCTTTATAATTTACTGCAGAAATGTTCCAAGATCTGAAACCATTTCTAAATAAGTCTGAATTTAATTTTGTTTTCACACTCCACACGCCTAATAATAATCCCTCAAGAAAAAAAAACAATAATTGGTCACTTCAATCCACGACTGTTTGTGGGACGCTGCTGTGCGCAATTTGGCTGCCACATTTCGCCCACAAATATACAGTCAATTCACTTTAGAGTATATTCTGTGAAGCCCTTTGAGATGTCTAGAAGACATGAAAAGCGCTATATCAAATGCAAGGATTATTATTATTATTTGCAAGCATCTCACCTCTGAACTAAATAGGAAGCACCACTTAAAAATTCACGTTGCGTCTTCCCTCCTACAAAATTCATTCAACCATTCTTCCATTATTTACTCTTTTTTTAAGAGTTGCAATTAAAATAATAATCGGACACATCGCCTTTTATAATGACACACTGGTTCTGGGCAAATGGGCTTCTCATCTGCAATAACTCTGGATTTAGATTCCATGTGGTACAATTTGCTGGGTCACTTGCTATAGGAATTCACTGGGGTCTGACTTCCATCTGCCACAGGAACATAATAATGCACATCAGCTGCCTTGACTCTAGTCTATCGAGCAATAGGTATCTGGGATTCAAGATAGTGAAGCTGGTTTTAATTTCAATTTACCCGAAGGCCTTGGAAGTACTACTGTGCAACTTTTGACTTCAAGGTGACCAGAAAATTAAAGTTTGCCAGTGCAATTTTTTTTATTTAAAAAGTGTCTTAATTTGATCCCCATTAAGTTGCTGTTTATAAGCTTTTTATCTCCCAAGTTATCAACATTCAACTAAAAAGAAACAGTCATCATTAATCAAAAAAAACTTTCATTTTGTTTTTTTAAAAAAGTAAATGTTAATTCAATACTATATTTGAATTGATAGATTTTTTTTCTTTGAGCTTTAGAGAAGCATAGAAAATTATACCTGTCACCCAATCAATCAAATGCTTTAATGTGCGTGAAGCTACCCTCACGAATAATCCCGTCTGCATCATTTCTCAGTGTTATAATTGAACAGCGAGCTCCCGAATGTCCTGATTGTAGCACAGCTACCTGACTTGCATTCAAACTGTACCAGCAGTGCCCAAAAAAATTATTCATAGATGAGGTGTAGATCCGAAACCATAATTTTAAAGAATATATTGTAATAGAGTGAATTATAACCCCTGATAATTGACCTTTTTATTGTTTATATTTTGGGATGCCCAGGTTTCTTTTGTGTGTTTGGCAAGTGAAGTGTTCAGACTGAGATGTTCCTTCACTTGTCTGGAAGTCTGATGAAGGATCAAGATGCAATTCTGCCCATGTACATTTATACAATTTCAATAGGAATAATGCAAAAACTAATGGAACAACACATTTGTGTAATTTACAGCACAAATGCTTGTGACTTTCACTAAACTAAAGTAGACTGAGGTTGTTTTGTGTTTGCTTAATTGAAATTTAAAAAAAAATCTTTCAGATTATATTCAACAGATTATCAAAGATTTGACAGTTACATTATAGGTAGATGGAATAATGACTGAATAATGACAAACAAGGCGCTGAACTAGTATTATAGTACGTGCAAGGATGCAAATAAGTCCAAATCCACCGGGTGGTGACGTACACGTATAATTAATCCTTTGATAATACACTATATATATATATATATATATATATATATCCACACACAGTATATACATCTGCAAAGATACTTTTCATTTCTTCCCAGTACACTTTATTTAATCAATACTCAGTTTGCTCAAGATTAAGGCGATTGCACAAATAAGAAAAACAAATGAATATTACTGCTTGGCTGCCAAATATCCAATATTACAGCTGCTTAATCACATTTAATTTACAAGAGCATTTGAAAAAATTCAGAGAAGTAAAGCCCTCTACATATGCTGCATGTCAATCAATGGATTCACAGGTTTCAACCAGAAACTAATCAACAGGTTTGGTGAATGTCACTCATTTAGTACCGAAGTTCACTTAAATTGTATTTGATCTACAATAGAAAGATATTTTAGGTATACAGGAGTTTTAAGTATTCTCCACTTTGTTTATAAAAAGTCCAGTTTATGCCGTTCTGGCTTAGAATTGCATGGCAAAATTCACAAAACCACATTGTTGATTTGTGTCTTTACCACTATAATTCAAATTTTTAATCTTTGTTGCTATAAATTATAGGTTAGAAGCTTACTTTGAAGTAATTAAAAGTCATGAGGCAAATATTCTCCTTCTGCAATCATTCTCTTGAAGCCAACAATGTACAATATATAAGAAATGTTTGGCTGAATAAAGGGCACAGATGTCCCCATTGGCAGAATGCCCACAAATTAGCATGGACTGCAGAAACCTTCATTATTTCCAAGACACTATGGCCCCCACCCCCCCACTAGAACCAAGTCATCACATGAGAAGTTCTATAATAGAACGTCTTGAAGTGAACTTGAAATAGAAACCTGAGCACTAAAAGCTATAAATTCTAACAAATCTTTGTTTGTTAAAACCTTTCTAGGACATGAGTGAGTAACTATTACGTTTACAAGCTGTTTATTATTAAAATGAGTAAAAGCCCATTGAACATATTTTTAGTTGAACATATATAGTTTATATGTATAAATATATACAGTAAAGTGCAGATCTATAGCAAGGAAACCTTTAGTTTCCTTGAGCCCTTGAAATGCTTCCGCACCTCAGGGCTGCTCCGGTGATTCACATTATAGTGAGGTACCATATGCCCCCGGTACGGCTCATTTTTCCATAATGGGACACAATATCATAAGCAGGATGACAAGGGTCTTAAAAATACAACAAATGTGAACATTCCATATTACTTGCAAGACATCATGTTCAGAAATGTACTCTTTGCTGATATAGGTAAAGGGGATAAAAATATTTGTGCAGAAGTACTAATAGTCTATTATCCCACGGAGAGAATGCGGGCTCCTAATTAACAAGCCATATTTTGGTAACATTTGCTTACACATATAGATTTGTAAGTATCTGAAATTAGAGTAGAATGAAGCAAAATAATTTTACAAGTTAAAGTTAGCTTCAACAATACATGCCTTGGATCTTTCTGGATGCTGTCAATTGACGGTGACCTGGTTGCAGTTTCATCTGCTGGAGTAGCATAATGAAGTCTGGGATAATTTACTTCAGATGGTCGATACTGCACTGGCCTGTACAGGTCACCATAGTTACCCATGGCATTCAGAGCGTAGTTACTTCTTTGGTAAGTCATAGTGTTCCGATGACTGGCTGTTCTTTGCAGGTTACCGACAGCTAGAAATAAAATAGTAAAGTTGTACACATTGAAAACTGNTTTTTTTCAGATTATATAATGTTTGTTTATAAGCACTTGTCAGCATTCAAATCGCAAACAGCAATATTATTCATTTACTCCAAAGAGAACATGCAATTAATACATAAGGTAGAATTAAATTGTTACATTTTGTGTCTAAAGACCATCATTATAACCAAATAGACTTATTAAACAATTTGCCAAAGTTCTCCTGTCCTTCTCTGCTGAAGGGGCTGACCCTTGCTATCCCACAAGTGTCAGTCATTCTTAAATGGCTATTCTCCATGCATGAAGCTTAACAGTGAGCATCAGCTTGTTACTGGTTATTTAACCTTGAGGCCCATCAAAACTAAGCCCAATCCTATCCTCACCCCACATCCACAGAAATGCACTTTCAGCTAGGATCACTTTAATAATATTAATAATCCTTGCATTTGATATTGCGCTTTTCACGTCGGGAGGACGTCCCAAAGCGCTTCACAGAACACACTGTAAAGTGAATTGACTGTATATTTGTGGGAGAACGCGGCAGCCAATTGCGCACAGCAATGTCCCACAAACAGTCGTAGATTGAAAATGACCAATTTATTATTGTTTTTGGTTTTGGAGGGATTATTATTAGGCTCTGTGTGGAGCAAGGAAACTTGCCCAAGGTTTCACCCTCTGCCTGGAATTGAACTCAGGTCTCTCACTTGCAAAGCGAGTGCTCTTACCACTGAGCTACAGGACTTTACATTAATCAGGTGTTGAGGCCAATAGCAATGTACAAACTGGGTGTCTGAGACCAGCTAACAACACAAACCCGATCAAAACTGTGACCTTCTGGTTTGTAACTCCATGTTATGGTGTTATTCCATTCCAAATGTTTACTGTTGAATAACAATGTGTACTTAACCACGGTACACTGTATGATCAAGGAGTACAAATCCATTTAAGTTGGGGGTTGGGGGCATGCTCTAACAAAGTAGCAGAGCCTACTATAAGATGAAGTATTATTCTTATTCACAATCCTTACAATTGAGATCTGTAAACTGGAATAAGAACACAAACACTTCAGCAACAAAACAGGTTGTTACATGAAGTATTAAGGGTACTTCAAAATCCACAAAATGATTCCCTTTATAGGAGCCACCAATAATCTAATACATTTAATTCAGTTTTGTCCTCAGTTCCCATATATTCCAATAAATAGAATCCCAAATAATTCAGTTTTAAATGTTTTTTTTGTTTCAAGAGTACAACAACCTCTCGATTAATGATTCTAAAGGGGGAAAAAAAGTCAACAAATCATTACCTGATCCTGTACGAAACACTGCAGTTTGAGTTCCTTGATGGAGCTCCACTGCTGCATGACTGGGACTGCGATAAACTGGGCTTTGGAGTGTGCGTCCCTCATAGATTGGTGTAATGTGCAAATCAGGGGACATGGCAGAACGCAGTTCATGTCCCAGTTGGCTGTGTTGACTGGCATATGAACTACGTAATCCTGAAAAACAGAAACATGGTTGACTGATTTCTATTGGGTGTCACAGATTGTATTGGTCCTCCTGCTCAATGGTAATTTTGAATGTCAAATACCCAAAGCATCAAAACACAGGAAATCAAATGCATCTCAATACTTTGTTAGATGTAACCTCCCCATTTTGTATTACCCTAAAATGTTCTTATTTTGTATGAATATATTACCTATTAGTGAAAGTCGGCCAAGTAATAGATGCTTTTCAACATATCCGTAAAACCTGTAACTGTGTATCTAACATGAATGTGATTAAAAGAACGACAATAAGTTACATTTGTATTGCGTTTTTCAGGTCGGGAGGACGTTACAAGGCGTTGACAGATAAACAAATAAATTCAACTGAAGGTTTCAGTTAAAATTTACTTTCTAATTAACAATTATTTGCATTTAAAAAGAATGCTATTTAGAAATTCATGACGACGGTATACGATTGCAGATCTATGATCCATTGAGGTAATTCATCTACAAAACTGCTGAGTCACAAATGCATTGGATTCTATATTGTGAATAGAAAAACCTATTGAGGAACAGAGAGTTAATTTGGAAATTGAAAGAGAACAATTGTGCTTTATATTGCTGCTCTCTACATTACAGGCAATGCTGGTGCCTCACTTTCTTTTCTTCACAAATGCTACTTTTGGAAGGAAAGAATATTGTCAATTTTATTCTCATCTCTTTTCCTACAGTTCAAGCATTAGGTGATGGCGTGGGCGAGATACATCCCTTCCTACTATAAACAACATACTCTTATAAGTAACCCAAGAATGCCTGGTGAAGTACACGTGTGTGACATCAAGATCACTACACTTGTCTTTCATTTTAAATTTCCATTGCTGTCTGTAACCTACACTAAACATTTATAGTTATGACTAAATATTGGTCTATGACTGATAGGGGTTAGAAAAAGGGAGTCAGAAAACACCTTCAGCAAAAGAGGAAAGAAAACTGGCAAGGAAAACGATTAGGATTGTGGAGTTGCTGCACTTCAGAAATGGATGAAGAAAATCACGAATGAGAGAGAGTCAAAGGTTTCAAACTCAGCTTTAAAAGGGTTAGAAAGATAAATCAAATCAGGTAGAAAAGGATAAAACCCAAAAGATAAAAAAGCACATACAGTATAGAGATTGGGAAAGATGCGGAGAAGAAGTTATGACAGAATTTGTGCTTTTTAAATAATTGTTTTCGTGCAAACAAAAATAGTTTTTTTTAAAAAAAATTAAGCATTTATTTTGTAGTTAATATTACAGCAATAAGGCTGTTTCCAAAATCTGAGTAGCTTTATTACTGAAATATGAGTTTCCTGATCAGTGAAATGAAAACTTGCGAAAGTAGCCAGTATAGAGGGTTCATAATCGTACTGATGTTTCTGGTAACAGGATTGTACGTAGAACAATGTAAGTTGTCACAACATTTAAATAATAATGGAATCCAACAGCCTTGTTTTGAAGAAGTTCTTCAAACAAAAATCCCATCATCCCATGAAATTGAGATCCCAGTCCTCTTATTAGTTTTCATGGGCACAGAATATAGGAAGAAAAAAAGTTGTACTAAGAATTACTTAATTCAACCACATAAAGATGTACTTTAGATCTATGTCTAATGCCACAAAACAGACCTGCAAGGCTGTCTGGTCGTGGAGGCACCATCCTCTCATATATTTCTGGGGAGTGGAGACAATAAAAATCATCATCAATGGCGAAAGATCTTTGTAGAGGTGCCGTCATATGTTGAGGGACTGCAGTCATGGTCGACCGTGCAGGAGACGAAGATCCAGTGTGAAGTTGGGGTGGAGAGTTCACTCTTGATTGTGCATTAGATAAAGTGAGTGGTGAACCCACTCTCACTGAAGAGCCCAAATTCTGATATGGTGAAGTGGCTCGGCTAGAATTGGTGAGTTGCCTTGTAACTGAAGTAACTCGTTTAATTGTGGCCGGTGATGTAGTTCTTGGTGCGGTGCGAGGAGACCCTGCTCTTGGAGCTGGCAACGTTGAGGACATAAAGACTGTAGAAGCTGTGGATCGAGGTTCAGTTGTTGCTGGGGAACCATAAGGACTTCCTAGGGAGGTTCTTAATGACCCTCTTGATGGTGATATTCCAGTAACATAGGTTGGAGACTGAGTTCTAGATGGAACTGAACTAACTCGTCTCATTGCCCTAGAGGCTGTAAGAGCAACATTCATTGGACCCTGTGTAAAAAAAACACACACGAAAACTATGAAAACTACTGCTGTGAGCAATTGGCTGCTGAATACAGTCAATTCACTTTATAATATAGACTGTGAAGAGCTTTGAGACGTCTCGAAGACATAAGGCACTACATCAAATACAAATATTATTATTATTATTATGAGATTACATTATTTATTAATTTTCCATTAACACTGGACAAAGACAAATGTAATAAATATTAGACAGTGTAAAATTATATTCAACCTAGTGAAAAAAAAAACATTTTATCCTGGTCAGAAAACAACTTATTTATTTTAGTTGAATTTGCTGATCTTAGCTTATGGCACTCTTTTCCATTTCTTTCTTTGCTGCCATTTTTTTAAAGAAACTAATTTTGCATCATCTTATATTCAGCTCAACAGTCATCTTCTCCTTTCTCCAAACAGTTAAAGTAATGGAGAAGTAAAGTTTAATTTTTTTTTCCCTCAAATTGGCTGTCTTCAAACGTTTCGATGTAATTATGGATACTTGGTTTAACATGACAATGATTAATTTCCTCCAAATATACAGTACCTGCACCAGTGTCTGTCCCTCTGGACGTGAGTTTCGAATTAGATGACCACTGTTGACACTGCTGTAAATGGCCTGCAGATTTCTGGGGTCTGCCTTGATCAAGTTTTGGCTGCTATAGTAACCTCCTGGTTCCTGGTAACCACTATCAGAATAGGAATTCATTTGTGTGGAGCTTCGCGAGTTTCCTAAAGATCCTGTATATTGAAGCAGACTGTTAGTAATGAATAAAACTGAAGTTTAAACATAGGTTATTATGGGAAATACATTATTTCATGCAAACATTTTTGAATAATACATCAGACCTTCTTAAGTGTCAATACATAGTGTATAATTTCTACTTAAAAATTCATATAAATAACAGACCCTCACTTTCATGAAGAGACGTTTGTTCAGGTGTGTGAGCTGGCAATCTGTCACAATCTGCTTCAATATTTGAGAGTTGGGGATGTAGGTTGTCAGAAACTCGGTGTCTATTCACTCCTGCTATTGGATCATCTGACAGAAAAGGTACACAACTCAGAACGCTTTAAGATAAAATGATAAAGGTTCAGAAATGACAAAGCGATATGGCATGGAAACAGGGCATTAGCCGCATCTTGCTTGCACAACATGCTTCTGCAAATTGCAAAATTCATGCAATTCCATGCTGCCTTCCTGATTTGCCATTATTTGGTTACAATATATGCAGAGAACATTAAAGGTTAGATTGCTTTTAGTATTTTTCTTTACTCTTTAATACAGTTCTATTCTACGCAGTATTTAATAAATTATCTTCTTGCAGAATAGTCTAGTCTCCTGATCTGATCGCTCCAGGATACCAACCCTATTGTCCTCCATCACAGCCTCAAGCTGCTTTTTAAATGAGTCCTGCATCCTGCCTTCAACCACCCTTCCTGCCAACTTGTTCCAGTTGATAAGACTCGGGGTGTCTGCTATCAGACCTAATTGGCTGACGACATTCAAATGAATTGCAAAACTAAAATCTTGTTAAGAATGGAATATCCCATCCAAAAAACCCTAATTTATTTAAAATAGCTGCAACAAGAATCAAACTACCAAACCTGTAAGGAATAGACAATTGGCAAATCTGAAGGACTTTGTTCTTGTGGGAAACATCAATTAGGACAGCTGCCAGCAATGAGATTCCAAACCTATTTAATATGTCTGCTGGAATACTTTATTTATCATCTCTTTAGAATGATGATATTAAACTGATTTTACTCTCTCTTGGTTCTATTAATACAGACAATGATCATATTTTATTCTTGTGCTTCCCATCTCGAGATCCCATTTCCTGTCACAACTTGGGTTTTCTCGAACACTGTTCAGTGTTATGTTCAGTTCTATCATAACTTGGTGCTGTTTAGTGTTGTGTGGGTTGTTGTATTTGGCAGGTTTATTGTGCCACAGAATTTGTTTATTTTAAAAAAAGGCTTGCCAATACATTACATTTTCCTTTAGAATAAAAAGATTATTGTAGTGGTTTATAAAAAAGCAAACTTTAAACTTTGCTACTTATTTAAGGTACCAATTTGCCAATGATGAACTTATTTTGAGCTATATCCAGATAAATGTAAGATAATAATAATCCTTGCATTTGATACAGTGCCTTATCGTGTCTCAAAGCGCTTCAGAGAATATACTGTAAAGTGAATGGACTGTACATTTTGTGGCCAAAATATGCTCTACACTCAGAAGGTGCACCTATCGTCATCCAAAGACTGGCAATAAACCTTAGAAATCTTTCTCTTTTGTTTTCTTGCAAGAACGTAATCCACACCCTTCACATACAGGATTAATGCTCTCAGAATTGCAAGGTAAGAACCGGGAATTCACAATATTCAGTTATTATTAGGATTGCAATGACAGCCCAAAACAGATGCTGTAGTGAGAACTGCGGAACCAGTGTGTGGTAAGATAGCACCAGAACTGGAGGAAGCACAATAATAGCCATCTGTACAAAGCCTTTATATGTTACAGCCTCACTGTAGCACAGATATAGTCCTTCAAATAAACTCATAAGAAATCCTTCATAAAATCTTAAAACAAATCCCATTTGTTGACTATTCACTCTCTTTGTGAGAATTTTGTTGATGGGGCCATTCATTGTCACTTCTCCAACCCCCCATTCCCTCTCCAGTATTAATCAGTAAGAGAAGTTCTTGGTCAGTACAATGCTGATGACTATGCCAAAGCGGTAATAAATTCATTCATGCACTGACAGTGTTGACATTTCAGCCATTCTGTCAGGATTTGTGTCAGCTGGTACCAGAGCAGCTGCAGTGAGGTTGAACGGGTTTCTGACTAATGCCAAAGGAGGTTGAGACCTCCCTGGAGCACCTCACTCTTCTTCTCAGCCATAATCTGCCGTCTAAATCCTATCCCATTCTTCCATCAACCCCATCCTTGACAAGCTCCATACACTACCTTGTCCCAGAGAGAATCAGTTTCAAAATCTCCACCTGAGCCTTGAATCCCTCCACCCATTTGTGTAATCATTTCCACTCTTATGTATTAGCACTCATTCAACGTTTTAGCCTCGTTTACTTGTCCTGTCCACTGTTAGAGAACATCCGAAATACTTTGGTGGGACAGTTTTCTACCCAGTAAACATTTCCATTGACAGATTTAACTTTATTTATTGCATACAAAAAGATCTAAACTTATCAATACTGAAATAACTGTTTTTAGTTTCTCACTCTTATGCATAAAATAAAATATAGAAAAGCAATAATTTGATGCCATGCCTATCATATTGAAACATCTCAATGTACTAGAGTGCAGTTACTGTGTACGTGCAGACAAACACAGAAGCCAATATAAGAAATAGATCCCCACTATGTATCCTCTCAAACCCTTTTATCATACAAATCTTTGTATATATATCTGATGTTGAAACACTCACATGTCTTTGCAGTAATTAAGTGTAGTGACTGTAGGCGAATATAATGGTTAAGAAGATATATTATCCTTCAACATTCTCTGCTCCAATAAAAAGCGTCCTAACCTCTCTTGCCTCTTACACAGAACACAAGGCAGGAGAAAATTACTTTCAGGGACTAAAATGGGGTTGCTCAGGTTNAAAAAAATAAACCAAGAAAGAGTCAGAGCAACTTAAATGGAATAGGCAGAATTCTGTGGTTAGGGAACGAAAATGTAATACAGCAGGAGAATTAGTGAAGAATTTGTGTTCAGGAGTGAAAAAAGTAGAGCCCCATTATAAGGCAGTATTTGGGGTCCATAAAATCCAAACCAGCACTTGAACAAAAATCAGTCTAAATCTTTTTAGAAAAAAAAGGAACACCTACCATGAATGGCCAACACATATATCTGGAAAATTGAGAATCTGCATCAAAAGATAAGTATAGATATAATTCAATGGACAGATCAAATTATTACCTGCTGGTCTCCAGTGAAAGGATTTCTCAGTGGAACTGGAGAAAGAAAGACAAAAAATAGTGATTTCACTCAATGTGCATTTGCTGTTTTTGATGATGTGGTATTCTTATGCAGTGTGTACACACACAGTTTACTCTTCATTACTTTCAAAACCATTATCGACATAAGATTTTTCATTCAAATTCAGATTGACTATGTGGAAGTTGTAATGACTGTTTGCACTTTAAGGATCATTAGGACAAGTATCTATATTATTTATTTCTGGGTATTTAGATTAGAAATATTTGGGAAACTTTCAAGATAAGGAAGGATGTCTGAGTTTTAAACACAATTATGAGAAAGTAGTCTTTACAAATAAGCGAGGCTTTCTGCATGTGGATCAATTTACAATTACAATTCCTCCCCACAGGTTATTCTTCCTTCCTTTCCCATGGTCTTTTTTTACTTTGCGGGTGATAGCAAACCTAAACATGCAAATATTAAAATATATTGTATTACTATTAGGTACAGTCCTTGCATTACTCAGATTAATAGAAAAGGGTTTCATCTACATTTTTGTGGTTGGTGCTGGGTTACAAGTATCTGGGTGTTGCACATTGATGGCATTTCAGAAAGACAGTAAACCAATTGAACCTGGCTGGAGTTTTTGCATTCCAGCAATGCATCCTGTTTTTTTTAAATGCTGATCAAACTGTTCTTCCTGTATGAAGTGAACTCAAGAATGCCTGGAGAATGCCTGGAGAAAGAAAATATGTATACCTAGACTGACCAACGAGATGGGAACATTTAGCCCTCCAGCCTGTTCTGCTATTCTATTAGATCATGGCTGATCTGTACCTCAACTCCAACTCCAGATAAAAAGCAAGGACTGCAGTGATGCCTGTCGTTGTCTCTATTATTGTACAGCTATCAGTAGAATCGTCAGCTTTTACAAATAAGTAGGAGAAAGGCTGAACACCGAGAATGGAATTCCTACTCTGTGTGCAGGTGCTTCATTATTCTAACTGTTTGGGTCAGAAAGCACTGACACAAATAAGTACATTAAACATTTTATCATTATTATTTCAGCTTAGTATTCTCCATTCCACTGTTTTGTCACATTGTTATATGTGTGCATAAACATCTTATTTTCTGAACAAAATAAGTAACTAGATACCGAAAATTTAACTTGCATTTTTCTAGTGTACTATTAAATTGAATTTGACTGTATTTCAAATGCAACAAAATCAACCTAAGGAGTACTTCATCATCTTGTGGTTTAAATTTTAATGCATATTGTGACTGTACTGAATTATACACTTCAGAATTCATTTCCAGAGATGTAAGCAGAACAACTAACACAGTCAGCTAACAGTATAGGCATAGCTTTACATGTGGAGCACAGCACTGCAGGCAATTCCCTGGAGTATATAACACTGTAGTACAAAAGATAGGAACGGATCTGAGGATCTGCGTCTGAGATAATAATAATAATCCTTGCATTTGATATAGCGCTTTTCACGTCAGGAGGACGTCCCAAAGCGCTTAACAGAACACACTGTAAAGTGAATTGACTGTATATTTGTGGGCAAACGCGGTAGCCAATTGCGCACAGCAATGTCCCACAAACAGTCGTAGATTGAAAATGACCAATTTATTATTGTTTTTGGTTTTGGAGGGATTACTATTAGGCTCTGTGTGGAGTAAGGAAACTTGCCCAAGGTTTCGCCGCCTGGAATTGAACTCAGGTCTCTCGTTTGCAAAGCGAGTGCTCTAACCACTGAGCTACACGACTCCACGACAAGATGACAAGAAAGGCTTGGATGAAGAAGGCCCTTTGGCTCACATGATCTAATTTTCCAGAATACCAATTCTACTGCCTTTCCACTGAACAGGATTCCTAATATCAGGAGATTAAAACTAGTCTAACCCAGCTCACGTTTCCTATCTCTGAACATATGTGTGAGAACCAGCTGTCCTGAGGGAAACCTCAGAGGGCACCAGCTGCTGGAATCAACTGTTCGATTGGGAAGGACGCTACATAAATGCAAGTTGTTGTTGTTGGTCTTTCAAATCCGTTAACCCATTCCAGATATTTTTAACCTCTGCATAAAGAAATACCTCCTGGCAATCTTAATGGCTTCAGAATCCTTCCTCAACTAACAATTCATAACATAACATGTAGGAGCCGGTGTAGGCCATTCGGCCTTCGAGCCTGCCCCGCCATTCAATCATGGCTGATCTTCTAATCTAACTCCAGCTAATAATAATAATAATAATATAATAATAATCCTTGCATTTGATATAGCGCTTTTCACGTCGGGAGGACGTCCCAAAGCGCTTCACAGAATAGACTGTAAAGTGAATTGACTGTATATTTGTGGGCGAACGCGGCAGCCAATTGCGTTCAATAACCTGACCATGCCTTATCCCCATATCCCTTAATCCCTTTTGCAATAAGAAATCTATCTATCTCAGTCTTGAATATGTTCCAGGAAAATTTGCAATTCTCTTGTGAATGGATGCTTGTGCTGGTGGGCCAGTTCCAAGGTGTTCACTGCGTATGAATCCAGCTCAACAACAACTTGGATTTATATGCCCTCCCCGGACGGCGTCTCAGAGCGCTTTACAGTTTCGGATCCCGAGACTGAGCCGGGGGGGTGGGGGGGAAGGTGACCAAAGGCTCGGTCGAAAAGAAAGGTCTTCAGCAGAGACCTGAAAATGGGAAGGGAGGGAGCGAGACGAAGGGAGTGAGGAAGGCAGTTCCAGAGCAGATGTACTGCTGGCGGTTTGTGAGGTAGGAGTCGAACCAGGTGAGTGCGGTCCAACTGAGGTGGATGGCGGAGCAAAGGCGTTGGAGGAGTATGGCGTGATAGACTGTGTCGAACGCGACGGAGAGGTCCAGGAGGACAAGCAGGCAGAAGGAGCCCTGGTCACAGATGGAGAGGATGTCGTTTGCGACTTTCACAAGCGCAGTCTCTGTACTGTGGGCAGGGCGGAAAAAAGGACTGGAGGGTTTCGAAGAGGGAGTGGGAGGAGAGGTGTCCACGGAGTTCGTTGGCCACAACCCGTTCTAGAGCTTTTGAGAGGAAGGGCAGGTTAGAAATAGAGCGGTTAGAAATAGGGCAGACCTGTGAGTAGCAGAATGTTTATCTGCTGAGCTTCAATATTCAGCAAACTATTGGAATCAATCTGGATTAGTAAAGTATGTATTCCAGGACTAGGGCACCTACTTTAGATAGTACTAATGGAACATATAATGCATTCAAAATCAGAATATCAATTCATATCTAGCCATTTGACTGCTCAATCTATAGATTAAGATTTGTACCTATTGTACTATTGGTTATGCAAGATCCAGAAATCTCTCATCTTTCCCCTTGGGCATTCAAATGACAGGATGTGGGTCAACCAATCCATCTTCATGGAAATGGTCTTACACCTGCTCTGTGTCCACACTCCGTTCCTTATGTGACCTGTGAGTGGCAGAATGTTTATCTGCTGAGCTTTAATATTCAACAAAACCAGTTGGCCGTGTCTGGCCTATTGCTGAGTCTGCAGCTAACTTCATTTTGAAGCATCAGGCAATGGAAGACAAGCTTTACAGATGTTATGGGAATTAGTCACCAGGAAGGATCAGTTACACTTCATTTAAATTTCAAAGTAGGACCTGACATCAGCCAGTGTCTGTACTGGGAGGTGATCAGCATCAGATACATTAGATCTCTAAATAAGACAGCAGTGATCAAAAATGAGGGACATTTTTCAGAATGAAAAATTATATTACCATCATCATCATCCCCAGAAGAAAGTAACTGCAGTAAATATCTCTACACTGGTTTTCCTCATCCCTACGATATTGTCCACCTCTGCCCCCATCTCTAACCAAATGCCACTGAAAACCCTTATTTACCTTCATTACTTCCCGCCTAGACATTTCTAATGCATTCCTCGCTGTCTCCCTAGCTCCACAATCAATCTCCTGCCAATCCAAAATTCTTCTGCCCATATCCTCACCTGCACCAAACTCCATATGCCTAGTCAACACTCTAGACAATACCCTCGTCACTGCCAGGTTCCACTCCACTGATCGTAACAGATTGGTTACAAGACAGCACTTCCAACACTACTGTATACCAGAATGCATTATGTTAGCCTATACAATGTACAGTAACGCTTAAGTTATCAGGTTGACATGGCTACAAGCAACGGCTGCTGCTGCCACCTCATCTCACACAGTTCATTTTGTCAATAGGGTTATGTGTTGAAAACCCTATCAACTCCAACACAGCCCATTTGGTTTCTATTGCTCAATTATACAATGCATTTTATGTTCTCAACCTTTTTTTAAAAAAAAACATGCAGGTAAACAGATTAGGTGTTTAAATATAAAATTGATTATCAATTGCTACCAAGGATGCTATGTTTCGTACCTCCTATGATACGGTTGTTTAGATCCTATTCTTAAAGAACAATGCTGACATACTATCAATAATGAATCACTGAAATGTATTTTATGATCTTTAGTGCACTAGCTAGCCAACCAGCTCAGTATGGTCCGAAAGAGTATAAATCAAAGCTGATCAAAGCTACTCAAATAACTAAGCAAGACAGATTTTGAAACCTCATAGAACAATCAATTAGTGTAGCACAACACGATTAACAGGGATCTTTTTCTAATAACATGTCCAATACTTCACNAAAAAAGCAATGTTCAACCAATTATATTTCATATAAACTGAAACGATAATGCAGATGAAGAATCGATAGCAATAGTCAGGAGGATGTATCTTGACATTAGAATTGTAAGAAATAAAGTGACACTGTAGAAGGTATCATCAGGAGACAGAAAAGCACCAAAGACTCGCCTGATGCTGTACCTGATGCTAGTGATGCTAGGAGATTCCGTTCCCAGCTTGCATCTTTCTAGCTGATTTGCAACAATCTGCCGTTCCAACTCAAGCTCTCTCGTCAGCCTTTCAAACTGGAGCTCCTACAGCAAAAGAGAAGGGACAGTAAAAGCACGAGTGTAAAAAAAATCACATTAAATATGAACAGATTCAAGTCCACACATGTTAAATGTAAATAAAGTTGCTTCGCTATACGCTAAATGACAAGTGACACATCAGCTCGATTGTTAAATGAAGAAAACAGTACCTTCTCATCTTGTCCCTCCCACTCATTACCATCAAGCAGAGATTCATAATCTGTAACAAAATAAAGCTACCCCACCAGGAGATCATTCAGCATGAAATCTCCACCCCTCTTCAATCCACATCTTAGTATATTAGTTTCTTGCTTTCATCCTCTCTGGGACCCTTTGCAGTGGGTCCACTAATTATCTTGCATGCACACATCACAGCAATGATTCTCAGCCTTCCAACAATTACTGGTACTGCAGCATATGACACGGTGGTTTGAGTACACACCTCCTCCAGCTCTGCTTCTGACTGAGGAACATCAGATGATCCATCACCCCACCATTCCCCAACATGTTTTTCTCTGCAATATTCCTATCCATGCTATTTCCATGCATTTTCAGGTCACAAATAATAAATCATTTAAATCGCACAGCTAACATACCTGTACTTATGCCATTGTGCTTAAATCACTGCTTGTATGCTTTTTATTTCAGGCAGGAGAGAGAATTCCGTCTCGGCTCTATTGGCCAGATTCAGCAGCATAGCTTTACATCATAATAGCAGCCCTCCCCCTCCAGCAAAGCTGATCACATGTAAACCGTACTGAAGAGATATGAAGACACTGAAAACTATATGCGTTACCCTCTGAAGATGCTGTTAATCAAGGATACTACAATCAATAGGCATCACAGAAAACAATTTGTTCCGTTTCTGGCTTTTTTGGGGGGGAATCCACCACATAAATTGCATTTATTTAAACCAGCCTCTGTTGCCTAGCAATATAGTACCTTGACTCTCTAGCACTTCGGAACAATGTAGTAGTGAGATCTCATATTTTTTGGCTAAAAGATACAAGATGTGTATGATTTAGTATGCAAATCATATATTGTATACTCATTCAAAACTGTGAAATTTTACATTTCACATTTCTGATGGAATACATCTGCTATACATCATGTAAATTAGATCCAGACGCTATATTCAAGTTTTATACAATTAAACAGTTTTATACAATTGAGTAGTTTTATATTCAATCTTGTTAACTCAGTATTGTTTGCATTATTAGGTATACTGTGTTGTAAACTGATGTCTTCCAGAATGAACTTGTAAATCTTCACAAGATCTACCACAATCTCTAGAAACTGATCTTGCAGAAACTCAGGTTTGGATATGTGCAGGAGTCACAACGGACATCCTCTCCTAAAAACAAATTAGTCTAGACTGACACTCCAGTGCAGGAGAAATGAAATGCTGCAGTGTCAGAGGTGTAGTCTTGGGATAAGGTCCTATTTGCATATTTGGTGGGGGATTTAAAGGTTCCATATTGCTATTTGAACAGAAAAGGGAGTCGTTCCCTTTCTGCTCATTAATTGGACATTCACCTACCTGTCCATCGGTGGTCAGGCCTTCAAGCTTTTTGCTCCTACCCTATGGAATTCCATCCTAGAGTCCCTTCACCCCTTCCTTGCCTCTTTCAAGGCTCATCTCAAGACCTTCCTCTTTGGCCGTGCCCTCAGTCATCCTCTCACCCCCACCTCCCTTGCCCTCCATCCCTTTTGAATCCGAACCCTAACTAGGGAGCAAAGTCTTGCTGCCCGGTGCCTTGCGACGTCCTCCCAATGTGAAAGGTGTTAGATAAATGCAATTTGCTGTTCTTTGATTCAGACACAGAAGCCATCGAAATCCTAGAGAAAGGCAAGTTGCCAATGAATTGTTATTCACCCTCTTGCTTAAGTAAACAGCAGGAATCAGCTGATAGAGCCACATAGAGTTTGAAAAGAAAGCACAGAAGAGGGTGTGCCTGCATGGAACAAAACCAGCATTCATTGTTTTAAAGGGAAAAACTACATCTACATTAGTTCTAAACAAAACCACAGTGTTTCAGAATGTACTTATTTAAACATAACCCCCCAGTGTTGTATGCAAAATAAACCACTTGTAGTTATTAGCCTTAAGAATCTTTCAGATTTTCTTTTTGCCAAATACATTAGGGAGCCATACAAGAGAAAACAAAAAGATTGCAATGAGGTAAGAACAGATGTAGGAATTGGACTGAATTTTGTCACATGCTGATGGGACTCAATTCTTTCACTGAAAGAGATTATGTTCTTCCTGCATACTCAACACTGTAGATCGACAGAGTAATACTCACATAATAGGGGAATAAACTAAGGAATTAGTGTTGAATAGATTTATAATGATTCCTCATGGGGAAAATGTCAGGGCTTGGGATCTGCATAGAGAACTTTACCAAAGCATTTCTAAGAGTTTTAACTGCTGCATACTTTTCAATTAAATAATTCAATCATAATTAATAATACATGCTCAAAGCCAGCTTTTACAAAGATAGAAATTCTAGCCTTTGGTTCATTAAGCAGTAGACTTCAATTTTTGTCCACAAAACACTCAGTAACTGCACTTCACGGTACATCCTGTGCAGCGCTTGAGATGCCTTGATGACGCGATAAGACGCTAAATCAAATGCAAAAATTATTTACTGGATTTTGTGATCTATTCTTTCAACCGGTCAGTCTAAGATTCTGTGATTAAGTTATAAAATGATGTAGAACGTCTGAGGAATGTGGTTACTAATAAGTACAACACTAGATAAGAGTAGAACACTTGAGTAGATTATATGCCCAGTTTGTACTGTCAATTATAAACACGCTTTTTGTATTTCCCGTACAGTCAACAATGATGGCAGCAAGAAGCTTCCAGGAAATGAAATGTCGATTCCTCCAGAATTCCACTAGGTGGTGTCCTTCAAAACTGAGGAGAATCCAGTTACAATGCAGCTACAGACAAGCTACTCCACCCTGGTTTGCACCCATCTGCTTTTACTGTGTCTCAGTCAGATTTCATGTTGTTCTAGCTTGTCATGACAGCCAGACTCACAAATTTATTTTAAAAGCTTTAGGCTCAACTTGGATTGCCACCACAAATCAGCAAAATGCAATGTAATGACATTAATTATGAAATTCCAGTGGCCTGCATGTACAATTCATGCGAGTTTGCAGTTCATTACAAGTAAAACTGCTTCAAATTAGATGAAGTGCTTTGAGTGAACAGACACAGAACATCTCATGCTAAATTCAATATAAAATGAGAATGAACAATGTTCATAGTCATTAAGGGTGAGCTTCTGAGTCTAAACACACATTTATATAGTATCCTTCATGTAGGATAACATCTCAGTCTACTTCACAATGACAGGGTTGGATGCCAAGCAACAACAACAACAAAATTACATTTGTATAGTGCCTTTCATGTGTTGGGAGGATGTCCCAAGGTGCTGGACAGTCAAGCGTTTCTGACCTGAGTCTTCGGGATTGGGAAGGGGGGAGGGCAGGGGGGAAGGAGGGTGATCGAAAGCACGGTCAAAGAGGAGGGTCTTGAGATGGGTTCTGAAGGAGACAAGGGAGGGGGCGAGGCAGATGGACTGCGGGGTGGAGTATGGAGTTCCAGAGGGTGGGGGCAGAGTGGGGGTGGGCGTCAATGATTGTAGATGCAGTCAAAGAGGAAGTTTTTTTTTAAAAAGACAGGATTGGAAGACAGAGGGGGACGAGATGGAGGGAGTTCCAGTTAGGCATACTAGCTGAAGACTCACCCACCGATGGTGAGGCAAGGTGAAAGATATGTCGCAGGCCCGAGTTAGTCAGGACCATGAAATCAATTCATTGGGAGACAGGGAGCCAATGGTGCCAGTTACAGCATGGGATCTGAAGTGCATAAAATTCTATCCTGCCTCATAATATAGGGCACCATCAAAAGTGACTCCCTCTTTCACACACACACGACATACACAGAAAGCTTGCTAGTTCCATCGATGCACATCACACTTCAAAACACGTCGTCGCACTTCAAAGCACATTATTTTGCTTCGCATTCTGTTATTGTGCTGACATGTTTTGAGGCACGACAATAGAAATTCAAGCAGAATTTGAAGTGCAGTGATGGATTTAGGTGGCATAATGTCAGATTTTGAGATTTAAAAAAATGCCGGGGTCTGTGACCCGATCGCCGTATTAATGCACATAACTACATAACTGGATTCCAGTGAATTTTACAAGGAAAGGGGGGGAAGAAAAAAAACATTTGGGGGATTCAAAGAAACATTCTTTAAAAATTCATGTCAAGATACACACCAGATGAAAACTGGTATGAAATTATCAGATGAAATTGTGAAAATGTACATGGTGTGGTCAGATGGGGTTAGGGGAAAGAGAAACAATAAACTGCAAATCAAAACAGAGATGTCAAGAAACTCGTCATTTTATGGAGCCACCAGAAGGGAGGGCCTGCTTATCACAGTGCTCTCCTCTGGCCATAATTGGACTTATGCTGTCAGTACTAAAGTACAGAAGCATATATGATAATAGTCTTCCTTATATTAGCATAACAGAATAGCAGCAACTCACAAAACACTGTGGCAGCATAGTATGAAAGTACTATCTAATCCCTGGGTTTGTTCATTTGTTCAGAAGACAACAATAACCTTACATTTATATAGGACTGTTCACGTAGGTAGTGACTTGAAGCATATAGTATCCAACTGAAGACAATTATTTTAATGTTTGTGAGGCTCACAAAACTAGTCCTGAAAGAGTCTACATATAGGTCAGCGGAATTAAAAAATAATGTTTGGCCTCAAACCCAGTCCATCTAGGTTTGAATTCCAGATACTCAGAGTCCAGTAAACCAAGGTTTACAGTATNAAAAAATACTTTTCAGTTACCATTTAGCCAGCTTTTTTTTTGGTAAGTCATAAACGTTTCAAAAATGCAATAGTAATTTTTTGGGGTCAGCTGGGTAGCTAACATATATGGATGCTTAAGAGTATCCAAACGAGACAGAGTTCCATATGCCACAAATGCAAGGAAATGTCCATCCTTGAAATGGAATACATTTTTGACATGGTCCATAAGTTAATATTTGATGTACTTTTTCCCTGTCCAAACAGGAAAACGCTACACTGGTCACAGGCCTTGGCAAGACTGCCCTAGGGCGAGTAAGTTCTATGGAATGCACAGATTTAATGAAAACTTATAATTTTCCAATTTTTATTGTTCCAGTGTTGAAATATATTCAGGTGAATGTCTACAACATCCCCTTATCAGTACATTTAGAGGGAGCTATTTCATATGCCAGTAAGCTTGGTGCACTTTGATGTGTTTATAATAAGAAATCCCATTCAATGCATATATTGTCAAAGTCTGCTAAACTTGCCGGCAGGCACAGGGTGCATCACTATTTAAGTGTCTCTGAGAAGCAGTTTAGGAGACACCAGAGAGCTTGACATTTTGCGTGGAATTTGAATTCCCTCTGCATTCCTTAAACCACTATGCCACTTTCTCCCCAAGCATTCTTTATTTTGTCTTTTCATACAAACTTCTAGGGAATAAAGCAAGTGCTATGGAAGGGGAGTAAAGAATAAAAGAGTCACTGAGGTGATCCCTGAATGTTGCAGTATACAGTTTTAGGTGGCACTATTTCCTCCCTACTGGGGACAAGGAGAGTTCAAGATACAAGCTGGGCAGAAAATCTACATTTAACCCCCCCAAAAATGCATGAATTGAAGGGATCCATATCACAACTAAACACATGTCAGAGATTAAAACAAAAGACAGTGCTGACAATCAAATTATAGCAGCATCATTTTAGAGCTAATGTTATAAGACTGAATGGTACAGAACAGAAAAGCCGACATTCAGCTGTGCTTAAAAAAATACGAGCTTTGTATCTGGTGATCTATTGTGAGTTGTGTCCCTCTTAGAATATTTGTAATGAGTCGATACTCAATTGTAAATTCATGAAACATTATATCGTTAAATGGTTTAATATATAAAGTATAAAATTTGTTAAGGTAAACTAGGAATTGAATTAACTCAAAGCATTCCCACCCTCACTCCAGGTACAATGTGATTCGCCTCCAGTAACCAATATCTAAGCAGAGAAACTAATAAGGAGAAAAACAAAATGTCAGCTTTCAATGAGGGTATAAATAAGCTGGAAAAGTAAGTAATTAAAGCTACATGTATTATATATTTCAGTCTTTGACAGACTGGGAAGGAGGAAAGAAGATCGTCACAGAGAGTTCTCCCCAGTTGGACTTTTTAAAAAATCTTTACCATGGCATATTATTATTGTTTATTTATTGGGAGCAATAACAGCTCCTGTTAACCCTGCAAGCCCTAACAGGTAGAGTGGTCCTTTCTGGACAAGCAGTGTGAATGCTTGCCAGACATTGCTCTTATTGCCAAGCTTTGCAGTTGTAGCTCAACTTCAGCAATACCCAACACACAGTCTGTGCCTAATATTCTGTGGAAGATAAGTAAGCACGATACAACTCCAGGGAGTGTGCATTCCATTTCAACACACAGGAATTTCCAATGTGTAGGTGGGATGTATGGAACTCTTTCGTTTGGATGTTCGTAAGCATCGTGACGAGTTTTTACACGTGTCAGACACCTGACAGATCAAAAAAAATTATGGCACTTTAGACTTTCAAGGGCAATGGTATTTTTTAAAAAAGCATGAATCAGCAACTCTAAAAGTATGGATTTTTGCAGAATTCTGAAAATTACTTAGGTGCACGATAGGGTTATCAGCAAGGGTCACTAAACAATTAGAAGTTGCAACATGGGCTAAATTTCCCCTCCCTAGCCTGAGGAAACTATTGCCAAATGAAGCACCCAACACTGCTTTCCTGGGTAAAATCAGCCAACGTAACACAACACAGGACTTTCATAGTCTGTTCAACATTAGGCAGTGACATTAACACCCACACACACACACACACACAAAAGGGGAGGTTCCATCTGCTTTCTTTGACCCTATACAACCACTCTAGCTGGCAGCAATTTAAATAAAATACATATAAAAATGGTCTAAATTGCATCCTTTGTTCAATAAAAAAAGTGGCCAAAATATTTACACAACTTGAACTATAGCAAGCTCTTTCATGGCTTACAGGTTACGATTTCTATAACTATTCGTACAAGAGAAGATTTTCAAATGATTTTTCTACTTACCCCGAATGTCTAAGTGTTAATGATTACCAACAGAAACGTCTTTCTCCAAATATTAAGCACATTCTATCTTAACAATATAAAAACCCTTGAATAGACTGTGGTAGCACATTCCCACACGCTTCTTATTCTACAGGAAGCAGTACAAGGTAGAAAAAGATTATTTCTGCCACACCTCCAAGTTTATGAAGGTAGAGGTGGAGAAAAGCAGCTTAGTCATTCTGAGAATGACCAGGCAAACATTTCCATTGTGTTAATCTATGTACTTTCATTTTAAACCTTAATAAAAGGAAAATAGCTCAAGTGTATTGTGCTGTAGCTCTGTTTCCATGGAGTGGTTCCGTATAGAATATACAGTCAAATCTGTTTCCATAGGCCATTCTGGTAATTGACCCAAAGTGGCCTTTATGTAGTGACATTTTACCCACAAAATATAGTCAATTCACTTTACAGTATATTCCGTGAAGTGCTTTGAGACGTCTCAAAGACATGATAAGCCACTATAACAAATGCAAGGTTTATTACTATTATTATGTAAGGATGGCATCTGGTAAGTGTTTGTTGGTTCATTAACTGGGCCTGAAAATAAAAACAAAAAAAGTCTGTGGACTCGCACATGGGTTTCTGCTGGACTCCTAGCACACTTACCAATGCCGCCTCACCGGTGAGACGGGAAGCTGTAAGCACCAGGTGGGCAGCTCAATGCTGCATTGGTAAATGCAATAGGACTTTAGCTGAAGTCAACAAGTGTGCCCGTGGACACTGGTAATGCATTAATGTAATTACACTTAAATTCACTTAGAACTGGCCACTGAAAAGGGTGTCTATACACTGACAGGGCTAAAATAGAGTGGCCATTGGTTGCGATAGACATTTAGTTGCTGAATAGAGGTAGTTGCTGTAACAGGTTTGACTGTATTCTTTATTTTTGAATTTATCTAGAGCAAAATCAATAAGTTGATTAAAGTTTCCAAATAAAAGGGGTACAGTACATAATTATTCAGAATACAATCATAGTAGGAAGTCCCCCACCACACCCCACTTCCAACAAAGCAGAGTAGTACAAGGCAGGAGACATTCATCCTTCAACAGTGACTTTTAAAAATGTTCTGAACACATTGCACATTAAATATAATAAACTCCTGATAACTCAACCCAGTCTTAAATTGTCACAATCATTTAAGTCATCATGCCATCAATATTGCTGTACCTGCTCTTTAACTGAAGCCAAAATGGTGTTAGCTGTTGTTTCGGATTCCATGGCTAGGTCAGTGCAGGCTTCCTTGGTGGGCAGCAACCCCTCATCCACCAATCGAGACTGTTCAGGAGCTGGCATTCCACCTGCATTACACAAAGGTGAGGCTTATCAAAATGGTTTGTATGCCTGTACAACTTGCATATTTTAACAGCAATTCATTAACTTTCTCCTCTTACTCATCCTTCTCGTATTTTTTTTAAAACAAACTTCAAAACATAACATTAGTTCCAAACTACATGGCACAAAAACAAAATGTTAAGAAAATTATATTTCTTCCTGCAACAATACTGAATCGATACTTTTGATTTGTGTTCATTCATAAAATGCAGGCTTGATGTAAAACTTAAACAGGTTATGAAAATGCAAAATAATTTAAATATTCTTGAAATATTATTGCATCACCCAAACTAGCCAACCTAAATTCATATACCAACCAGAACTACTGCAGAAGTCGATCATAAGGCTCTAGGTACCTCAACCCACTTTAAATGAGGTCAATCACCAGCCAGTGCTTTCTCAGTGACACCACTGATCAAATAATCGGCAATGTCACTGTGCAGTGCACAGAAAACTGACTCTATTATAAGCATATCACGCTTAAAAATGCATCATTGTTCAGTCGCAGGAGATGGAAGAGGTAGGATAAGAAAAGATCATGGAAGCAATGAAGGCAAAGATGACGGTCTTCAAAGTTAATCTCTGGGGGATAGGGAGCTGGGTGAACAGTGCCTGGCGCGAGAGAGGAAGTGGATTGCAGATTATAGATAGTCTGGAGCTTCTGAAGGCTGTTGGAAGTAAAAAAAACAACAACTTGGATATATATAGCGCCCTCCATACCGGACGGCGTCTCAGAGCGCTTTACAGTAACAGATCCCGGCGCTAAGTCATGGGGATGGGGAGGAAGGTGACCAAAGGCATGGTTGAAGAGAAAGGTCTTCAGCGGACACCTGAAAATAGGAAGAGAGAGAGCGAGGTGAAGGGAGTGAGGAAGGGAATTCCAGAGCCTCGGGGCATAGTAGCTGAAGGCACGGCGGCCGAGGGTGGAGTGGAGGACTCGGAGGAGGCCAGACCCGGAGGAACGAAGGCAACGGATACTGTTTTGAGGAGAGAGGAGGTCAGAGAGGTAGGGCGGTGCAGAGGAGTGGGGATTTGAATACAAGGGTGAGGATCTTGAAGTCGATCCTCTCTGGGACTAGGGTTTTGGCTGGGGGAGGGGGGTAAAAGAGAAAAATCGAATGCTGTTTCCCAGAAATAATGTTTTTTGAATAGATGAAGGTCCAGAGGAAATCAAATCTCTGGACCTTCAGCTATTCAAAAACATTGGATGCTGCAAGAACAGAGGCTGAAGGTCACCAGTATCTGCCCTCTTGAGATACTGATGATTTAAGTTTTGTTCACTTCACACACTTCGCAGAACACTTGCAAGATTCTGACAAAAAAAACAATTAGGAAAATACTTCCAAGAACAGGATCTTATTGCAATTCACTTTTGTCCATATGGTTTCTCAACTGGATAAAACTAAATGTCTTGGAAAGGCTGTATAGGATTAGATATATTGGAGACCATTACATCATGAAATCCTCCAGAGAATTTTCAGAGTTCCCCATTTTACAGTCCTCTGCCAAAATAATCTGGGTTTTAAACTATTCAGAGTAGACCTGCCCTGCCAACACACAGTAAGGTCAATGACATCTTTGACAATCATGTGATTTCCTTCAACAAAATGATTTCTTCCACTGCCAAAAGTGAGATTGCCTTTTTTTTAAAAAAAATGGCTGTTCTAAAGCTGAACTCCATATTCTGAATGAATGCAAATGTGGATGGTCCAGGAGCTGCCGTTGTAAGATATATAAACTTAAAATGAACTGAACTTAAAAAATACCATCCAGAATAAAATTGGCAAGTTTTCAGTTATTATGGACATTAAGCACACATCCGACTATCTCAGAAATGAGGAGAGAAGACAGAAAACTGTTCAATCATGCCTTTTAGGGTGCATTTCAAGTTCAGTCACTCAAACAGAATGGATGAAGCTTGATATTTATCCACTACATTAAACAACACCCTCCACGCAGGGCAGCATCTCAGAGCGCTTAACAATAGCGGAGCCCGACTTCAACCCGGGTGGCGGGGAGGTGACCGTCGAAAAGGAAGGTTTTACGGCAGGACTTGAAAAATGAGAGGGGGCAAGGCAGAGGGATTGAGGGAGAGTGCTCCAGAGTTTTGGGGCATAGTGGCTGAAAGCGCGACCTGCAATGGTAGAATGGAGGGTGTGAGGGACAAGCAGGAGACTGGTGCCAGTCGAGCAGAGGCCCCTGGTGGTGGATGGGGAGTGAGGAGGTCGGAGCGGTAGGGAGGTTCCAGGGAGTGAAGCAATTTGAACACGAATGTGAGGATCTTGTAGGGGACGGAGTTCGGTCCGGGTAAGTATGCGGGCAGCAGAGTACTGAATGAGCTGGATTTTTTGAATAGTGGAGCTGGGGAGACTGGCAAGGAGCGCGTTTGAATAGGGGAGGTGACAAATGCATGCACGAGGGTTTCGGCTGCAGTTGGGGTAAGGTATGGTTGGAGACGGGCAATTTGGCAGAGGTGGAGGAAGGCGGTCCTGGTCAGGGACCGGATGTGGGAGAGGAAGGACAGCTGGGGGTTGAACCGGAAGCTTAGATTGCGCACTGGTTCGGTGAGTCTGAGGGAGATCCCAGGGAGGTTGAGGAGTTTAGATCAATAGGAGTGAAGACACTGACGGGAGCCAAAGAGTATTGCTTCCGTCTTGTCCACATTCAGTGGTGTAGAATGTGGTGTACACTACACTAAGCAACATAACTTAATCATACCAAGTATCACATTGCAAAGGATGACATATATGTAGTCCAAGGTCCAGTGAAATGTTTATTGTTAAACTTTAAAATGCTGATAACTATCACATGGTCAAAGTCATAAAGTCATCATTAACACCATTTATACAATCTAAAACTGTCAATTAGGGGCAAGAAGATATTATTTTTATTTCAAAAGTTGGAATCATAAACGTTCTGAGAAAACTAGGCCTTGTGAGGGACACTATATAAATGCAAATTGTTGTAGAAATATACATGTGAGTTAAGGACTTCCAATAATGCAACAATATGATTTTTTTTCCATTGCATATTGCTCCCTATTACTAACAATTCTTTTTATGTTAATTACTAACACACACAAAAAACTGCAGTTGAGCCATGATAAATTGAGAATTCACAAGTGCATGCTTTCCTTAGACCAGTATATTGCAAGTGGATTTTAGTAATACTGGAATGGAACACTTGGATTATGAATGTGTTTAAATCAAATTGCTCCACATTAGTCACCAAAATCACATCCTGCAATTAAACAGAGTCATGATCCTGTTAACACCCACCACCTGTGTGGGTGCAGTAAAGCAGGGAAGGGCTGCTTGAAAATTCATAGACATTAGTCAAGGCAGTTTGAGTGTCTCAACTTGCAAAGAACATACCTTTGAACATATCCTGTGTACTTACACCAATTCAGAGCATGTACTTTAATGTCAGTACCTTATTTTATAGTTATCCATCATTAAATTGTCAGTCATTGAAGTGGACGAAGCATTTCAAGGTTTTCCGATACAATAAATCTTTGAAACGGAGAGAGGGAAATGGTATGCAATACATGACATCTAAAATTTGTTCCAATAAGCTAAGAGCTGTTTCTTGTGCACTTATATAATTCCAAGGCTCAAAACTCTAGTCTATTGAAAATTTCTGTGTTGAGAAAACATGCTCACTGAAAGGTCTTTCATCTTCACTCAACAATTGGATTAGTTACATTGACTGCCATGTTGTGCACCCGTCTTCACTCTCCCATTACAAGCATTCAATGTTGCTAATAATGCTACCAACTGAACCATTCTTTCTTTACCTGCCCAGGACTTCAAAACTCTGCTTAATCCTATTAAAGTTACCTTAATGGACACGCTTCTATGCATCATCCATTTATTGCTCTTTACTAAAGGTGACACATATCACAGGAAGCAATAAAGTAATATTTGTTCAGGTTCACCATTTTGTTTCCTAACTGGAATTAGCATGATTTACCTGAAATGACTTACCTGAAATTCCAGTCCCTTTAAAGAATGAAACTTAAATTATATATTTGTTCTTTTACAACATGAATAATCAGTTTGTCAAACCATAAAAAGCATAATGATGTTTCATTAAAAAGAAAATAAGGCAGTTTATGGCATCACAGGAATTTGAATGAACCATATCTTAGTCTCTCTTAAATTGATCAAATGTTGCTGGACTGTGTTAACCTCTCTGATCCACAATTATTCCATAATGCCATTCCTTGAACTCAGTCATTCTGATACTACAAACATCTGGACCAAGGAAAACACAAGCGAAATAAATAAAACATTTAAATCATACTCTTAAACATTGTCTAGGTTGATACCCGAGTGCAGTGCTGACTGCGTTGCCAGAGGTTGAGACAAACCGTGGTCCCATCTATCTATTCAGGTGGATGTTAAAAGATCCCTGAATATATAATATATATATATATATAGTATAAAAGAAACTGTGTAGGTGAAGATCATGCTCCAAGAGGGTACCAACAATAACTCTACTGTTTTGAAATTGCTTCAAAGGGCTGGATAACATGCCAGTGCACCCTGCAAATCACTTTCCATGTTTTTGGTTGGCAAGGATGTGACTGCAAGGTACTAAGAAGCCACCAGGCACCCGATTTGTGTGTGGTGTAGCTTACAAAGCAATTATTTGCTGTCAATAATTAAGACAATATTAGGACTCTTTGAGACATCAAGTCCTGGATGAGAGCCAACTTTCTACAGCTGAATGTCAGCAAGACTGAGGCCCTGCTGATTGGCTCGTGCCAGCACCTCCACACCTCAGGCACTGGCAGCATCAGCATCCACAGATGCACCTCACCAAGCCAATCAGGAACCTGGACGTCTGTTCAACCCTTAACTGTCCTTTCTCCTCCATATCTGTGCCATGACCCACTCTGCCTTCCCCACCTCCACAACATTGCCTGAATCCGTCACCGCCTCACCCCTCAAGCCGCCGAAAC